ATGCCACTGCATATTTAATGAGTAATAACTGGGCAACCAAGCAACCACAGAAACAGACATCCCGCACAGAAGAAAGATTATTTTCCTCTATGCTAATATTTAGTAATAGTAGACTCTTTCATTTCTCTATTTCGGTAAGCCTGTGTTTGCGCAACAGTTACGAGGAAATTGCCAGAACCAAACAAAAACAGCACACTTCGCAAAGGCAGATATGAAGAAATAAATACAGATAGATGGTGGTAGCCAACTGTATTCCAAATACAGATCCGTGTGGGTTTTATCAATCAAATGAACGGCGGTGTAGTCGCGTGTTTGGACTGAGGTATCCAAGAGCAAGTGAAGTTGTTTTGTTATGGATCTTAACTTTGGGGTATGCAAAACGTAAAAAATATTAAACGTATCCCAAGACGAAAACAAAATGAATCACCGTTGTTTTCAGATAAGTCGGTAGATAAAAATATTTACTCTATTATATTTGTTTTATACTGCAGCTAATGCTGATGTTGTAACAGTATGTCATCTTATAAACCTTACCTTAATGAACCGAAAACACATTTTAACCATTCAAAATGGAAGCCAGGCTAAATGCAAGTGGGTGGCGCTCATTGAGAGAACTTTGGCGACTAGAAACAAAGTGGAACCAGAAACATCTGGATCAACAACTGAACAACTAACAACACAATGGGAATACTAAGGCAATATGCAGTAATAAGCAATAAATGGAAATAAAGGTCAAGTTTAAGTGACAGCGATGACGAGAACAGCAAAAAAAAATAAAGAGAAATATACAGAAAGGCAAAAAACAACCAACAGAATCTACAGATGTAATGAAAAATAAACGAACAAAAAATATAGAGTGGGTGGATGGTTGGGGAACTTGAAAAAACAAGACGGGGAGGAACTGTGGAGGCGTTCTACTATATGAATGAATGAATATCTTACGAAATGCTGGAACTATGTAAGTGGAAAGAAACAACAAACCAGAAATTTGTGATTCATTTTAGGCAATACAAAGTCACGTTTTTTAATGGGTAATAACGTTAAAATGTATACAAAATATAGCCGCCAAATTGATTTGTCGAATGTAACCTTTTTCAAACAACACAAAATTAACTTTTAATGTTATAATTTTTTTGTAACGTTCTACGGTAAAAGAATTTCACAAAACTTCTAGCAGTGACTAAAATCCATAAAATGTACTATATGTTTTGATAGCAAAACGAAAGGGAAGCCAGGCCGAACCCCCAAGCTAATGTAATAACAATATAATTACCATGCCAACCCCCTGGCCCAAAACATTGCCCCTTGTGGGAGCATCCCCATCCCCATCGCCATTGTATAGTAATTTCATTCATTAATTTGTGCCGTTGGCTGACTCCGTCGTCTTCGAGGGGTTAAGATTCAGCGAACCTCGACCACCAAAGAGCAAGTGCCAATTAAAATCGCATTCGACTGGGGGCAGTACAGGGGGCGTGGCCACTGTGGGGGTGTTAATTAAAATTGAAATCAATTGTTTCAGCCAGCTCGCCGCAGTTTACGCTTCAACGAATGTCTTTCCCCTTTCGAGCGGACGCCTGCCTTCTTTTATGATTTTATAACTTCCAAGATTTCGGTTTTATGGTCCACTTAAGAGGCCAAAAATAGCGAAGAGACATCAGTTAATGCGTGATTGAGATTCACACGAACCCTCCAATTGTCGCGTTTATGCGAAACTCTTGCTAAAAATAAACGATAGCTATCGACGGAGCTCTAATTGCCTGGGACAACTGACAATGGATATAGCAGAAATCCAATTAAATGCTAGGACACGACACACGTTTAGAGTAGAGTGATAGCTCATTCCTCATTCACGACGCTGAATATTTTTATCAGCTATCATATGTTTTGTGCGTGATCTGATATAGCTCACGAGCTCCAGGAGCGCAGTTAAAGGGGGATAATGGTTAAAGAACGATAAGGAGGGCTAGATGGGGAAAAGCTTTCTCAAATAAACAAGGATAAAAAGAACAAATTGCAGCAGAGGCTAGGTTAAATGGCTAAATAAACAGCCTAAAAAGTCGCACTAATTAAATTTATTAGGGTTTTTGGGCCAAGTCAACACACTTGTAATCAAGAACAAATAAAAGCGTTCCGGTAATAAAACAACCATTCAACAAACAAGTCGTCATATCTCTATTTGTTTAATTCAATATATCTTTCTCGCTGATTTTTATAATTTTTACCAATTTCTTGGGCCTTTCTCCCCCTTTTGGTAAACAAGTCCGCACTCAACTAATTCAGAACACGGGCCAGTTACTTTATCAGGCTTTAGATAGGGGCAATTTCATAGTTTGTTCGGTAATTACACTTTCAAGTCTTTAAATACATTTGCAGTAATTGTTTAAGCAATTTCAGTTAATGCCCGTCAAGTTTGCCACTTGAATTGTTTTAGTTATTGCGCAATTCCCAAAGAGATTTCCTATCTCTGTCTTTGGCGTGTTGTAATACATTCTAATATATTCGGACATTATTTAATATTACCTCTTATATTGTCTAATCATTGAATATATTTGTCTATGGTGTAGCTTTTATTTTTGCTCAAAAGTTCAGGTTATTCTACAGGTTTTTTGCTAGTTAAAAAACAAATTACGTAACTTCTGGATGGGTTGGGATGGGTTCCTGCTCAGACAGTCTGGACAGGTTTTTTGCCCAAAGAAAAAGTGTCAGAGATCTGAAGAATTGTTTATGTAATTTTTGCCAAAAAGGTAACAAGGCATATCGCCATTATTTTATTATATTTTTCAGTTAATCAAATAAAGGGTTAGAAACAAATAAATTCAAAATGGCCACTAGAAAAAAATGGTAAATTAAAAATTCAATGCACATAAAAACAAATTGAGGCCTTTGGCCGGCTCAAACGGCGGCGGACAACAACAATTGAAAAACCTTCATGAAAAATTAGCCACGATGAGTGTTTTTGTTGTTCAGCCGCCGCACGAACTAACCAAAATGCTTTTGCCGCTTTTGCTGCTTTGGGCCGCGTTTCATTCATATGGGCCAAGAGTTTTGAGCCTGCGTTTTGTTTTTTCTTTTTTCTTTTTGCGCACAAATCAATTGACAGAGTCACGTAATCAGCGCAATCATGGCTAAAAACCATTTTGCGGCTTCTTCGTTTTTTTGAGCGTCTTAAATCAATCAAAAGTCGCACCCAGGGAGATGAATAAAAGGTGAATGGAGACAGAAACAGGTTGCCAGCCAAATCGAATTATGTTTGGCGAGATGCAAAAAACGTTTACGGGAGAAAAAAAACCCCGAAAAATCAGGAGGGACCTTGGGCCAATTGATAAATGCATATTCAAGAGTTCAACCGAACGGCTTGTTAAAATGTTAACTTTCCCATAACTTTGGTGGTTGCCCAACTAAACGCTAATGGGTTGAAAGTGAAACAAACGTAACCAATTTTTGTTTACCAAAAATTATTACAGCTAATTCCACCAAGAGAAATACGAAAAGGCGAGCCGGAATTTATTGGCCAACTTGATTTATCTTAGTTGGCAATGAAAATTCTCCACCATTAGCTAAAACCAAACAAATTGCGGGGCATAAATTAAAATTAAATATGTGCAGAAAAAAAGATTGACAGATGTATTCAAGGCTGCGACTTGCTAACCCACAAAAAACATGCAGTAAAAAATAAACAGAACACCCGCAAAGACCGATAAAAAAAAACATTCCTCTGAACAAATAGCAAAAAATAATAATAAAATCTAAACCAAACAAAGCCTCGCACAAACAACTGAAATGTTGTTCGCTTTGTATGTTTATTCGCTGCCAGTTAAGCAAAAAAAAAAAAAAAAAAAACGGCTTAAATGAGCTGAGATTTATGTTTGGGGTACAAATATTTCAGGCATTCCACGGAAATCTCAAACACCTCACTTCAACGCAATCGCCTTCCATAATTTTCCACTTGATTTTACCCATGCCTCAGTTGGCTTTTCCTTTTTCAATTAGAGCAACATCAAACGGCAATTGCCACATTAAAGCTCGATTAAAGTTATAGAAAAAATTCCCTTTACAATGCAATGTCTTTAACCTTTGCAGCGGCGGAAATTGGTGTAAAACTAGTCTCAGATTGCTGCTGCCGATGTTTATGTTGCTGCCGTGTTGCAGCAGATGTTGCTGTTGCTGTTGCAGGGGGGGTAAGGCAATAACATTTTTGTATCACATTGCAAGGCGTTTTCAGGTTCAAGCCACTTTTGTGGTCAACAACATTTCACCGCGGCAACAACTTGTGTTGCCTGTGCAGCAGCGGCAACACTTCCGATAGATAGATGTTGCTGCCACCATGGCTTGTGGCTATGAATGAAATGGGTCCGAGTTTGAGCTGAAGTTGAAGTCTGACTCACAGCTCGGACCTGACTTTTCCACAAATGAGTTCATAACGTTCAACGGTTCGGGAGAGGAAAACATGGAAAGAGAAAAACTTTCATAATTACAAACATGGCAAGAGCTCCTTGCATTGCACAGAGAAAAATGCCTTCCGATCGATTGATTGAGTTTTTTCTTTAGTTCTGCTACAAACATCAGAGAAATGCTACTTTGAATGCGTTCTTAAACTTTTTTATGAATGCAATTACAAATGCTTCAAAGTATAACACTTTCAAAGCGAATAAAATATCCAAAGTTATGGCCCGTGCATAACACTTCTGCAATCTAGTAAATTCCTCTTTATTGCACCATTTTTTTTCAGTGCAGTGGCGATCAACTCACCGCATTGACTGCTGTGCAGCGCAAATGTGCGAAGAGTGGCCGCTGACTCTGGTTTGCTTCAGTAGCTGATTATTTAATAGAAATGATTATGTTTTGGCGTTGCCCATTAAATGTAATCATGCAACTAAGTGCAACAGACTGGCTGCAACAGCAACAGCATTAGCAACATCCCGAGATCCCCGTCTTGTCTTCTGCGATCTCTGTTTGTTGATAATTAGCCGTGGCAGGCAGGAAGTATCACAACCCATACTAACAACACACAGCCACCAATTTTCGTTGTAAAGTGAAATAAAGCAATCAAATGTTCAAATTGTTTGGGAGCCAGCTCCAGTTCCGAACTCGTTGACTTCGTGAAAAACGCCAGCAACCCAAAAAAAAAACAAAAATGAAAAAGCAAAACAGAAAATTATAGCAAGTGCAGAGAAAATCAAACAATGACAAATTGCTGGGAATAGCTTTTCTTTTCCATCATTTTCCCCATAATGGTGGGTATGCAAGGAATAATTGTGCGTAATAAAGCAAGTAACCGCTTCCTCTTTGCAGTGAAAACTTTGGGTCAAAAAAAAAGATAAAAAATCTTACCACAGAAACACAAAAACGGAAAGAGATAAAGTTAAAGTCAAATTACTTTGCTTTCAGAGATTTCGTTTGGTTGCAACTTATCCAAACTGAAATTTATCAATTTTCGCAGAGAGAAATATAAAATTCATTTCTTTTGTTAGTGCTTTTTTGGAAGAACAATCTATTTATGAGTCTGCAGTATTCAATATTTGGTTTTCATCGCAAAATTATCGCAGTTTTTGGCTTATCACTTAATCCCCGACGGACACATCCGCCTTGATAAAACTGCGCCAGATGAAATATTTTTCGATAGTTGCTAAGCCAGATCTTTTTGGTCATCCACTAACTGCAGGGGCTTGGTTTTAGCCAGACCTTTGGTAAACATTACGAGATAGTATAATTAGCAACTTGCTCCCCTGCAACACGTGCTTTTTAGTTATTTGATAAGGTCCCCAAATGAAACCTCTATCGTAGCCGAATTCCCGTACGCTCCATAATGCAACGTATTGTTAACACACATTTGCCATTTATCTTTCCCTAGGGCAACTCGCTTTTTAGCACAGCTGCCAGCTGCTGTTTCGGATAGAAACTCAGCTGTCTCGTGTGTTTTCCAGCTAATTCTAGCCTCTAGCCGAGGGTTTTTTAAATGTCGGTTGGATTTGTCACAACTTAATTGCTTTAAATGCTTTGGCACGGTTCTAAAAAATATCCAATCAATAAAAGCGGGGCCTAGAAAATACAATTAAATATTTATGGGTTAAAGCGGCGATTTCAACCGGCGGAATTTGAGCTTATAACAAATCAATTAATTAAGTCGCACGCAAGGTATTTTACAAATACTACTTAATAAGGTCAAATTGGCAATTGAACAACAAAAAACCAGACTGATAAACAAGCAGCCATCCCAAACGAGTTGGCTTATAAACAAAAAACGTATCTTTTATCGAGCTTTATGCAAATCGGGAGCTAAAAAGTTGCCTCAGCCGGCGGACAAAGAGATCGAAGCCAGTTAAATAACAAATTGATAAATATTAATAAGGCCAGGGGATTTTGTTTGTTTGCTGTGTGCGTGCATTGCATTTACGCTTGAGTTATCCGCGAGCAATCTGCGTATCTAGCAGATACAAAATGTCATCGTTGCCGGTTACAGTTAAGCTGCACTGCCAACTACTTGTCCATTTGAACGGGCCTTTTTTATGCAAAGCACAGAGCATGTGGAATGTATCCGCCAGATACAAATTGCAATTGCAATCGAGTGTAAACAAAACAAAGGCGCAAGAAACACGCGTGCGCTCGTAACTCGAGATACAATCGCCGTTTCTTGGGTTTTGTTTTTTTTTTTGTCGTCGTTTTACCTCGTCGCAGATTTCAGATACATGTGTATCTGCGAGATTGCGGCAATCTAGTATGTATTTATTAAGCCGCCGTGTGACTTATGCACCGCGATGCCTTGACTTTAGCCGGCGAATCAGCTGGATGCAACAATTGTCGTAGCGATCTGATGACTCAAAATAGGTCACCAGATAGTGCGGAGATATGTCGGAATTGTTTACCTGCTCAAGCTGCTAGTAAGTTGTAAAGTGCCACGCGGCAGATAAGCAGGAAAAGTATTAAAATTACTTTATTACAGACCCTCTGTCCATGATTCACCAAGCCACTTTAATCAATTGGACGAAAATACATTGTGAATCAGGAAGAGTAACTGCACTTCAAGGGTCCCAGCTGATAACAGAAACAGAAAACACCAAGGGAAAATATAATATCTAAGAATGCTTTCAAGATAGTCAAAAATGTCAGCGGATAAAAATAGCCTAATCTGTCTTCCGAATTACTGAATAATATAAACTTATAGTCTGATATGGAGCACTAAGCCTCTTAGCTGATTAAGGAACCTAATTGCGACGCAGTTCATACTTCTGTTGACGAAGATATCTTCTCATTTCATTGAAAAACAATTTTTTAGATTTTAAATATCGCTTTAAAAAGCATGTCTTAACGTTATTTTTTTTAGCAATAGTTCCAATTCGTTGATGACTTGGGAAATTCCAATAAAATAACTTATCCATGTTGGAATTTCCCGCCCACTTTATGGAGTAAGGCCAACCCCCTTATCTGATAAAAAGCACCTACTCAAGCAGGAATTTCTAGCCTGATTTTTTTCTGTTGTCGAGAGGGGAAAGCCAAAGACTTTACCTTCGAATCGGGGCTTTCCACTCCAATAACTTTGGCCAATGGCTCTCGCCCGAAGCCGAAGCCAATTCCAATTCCGATTCCACTGCGATCCGCCCAGAAGGCAGTTCACAATTAGCAAGCGGTAACCTCAATGGCTCGACATGTCTCCTCCACTCGTGTCACTCGCGCCAACGGACATTGGCTGGCAACCTTGTGGGTTATTGGTAATGGGCAATGGGCAATGGGCAATGGACACGGGGTGTATTGTGTATACGCCGCTTATTGGATAAGTATATGCCGATCGGCGATCGACGGTTTAGCTTTTTCTGTGATCGCCGTTCGTAAGCGACACATAAACCATAATTAAAAGCGAAAAACAGTTGGCCCCAAAAATCGAAGCCACCGAAAAAACCAGTAAGCAAAACCAAAAATGCGCGCGCGTTTGCGCACTGCGCACCTGTTTTTTTTTTGTTTGTTTGTTGTTATTGTGTTTTTCTGGCACCCCTCCCCATTGAACATAACCCCCCTTGGGTCCACCACCCTCGCTGGAGTTGGCCAGTTTCATGAAACAATTACGAATACGAGTGCAAAACACAAGCAAAACAAAACCAAACCGAACCGATCCAAAACAAGCTGAAGCGAACACCAAGTTGGCCAAGCTGTTGGCCAAGTTAAGACGACTTGGGGCTACTTTGGGGCGACTTGAGGGGTCCACTTGGCTCATTGCAACGTTCGCCGCTGCTGTTTAGTGATTGTTTTTGTTGTTTTTATTGGCGCATAAACACGGCCACAACCAATGCACTGTGGAATATTGAAATTTGGGATCGTATGGTAAGATAAATGTTTTGACAAGTTAATCCTCATCTTAAAAAAAGTATACATTCTAACCATGAAATATATACAATCAAATAAATTTCAGGAAGTGCATACACGATGTGTATTATTTTCTAAAGTATTTACAAAACTTACACTGCAGCACTTTAAAAATGCCAATTTAAGTTATAGATTGGTATTTAAGTTGCAGTAATCGTAAGTTTAGCTGGTGTTCTTTGTTTCTAAGACAGCTGGCTGTTTTGCATACCGACAAATCTATTATCTTTCAAGGTAAGATTCGAATGTGTCTTTTCTAGAAATACCTTATATGCAAACCTTTCTGAAAGGGTATTATATTATAATGACGTTGTTGGGGCTTTCAGCCCACAGTGCTCGACAACTGGCCCGGTTTGCCTACGAATGGAGTAGCCTCTCCTTGTCACCCCACTGCCTTTTCCATCGCCGCCCCTTTTCATCCTTTTTGTTCAATTCTACACAGAAAACAAAAACGAAGAGTTTCTCATACAGAGATATTTTCTTTCAAATTGGGTAAGGGTAAAACTGCTGCAGCTAAAACTAGTTTGTTTTTTGGTGATTATGTTATGGTAATGTGGATATGTTAATGGACACACATAAATCTAAAATACTGACACAGAATAAGATGGCATAATATGCTAGAAATAATAGAATCTTGATACGGTAGTCTGGACTTAAATCACATTACTGCCCCATGAATTTTAAGTGACTACAGCAAAATAAACACTATTTTATAACTAACTAGAACATTTTGGTATCAAATTAAAATGCTGGTATCAGATCGAAAATCATGAAATTGATCATGTTATCATATCCATTTTTTTCTTTCTGTGTCTTGATCGCTTCGATTTCTGCTCGATCGCTCGCCTTTTTAGCTTTGGCGTAAAATTGCAGAGCGATCTTGTCGTTGTTGCTTTTGCCTCTCTGCCATTAAGGCAACAACGGCTGAAACACAAACACACAGACAAACACAAACAGCGAGCAAGAAACCTGTAGAATTTACAATTACAACAACGGCAAACACAGTGCGCGTATCTGCGTCAATGCTTTTTTTAACGTTTTTTTATACTTTGTTCGCTTACTGGGCGCATTTGCAATTGAAGCGTGGCTCACACAGATACGAAACGCACACATGCAAGCCGCTAACCCACTTGATATGGCCATCTCGCTCGCACCGAGCGGTTTGAAGTCTGAACGTGTTTTTTATATAACTTTTTTATGCGCATAGTTTTGTTGTTCATAAAACTTGTTGTTGTCGCTTGTTTTGGGTTTTTTTTTGTATTTTCTGCATACATTTTTTGGTGGGAATATTTGGCATTTTGTTTTCTTTATGTTTGAGGAATTTTGTTTTTGTCTAGCGATAAGTAGATGCAAGATAGAAATGAATAAATGCATTTGGCTATGAGTCATATGGGATTGGGTTTGGAATTGGTATTGGGAAATCTCTGCTGCTAAAGTTTTCCCAGAAACTGAATGGCTAAAACAATTTCAGCTTCTCATTTTTGCACACGCCATGCAATTTAATTTAATAGATAAATCATTTTCGAATCTGTTATCTCATTCAATTTAGTGTCAAATTGGAGCTCTCTCAACTCCCGACTCTCGACTCAATCCCACTCGACGACTACAATCCACTCAACTCTCATGACTTCATTTGGTCTTGTGCAATTTACTGATTATCTCATAATCATCTGCTCGTGTGCTTCAATTTGTATCCAAGAGACTTTTTCTCCGCGACTTAATGATGCTTGGAAATTAACCATGGATTACATAAATAAGATAAAACAAGAAAACAAAAGCGGGCAACAAATTTGATTTTATTTAGTTGCGGCTGCATTTCAATTTTGGCATTTACAACATTTTTCTTATGGCGTGTGTGTGTTTCGTGTTGATTTATGCCGATTTTGGCCAGTCGCGTTTTCAGTGAAAGTTGAGCGAGTTCAAAACAACAGCCAAAGGTTGTGTCAATGAACTAAGGTGGGCGAATTCCTAAGTTTGGTTTAGATAATGTCAAGGTGTTTGACTAATCTATTGTTAACAATCAATTGGCTTATCGACTCTGCCGCTCACGTGCCTTTCGTATCAAAGTGTTCCAAATTTAGACGATGACCGAATTAACTATACGGTTAAAATTGCCAAACACAATTGATGGTTAAAAAAAAAAACAATAGCGAGCTCTGGCCCTAAGGTCCTTTTTAGACTTTTAAGTTGTTTAACCTTACTGATCTATAGGCACCAAATAATCAGAAAAGACTTTTTATCAGCTAAAACGAGAACGGTAAATATCCAACTAATGACTTTAAATAATTTTACTTCTTGCATATATTTTAAGAAAATTAATGGAATCACTGAATAAAAATAAGGTGATATCTGAGATTGTTCCTATTGGGAAAGTTGAGTATATTGACTTCGGTAACTCACTGGGCTTTTTTTTTGCTTACCTGGATATGATTGTTGCAACAGGTAGTTCAGGCTGCTTTTAAGTAGACTGGCGATAAGAAAAGGCCACGCGAAGAGTTTCGGCAACAGCAATTTTGAAATAAAAAGGCAATTAGTCGTTCACTTTCGATTTGATCGGCCGATAAGGCATTAACAGGGAAAACTCGGTGTTAACACAGGTAAACAAAGAACAAACACACTTCTCTTCTGATTGCGTTTTAAAACAAAACCAAAATCCGTGGATAGTTTTATTTTGCTTTTTATTTTTCCCCTTTTTCTTTGAATTTTTCACGTCTTGTGTGTGTCCCGCTTGCTCTTTTGGGGCGCCTTTCTCGCTCTGTCCGCTTTAACCGGTTTTTTTTTTTTGGTTTTGGTTTATGTTTATGCTGCTGCGGTTGTTGTTATTTCCCTTGCTCTTGGCTTTTTGAGAGGAAAATATGCTGCAATTGCAACAAAAAAATCTGTCGAATGTTTCCAGCCACTGATTAATTCGAAATTAAAACGAAAACTTTAAAACACCCGCGAGAGAAATGAACAACATGACAACTAAGTAAGACACACACGCAGGCGCAGAACGATGCGCATAAAATGCTGAAGAACAGGTGTTTATGATTTTCGCCCGTTGCTTTAGAGTCCACGGTTTGTTTTCTTATTTTGTGTCTTGTATCTCCCCTGTTTTCCGCACTGCGACTTGAATTTTCTTTGGCTTTGCGAGTGCTTTCCGCGCGACGATTCGTTTTATTTGAGCGTGTTGTTTGCGATTGGACACCTGTTGCGCGTTCGATTTTCATAAAACTAACCGTGTGACCGTCGGTCGGGTGTGCAAATATACCACAAGAAGTAGCACAGAAGCAGTCTGGCAGCACTGTTGGTTTTGACGATTTACCAATACTGGGTGTTTAGTTGATAAGGGGACTCCAGTTTGAACGCTAACCCTATATCTAAAAATATATTCAGCACTATTTACTATAATTTTAGGGTTCCTTCGGCCCCTGTTGCACAACTTCTTTTAAATAAATTTTATTTTAATTAAGGCAGTAATTTAAAAATCAATTGCATTCATTATTTGAATATTTACATTAAGTTTTCGAATACAATATCGTTTTTAAGGCAACCACAAATTTTATCATATTTTACTATTCTTAAATAAATAAAGTGTTTCTTAACAACACTGTATTAAATCAATCGATATACATGTATTTGCCTTGCCTATCGCTGCCGAGCCGTCAAAATAACAACAGCAACAAACAGTGACGACATTGCTAATTTTGTTTTGCGTTTCACCAGAGCTGGAAATAATGTCGGATCTCGCTTACCTGGACTCGTTGTCCAACAAAGAACTGATGGCAAAGTGCCTGGAGCACGGCCTGCCCGTCGTTCCGGTGACATCCAGCACGCGCTCCGTTATTCTTCGTCGGCTGAAGGCAGCGATATCGGGAACTCCTCTGAACAAAAGCAAAACTTCAAGTAAGAAATCGACGTCTCAACGCGCAACCATACACGGCAGCCAGGTGGCGACGCCCACATCAGAGCCAGTGCGGCGTACAGTAGGAAGGAGTGCAGGTCGCAGCAATGGCAGCCAAATCAGCGAGCAAAGTCGTCGCACTATTGCCTATGGATTGGACAATACCTCGGTTTCTGGGAGATCTGTGCAGACCACGACTACAGTCTCGGATGTGGGCTCCCAGTCGGAAGACGATGACTACTACATGGTGGACTCACCGAGCGTAAAATATTCCCAAGGCGCTAAACCGGCCCCAAGAGAGAACCGACGGTCTGTTTCGCTTTCGAAATCTGGGGTGCTGACTACGTCCTATACGCGCGAGGAGGACCCACCACTTTACGGGCAGGAGGACATACCACGCACATACACTTACGAAAGACGACATGCCCCAGCCGCTCCTCTACACACACTTCCCACTTATGAGCCGCGCATTGAGCCTTCGACCTACAGACGCACAGAGTTCTCGCGACCACTGCTGACCCAGACCAATCTGAACTCAACCAGCTACCAGGATGACCCTGGATACAACCCTTCGCTCTCACCAATTTTTCCGAGGAACACTTTCAGTGGTTCCGCCCGGCCTTTTAGTGGCCCTGTGGCAGATCCCGTGCAGCCTCGCCAGCGCCAGACTGGACAACACTTAGCTCGGGGTCGTTTGCTCCAGCCAACAACAGCTGTAAACACTCTTTATCCGCAACTTAATCAGTTTTACGATCAGCCGGACAACGTAGGGGAACCAATGGACACTGACAGTGAATCCGAAGAGGAGCAGGTTCGTAGGAGCAGCTATCGACCCAGCGCACGCTCCTCACCGCTGGCCAGGAAACCTCTGGGGAGACAGCAGGAGGAGCTGTCGCCAATGGCGCAGTTTCGTGCGCTGGCCGTTTCTCTGGACAACCGATATAATATCAAGTTCTACTTCATAGTAGTAGTAGCAACGATGCTGGCCACCATGGTCTACGTGATGCTGACGCCCAACGCTTAGAAGGAAGCCTTTGCAACAAATGACTTTGGTTTTGGTTACTACACTCATCTTAACACCCAGACATAAGGAAAATTTCCCGTCAAGACCTCGCATTTTAATCTAAATTCCGAAGAGATTTAAAGTTCACGAATATTCAGTTCAAATTGCCAAGTCTTTAATTGCTTGTTTCGCATATTGTTTCTTTTTTATACATATTTAGAAAAAATGTACTACATTATAATTATTGTATTGTATTAAATAAACTAATTAAATGTAAGTGCTCAGTGTGTGTTGTTGCGATTTGTGTGTGTGGCACTCTCTGACAACGGACCAGGGAGAGTGGTATGCTTTATGCTACTATTTACACGCCATTCAAATAAACAAAACAAACAGTGTAAAATCGTCGAAGGATATCGGGATATCGCGGCTAGGACATCACAAAGCAAATGGCTGCTGACGGCGTTGGCTGACTAATTAAAGTGGAACTTGAACTGGAACGGCGACCCGTGCTGGAAGTGCCCAAATGGATGCTCGCCATGGAAGCCACCGCGCTGATTGCCCTCGGGATCCAGGGGATCCTCGCCGTTGTCGAACTGGCGTCGTTTCTCGGGGTCGGTGAGCACCTCCTTGGCGGCGGCGATATCGATGAACTTCTTCTCGGCCACCTTCTTCTCCTCGTCCCGGAAGTTGTCTGGATGCCACTTCTGCGCCGCCTTCCTGTATGCCTTAACAATTTCCTGTTTGCTGGCGCTGCGTTTAACGCCTAATATCTTATAGTAATCTCTGCGCTCCGACTGCTTTTGCAGCTTCTTGGCTCGCTGAATGCCTTCTTTCGCGCGGGAATTGCTCTCGTCCAAGTCGAGTGCCGCCTGATAGGAGTGTATGGCATCGTCGTACATTTCAGTGCCGAGCAGTGCTTCCGCGCGATCGCAGTAGACTTGCGCGTCTTTCGTAATTTCCAGCGCTTCCTTGCACTGCTGCAACGCCTTGCCGAACTGCTCATCGCCAGTGTAGCAGTTGCAGAGCACCTTGTGCCCCTCGTATCGGATCATTATCACTTCAGGTTCATTTCGTAGCACCGCCTCTCCGGCGGCTATGCACTCGGCAAATTGTTTTTCCTCGCGAGCCTGCTCTGCGTTGACCAGCTGCTTCTCAACCTTGCGCAGCTTCTTGTAGAACGGGAAGCAGAGCTTGTGCTCCGGATCAAATTTCAGGCACCCGCGGATTTCTTTCAAGGCATTTGTGGCATGACCAATGGAGTACAATAGCTCGGCTATATTGTAGTGACCCTCCGTGCTGTCCTGCGAGAGTCGGTTCACCTGTCTCAAGTCCGCAATGGCGGACAGCGGATCGTTGATTGCAATATAGGCATCTGAACGAGCCTGCCGGAAGGGCACGGCCCACGGCGAGATCTCAAGCAACTGTGTGATCATGGAAATGGCGTTTTGGTGGTCGCTATGCTGAATCAGCTGCTGTACAAGCTGCCATTGCTCCTGGGCGGGGGCCAAGCGGGAGTAGTGCTCCAGCACCAAGCCATTGTTAGGTTCCTCTTGCAGCACGTGTTCAAAATCCACGATTGCTTGCTCGTACTCGCCGCTCTTCATGTGCACAACACCCCGCTGAATACGAGCGGCTGTAAAATCGGGCTTCAACTCGAGGACCCTGCTGAAGTCCTGGACAGCGAATCGCGTTTTGCCCAACGCCAGGTAAACGGTGCCTCGCTTGAAAAGCGTCAGGTAGTTGTTGGCATCACCCTCTGCGAAAATGATAATGGTTAAATCAGAGAAGGGGAAAAGAAAGAAAACGGATATACCCCGCAAGTAGTACTATATCTTTAAAGCTATCTGTAGGCAGCTGCCTCAAAAGTCTAGTTTAAGAAACTTAATTGAAATGGACATCAAACAATAACTCCTTAGAAAAATGTGTTTTTAAACTGTCAAACTTTAAAACTTTTAACTGTATTGATATACATATCTTAAAAGATCAAAACTTGTTTAATGAAATTTGAGCACAACTTTAAACATCTGCTTTGGTAATTAACAAATGACCTTTAAAACTGCAGAGAATAAAATTATTAAACAAAGTTGTCTTGGAAACTACTAGTTTGCAAGGGATATCCGATTTTTTCAAGGTTTTTCTAATTACCAACAGCCGCATGGTAGTGCGTGAGTGCATCCGACAGCTGACCGCGGGCCAGGAGCTCCTTGCCCAGCTCCAGATGGTTCTCAATGTCCGCCGGACTTGCCGCCGACTCGGCGCCTATGCGAGAAACAATGACGTGTAGTTAGGCAAAATTCGCAGATAAGCAAAAGGTAGGCAAGTACCTTCCAGGAAGAGCTCCAGAAGAAGAAGAAGCAGGCAAGCGGCCAGCTTCTTTTCGCCGCCACCGACCATGAGGAGGTCACTCAATGGCAAGGCCATTGTGTTGATGGCTACGTGTACTTGGATGAGCCCGCAAAAACCTGTGTGGGCGTGATTTGGAGTTGATTTTGAATCGACACGCACGTCAGATCTGTTTGGCGTGGCAGCAGCTAATCTGTGCGGTTGCACCCCGCCCCCTCTTTCGCTAGCGGCCTTTTTATAACTTGGCTACTATGGATTTTATGCCCGATTTTGGAACGCTTTCGGCACCGTCTGCTTTTTAGTCTATTGATTGTGACTCGGTCAGTAGATTGTTTTCAGTTTATATTTGATATGAAGAGTGCTGGTTGTCCCTGTCGGCATCGCTGCCAGTGATAACTCAGAATTGTGACCTGCACAGAACTTTTCACTTATAAATATAAATATTATAAACTAAAACTGACGTGTTCACGTTCAATAGTGATGGCGATATTTTTGGGAAAAAATCCCTTTAAGACTTTTTCATTAACCAGGTAAAACTATGGTTTGTGTCTTCGCTTATCCCATTTCTTACCATGAATATTAACAGAGCTGTTAGCAAACATACCCTCCTGACCTAACGGGTACATCCACCTATTTTCACCTCATATGTGTCATTGGTAATTGGCGTGAAATCTTAAAATAAACTAGATATTAAATAAATTTGGTAAAATTAGATTTTATCCAAAAAAAAGTTTTAAAAATAACAGAAAGCCTACAGTTCTTCTTGGTGGATTATTAATATGCAGGGTAAAACTTGTGCAGTGTTTGTAGGCCAATAATTGAGGTATGAAATAACTAATCACTAATCGGATCAACAATTAAGCAATATAAAGTTAAAAGATTGGTTTCATTATTCATTTCATTGTCGGTGTCGCTGTTAAATGCCTATATTCAGTATTAAAAGTAACTAACAACAAATCTGCTAGTTTTGCTGTTTAAATATGTGCGCTAATTTAAAAAGTCTAGTTACCTTTATTTTCGTTCTTCTTTATATGGTTTTAAAGGTTGTCGCTCTAAAGCTCTTTAAAACAATAATATTGAAAGTTTTTGTTCAAGATTTCCTCTAAATTTGAGTTTGCCAATGTGAAGTGCACTTCTTTAGATAAAGAGTTTGATGAATTCGAGTATTGCTATATAAAATCGGTGAACCGGAGCTACAAATACGTGTCGCTAAAGGTCAACCTACTTCAAACCCCCATTAGGAAAGTAAAAGTAGGCACATTTTAAATCATGTTTAATAACTTTACGCCTAACCATTTTTTTTCTTTAGCTTCAGGTGGGACTCTACAAAAAATTTAGCGGCTACCGACCTTTTATGTACAATGTCACAGTAGATCTCTGCAGATTCTTCAAGAACCCAAAGTCCAACCCATTTATTGATTACTTTTTCAGTTTCCTAAGACCCTACTCAAATATAAACCATACCTGCCCCTATGATGTGAGTATATCTTGTCAAAATGACAAATGCTATCGAATCAACTTTCAGCAAGCCAAATTATTTTCAGAATGATCTCATGATAGACAAACTTCCCATCGGTTTTGTCCAACACCAAACCTCGATAGTTTTACCCTTTCCAGAAGGCGAGTATTTTGTGGAAAGTCGCTGGATTGCCTACGACATCCAACGGGCTGTTGTTAGAATATATGGAACTATATCTTAATCAAGTTAGCTAGTAAGAAAACAGAAAAATTTCGATTAAACCTGTAATACCCACATAAACACGCCAAGCTCCTACCAAGCATTGGTTAATAATAAGGTTTATTTGCAGGTATAGCTAATGGTCAGTTCCGGAGGAGCTGATTCCTCCGCCAGTTGATATAGCCTGTTCTTATAAACATATTCATTAATCATTAAAATATTAATTCAAATAATTTTGCGTTTATAATATTTCCGTTTTGAAGAACAACTTCAGTTTGAGCTTTGGTCAAATGAATGTTTATTTGAGTTTGGTAAATATATCTTTGACTACATATGTTAAAATCCATAGTATATTGATATTTTTAAATATTCTCATACATTTTCGGTAATTATTGTAAATACTTCTCGGTTTTCATCTGGTATTAAATGCATTTCTTGAGCATTAAACGTTCGCCTTGAAGCTTTAATTGCTCTTATAACAACAACTTGTTTGTTCACATTGTTTATTGCTTATTGCTAAATGGTCAAGTGGATATAATAGCGCTTCTGTGTAATTAGTTTGAATCAGAGATAGAAGTGGATATGGGACTGAAGTAAGTGCTTGAAGGACGATTGAAGAAATGGGATTAGAGTATTCTATGTAAAGCTCTAAGCACCCTGCGACCCAAAGTCCGCTGTGTGCATATGGTCTAGTAGTTGGATGGAGGCTATGGTCTATGTGGTTTCGAGTTAATTAGTTTCCGAGAGCTACGCTCCCAATGCAATTCAGTTTCTGCGTTGTGCTTGACCGTGACAGAAATCTTAACTGTTCCACTTGGTTAGGAAATCACAATGTTGATCAAATCATCCAGAGGATCCGCGCTGTGCGGTTGAGTGGCGTGTGTCTTTTGCAAGTGAGCTGGAAGTGAGGTTCATCTTACTGGAAGTGCTCTTTGAATGCCTTTTCATACGTACTTTTAAGCTTAATGTGCGTGACAAATCTTTCTTGACAGTGATCGCATTTGTAGTAGGTCTTGCCGCTGTGAACCCGCTGGTGAAGCCGCAACGACTTTTCAAAGAGATACGCCCGACCGCAAACGTTGCACTTAAAGTTCTTCTCCAGCACTTGAAAGTATACAAAAAAGTAGACATTTAATAACTAATTTATAAAAAAAAAATATTTTTCACATTTTTATGATCTGACCCCTTGAACCAACACTTGAAAGCCCATAACTTTTCTTAATAATGTCCGATATTGAATTAGTATGCCTCAAAAAGATTGTGACACAATTTGAATTTTTCGTGATTGAAAGATATACGAAATTCTAAGTGATTTTGACCCACCTTCATGGCTCAATCGGTGCTGGGTGAGCACATATTTGAGGGCGAATGCCTTTCCACAGACGTCGCACACGTTGGGCTTCTCCTTCTCGTGCGTCTTGATGTGCCACTTCATGTCCTGGGGCCGTTTGAACCGCTTGGAGCAGTGGGGACAGGCGTGCGGCCGGTCCTTCTCCGAGTGGACCACCGAATGTCGCTCCAGGGCGGACTTCATATTGAATCGCTGCGTGCAACTGCCGCACTGAAAGAGTCCCGAGTACTGACGCTCCCTTTTCTGCTGCAACACCCGCTTGTTGTTGGCGATTACCGGAGCTCCAGGAGGCTGCAGGTGCTCCACGGACATGTGGTGGATTAGGTCCTGTTCACTGGAAAAGGGCTGGCGGCACAGCATGCACTCGCTCCGCTCAATGGCAGTTAGGTTCTCCCTGTGCCGCTCCAGCATGTGGATACGCTTCTCCGCATAGGATGCGAAAACTATGTAATCGGGAAGATATAGGTTTAGTGGTGATCGATACAAGATCTACGGGTGGCTAGTCGTAGGATGTCATGAAGTTTAAACATATGCACTCGGTAAAAGATATCGTCCTGAAATTCTCCTTGGAATTAGTTTAATGATGGATTTTAAATTTAAGTTGTATTTGATGTATTCGAATTTTGTTTTAGAAAAGGTGCATTGAATTTCAGGACGATTAATGTATGTGTTTGATTGCATGCTGCTCTCCGGGATTTCGTACGTGGATGGAGTTGGTTATGCATTTGTTTGATTGGTTTGATGGGTTAAAAACGCTAATCAGTGGCTAAAGGATATCAAAGTACAAAACGTTTGCTGTTCGTTAATCGCATGCTATGGCTAAAAAGGTGTACAAAAAGAGCTTGGTTAGCCATTATGTTTACCGTTGCTTTAGGCTTGACTAACACACTATATAGTAAGCGGCGGCAGAAGCAGCCGCACTCGGCTGAGTATCTATGGTCTTAAAGCGCTTGTTGGATGTGAGAATGTTCGGTGATGCGACAGATTGATATTAATGGTTAATGCTCATGTTTATGAATAGTTTTGAGTAATGGGATCTTCGGAAGAGATCCTGTGTAGGTGCCCCCGAGTTGGGGGATCCGCGAGCAGACTAATCTCCACTTACCCTCCGTGCAGTTGGCACACTTGTAGGGCTTCTCTCCGCCGTGCTGACGATAGATGTGCCAGCGAAGGGTCTTCAGGTGAATAAATGCTGAGATTTAAAAAATATTAATTCAAATTGTAGTATAATGAATATAATACAACGAATATTTCATTAAAGAAACTGCGTTTTCAGAAGAATGTAATATTAATTGATATTCAAGAGGCTCTTACTCTTTCCACAGAAGCCGCAGTGCTCGCTCTTCCTGGCGCTGGTTCCCGAGTGGGTGGCCTCGTGGCACATGAGGTGCCGCTGGCTGATGAACAGCCGCTCGCATCCAGTGTGGCGACACTTGAACTGGCGGTCCGGATTGTGCCACTTCATGTGGTAGTTGAGGCTCTTGCGGGTGTAGAACCTCTTCTCGCACAGCCCGCACTCAAAGTCCGTCTCCGAATGGTACTTCTCCACGTGATGGCGCAGGTTGTGGCGATCGCCGTATTTCTTGCCGCACACCTCGCAGGCGTGTTGCTTCTCCACGTGGCTGCTCTTCAGATGCACGGTCCTCGAGGCGGCATCCTGGAAGCAGGCCTCGCACTCCGGACAATTGTACGGCTGCTCCGGGTCGTGATCGGCGTTGATGTGCTCCAACAAGTGTTGCTGCAGCTGGTAGCTCTGCTGTGGATGCAGGCAGAATTTGCAGGCATAGCTAATGGTCAGTTCCGGAGGAGCTGATTGCTCCGGCAGTGGATTCTCCGGCTCATCCCCCTCCCCAATGTCTATGGAATCCACAAAAATTTCTATGGGCTCAGTGGCAGTGTTTGGTTGTTGTGTTTCAGCTGAAACCGTCGTTGTTGGCTTGGTTGTTTCTGTTCCCTGATGCTGCTCTGCTTGGTCCAAAAGCTCCTGGTTCTCATCCTCCAGGCTGCTGGCATCGATCTTGTCATAGATGTTCGACAACTTCAACTGGGCATCCTGGCAGGCCACGCGAAATGCATTTATTGAGCAAAACTTGGTGAAGCAATCCCTGCAAATCTTCTGAGGCAATCCATCGTTAGGCGAGATCTGAAAAAAAGAAAAAAATAATAATCATAAAAACCTATAACTGGTTTGGTAAAAACGTGTTAGGAAAACTAACATTACTCCTATTCAGAATAATCAATTTCAATTAGCCCATGCCCTACCTTTTAAATCGCCTTTTAATTGTAATATTAGTTTGGTGTTCAATGGAGTACACCGATTTAAATCTAAACAATTATGTGTTTGCTAAGTATCGCTAGTTAAAATATATAAAAAGCTCGTTGGTTGTGCTATTTTTGGTCTGTAACTATTTCTAAAGCGAAGTTAAAACAGCTGTGTGCTAATTTTATAAGATGTGGAAAAATTTAAACATTCTAATCATTTTTGTATTAATACTTATTTATATGGCAGTCGAGGTTGTTAATAATCTTTTTCTTTTTATAACAATATTCTTAAACAATTTTTTTAAGGTATCTTCGAAATTTGAATTCACCAACATCGAGTGCACCTCCTTGGATAAAAGTTTCGATGATTTTGAGTACTGCTATTTAAAGTCGGTGAATAGGAGCTACAAATATTTATCTTTAAAAGTGAATTTGTTCAAAACTCCAATTACGAAAGTAAAGGTATGCACATACATACATATATTATAAATAATACGAAGATCATCTTATTAACCGTCGTTACAGGTTAAGGGGGGACTCTATAAACGATTAAACGGCCTCAGACCTTTTATGTATAATATCACAGTGGATGCCTGCAGATTTTTGAATAACCCAAAGTCTAACCCAGTTATGAACTTCTATTATAGCTTCGTAAAGCCCTTTTCCAATATCAACCATACGTGCCCATTCGATGTAAGTAAATTTTTAATTTGATAATCCGTTTTTAACAAACCTAATTTTTTTTAGCATGATCTCGTCGTGGATAAAGTTCCCATAGATTTTGTGAACCACCAAGTTACGAAAGTTTTGCCTTTTCCTGAGGGCTCTTACTTATTGGAAACTCATTGGTTTGCCTACGACATTGTTCGAGCAGTGGTTAAGATATATTGGACACTATCTTAATCGAGAAACAAAATGAGTGCTCTATCATTTATAGGTACCATTTAAGATGTAACTTGGTTTTAAGAAATCTTAAAATTGGTTCATTATGTGTTTTTGTTTCCTTATTTGAACAATGGACCTTTCAGAATTGTTTCCGACTGGCAATTTCCCAGAATCCTAAGGCGTAGACTGTAAAATTACTATGGTTTGCATAATTTAACAGTAAGTGCCCTTTCTAGCTTTGATTCACAAAAGCCTCTGCGCAATTTAATACCAAAACATGGCCCACACACAAACTTTCACTTGCGCAAAGTTGCAATTTTCAAAGAGGAGAGGAAAAATAACGACAATCACTCTACACGCTAAAAAAAAAAGCTTACTAAATATCTTATTTTTATATATTATTAAGTTTGTGAATTGTTATCGCCTTGAAAACTTGATATCACCCTTTCACTTTATAGTTAAAGGAGCACAATTTTTAATGCATCTCACCTGATTTGAACATAGATCCCATTTTTCCCAAATGCATCTCACCTTCAGATTCCAGTTGACGAACTGCAGGCGTATTTGGGCCATTTCACTTGGCCAGCAGTTGGGATGATGGAGGTCCAGGAAGTGGCTGCTGTTGCTGCCGCTTTCGAAGTCGCACACAAACATGGATATGGCACAGGTGCGACACGTTTCCATGGCGGCAGCCGCAAACAAAGTGGCATCAACAATATGCAATGGAAATTGCTATTGCAACTGCAACGCCCAAATTCGGTTCGTCGGCCATTCATGTGTTGTAATATTATGCAACTACGAATTACGAATTACGTTGGCTGTTTTCTGTTTGCTGTTTGCTTGTGCCGATTCGCAAACTCCAGCCAAGTTCGCAGCCACATTTCAAAATGCAATGGTTTGAAAGCATCTGTGCGATGGAATTATATTTTCACAGCAAATGTTTTTGCACGTTAATGGGATGAACGATGCTGCGCGTGGGGGACTGGGACAATCGAAAAAGTTTTGTCTGTATCCGGGTGACGACCTCTGCTCCTTTGGCCCTGCGTTGTGCTGATAGCCTAACCAATCCAATCCGCACTCGCCATCCGACAAAGTTCGAGCTTCCGCGTGAACTGACCTTCGTCGAGGAGCAATCTTTTGGAACTTGCAGCGCCGAGAGATTTAATGGTCGGTGCCACAAACGCTCACACACACCCCACCACTTTTAACCCAGTCAGCTGTTCGAATTTGTTTGTGTACTTGCGCAAAAGGTCCGTTAGCAGCAATACGCAAAGCTTGCGTGCGAAAACTGCAAGCCAATGGTGGCACAGTGGTGCAAATTTGGGTCCAATTACGCGGTTTATCGAACTCCCCATGCCACATTCAAATTTGGCCCACTGTTTATAAAAGCTCGCTCTCCCACACTCTCACTTCCACTCTGTCCCGTTCGCAAAGCTTCTCTTTCGAAAACTTCAATGTACTTCAGACCAAACAGATAACAGTTAATATGCGACTACACTCAAAAACAAAACAGGAAATTTTATAGGATGATTTCATTTCAACGATGTCACAAAAGGGTACGGACAGCAAAATAATTAAACTTTTATAGTTATATTGGTAAAACAAGGAACTTATATAAGGTGATGATACCAATATCGTATGGTATTAGTAGGAATAAGATTGGTTTAAGATTTTAAAGAAAAATTGGTTTTTACAAAATTTTAAGTATGTTATTCATTAAAAAAAAAATAGAACGAAAATAATTCTATTATTTTGGCAACATTGTGGTTGAGGAAAATAATAAATGATATGTGTGAGTGTAAAATCGAATTTGAATTGAATTAAAAGTATTTTCTTCGTACACAGTTCGTAAATGTTGTTGCCTTAACGGACAGTAAGAAAGTATCCAGATTTTTCTTTTTTTCGCGTGCGAAAAACACTTTACAACTGAGATTTAAAACTACCTTTATGTACAGTTTCGGAAACCTATTCTACGATCTAAAAATTAGCCTAGGCCTAGTCCCACCATTAACTGGGCGGAAGGATGCCCAAGGTTCGCAAGCACAACGCCGCCGCGTTCAGCTTAGCCTCCTTCTTGTTGTTACATCCCCGTTCCGGCGTATACGTTTGACCGTTAATCTCCACAGAAAAAAGGAAGGAGCGGTTGTGGGCGGGTCCAATGTCCTGCCGAAGCTGATATTGCGGCGGGGTCCATTTGTTCTTGGATGTGAGTTCGTTAAGCACGCAAACAGGATGCTTGTCCTGAGTGACGAGTGGCGTTCCTGTAGTCACTCCAATTCCAGGCGCAGCTCCAGCATTTGCTCCCAGTATTCCACCTCCTCCGACTGGTCCGTTTGCATTCTTATTCCTTCGCTGGGCGGCCGCTTGACGCGTTGGAGGTGGCTTTAGGTCCTCGCGCGACACCAAGCCACGTTTGTCCAGCTTTACGTCCAATAAGAGAGGCTGAAGAGATCCGGTTTTACATCTGCCCAGTCCCTCGCCCGGCTTCCAGCCCATCTTCTGCAGTAGTGTCATTCCCATGCCACCGGTCACCGGCTTGGTGGAAGTCAATTGGTCTTTGCGCACCCACAGCTGCGGACCGCTGTTTAGCTCGTGAGCCTTCATCACCTGGGCTCCCGTGCTCCCCGTAAACTGACCCGGCAAATGTTTTGAGTTCGCCCACGACGACATGTTGCGCTGAGCATTATACATCATTTTTAGGGCCTCCGAGTCCGCCGGATTGTCCTGGTTGGAACAATATAATAATATTATATGAAATAAATTGAAGTTTTTAAATTTAGACTAAACTCACCTGCAGCCGGCGAATGGCACTAAGGCGCTGGGTGATTATGCTGGAGACATCCATGGATGGCGGGGTCACCTCCGGAAAGATGGAGCAATTTTGCGCCGGCGTCACTGGCGACGTGGATGGGATGGGCACCTCGGGTACGAAGGGAGCTGCAGCGGGCGGCGGAGCGTGTGCTTTTGCATTTAATATTGGCGGCGGGACGGGTTGAGGAACAACGGGGGATGGAGCAGCAACCGAGACAGACGCTCCCCCCCACTGGCTTAAAGGCGGGCTCTTGTTGCTCCTGCGAAGGCATTGACTTGGCAAACACGTTTTTCGGCGTCTCCTTAAACATATTGGTAGCCTGCTTGGCCGGCGGCAGGGAGGGCAGCGGCACCAAGGCATCTTTTCGCTCCACCGGCACCCACACCTCGTTATTGCGGTGCGTCTGACCCGAGGAAACCGGAAACTGCATGGTTATTGCCTTCGTTTGTTCGTCAACCCGGGATGGCGCTGGAACCAACGCTGTGGAGTTGCGGATGTGCATCACAATTGGCTCCCTTTCTTTTAGCTGAAACGGATGATGAAAAGCCTTCGTGTTGCCGTTCTTGTCCACATCGGAATCCTCGTCGGAACTAAGATCGGACAGTCCATCGCCGTTGGCGATTTTTTTGCAGAAGTCAGTCAGATCTTGGACAGTTCGACCGCCGTAGCGCATCTTGACCAGCACCTTGTCCTTTATCTCCGGCGTCATGTTGGCTGCGTCTCGCTTGAACATGTTTATCGCGTTCTTGCGCGCAATCTCCAAAAGACGCTTCTTGTCGATTCCGAGCTCACGGGAGCGTGATCGGGACCTTCGATTTCTGCGGGAATTGGACTCTCGCGCGATTCCCTTGGGCGACGTCCTAGTCTCCTCCTTGCCATCGTAAAAGCTGTTGTGGGGTCGGTGACGTCCATTTGCAGCCTTTTCCCGAAGGTATGACTCCTCGTCGGAGAGCGATACATCAGAAAGATCCCGCGGCTGTCGTGACTTGGTTCTTATAGCTTCCGATCTTCTGGAGCGCTCTCCCTCCCGATGACCATTGTAAAAACTGTTATGAGAGCGAACTCGCTCCTTTTCAACCTCCCTTTCCCGCTCTCGATCGCGTTCCTTGTCCCTTTCATGCCGTTCTCGCTTGATGGGATGGGAATCCGCCTTGCTGTTTGACTCCACAGCACTTCGCTTCCTGCTCTCAGACTTTTCTTTCTCTTTATCAGCCGGAACCGCAACCGGCGTAAACTTTTCCTTAGATTTATCCCTGTCCCGATCCCGATCTTTCTCTTTATCCTTGACCTTACCGTCTTTGTGCTTGTGTTTGTGCTTCTTTCGCTTATGCTTGTGTTTGCCTTCCGCTTCTGAGTCGCTGCACTCCCCATCCGATTTGGCCGGCTTCTTCTTTTTGGATTTCTTTTCCTTCTTCTCCTTTTTAACCTTCTTCTTCTTATTAAGCAGATTATTGTCGTCCAAAAGTTCCTCTGGAGGAGCAGCGTTGAAGACGCCGAAGAGTTCTGCGAGGATCTCGTTGGAGGACTTCACCGGCGCAATGTCCTTCTTGTCATCCACCGAGGAGGAGCTTTCGCTGTCTTCAGTTTCGTCGCCCTGCTCCTTGCTGTTGCTCCGCCGCTCCAGAGCCAGAGCCTCCGCTTTAAACTTGGCGTTTAGGGCCCTGAGCTTAGCTTCCACCTCAGCGTCCGGCTGCTCGCTCTTTACCTTAATTGGCGGAGTAGGAACCTCCGCTGAGGCAAAGGGCTCCCGTTCCGACTGGGATTCAGCCAGTTTAGGCTGCTCCACGCCAGCAGCTTTCTCAGTGTTCTCCGTCATTGCGCTCTCGCCGTCTAAGGGTTAGTCCTAGTGCCTATGCATGCCGCAAGTAAACCGCCACAGATTGCCTAAATGCTTGCTTTTTGGGTTTAAATGTTTTTTTTGCACGCCTGGACAGAAGGGTTTCAATAATAGTGATGACACTCTACAAGGTATCGTTGGTTTAGCACTGCCCAGTGGAATCGATACTTTCAAAGATATTTTCTTAGAATTGGATCCACCGTCCCAAAACAAATCGTTTAATATTAAAGTGTTCATAAGATTTACTTCCCAAAAACTACAAAAAATGTTTTTGTTGATTTTACTTATCATTCAAAAAAAGTCAGCCTGAATTCAATCGTAGATACCTTAGATACAATAAACGCCAGAAAAAATCGAGCCAAGTCCAGTTCTGTCGATTGGCACACCAATTGACCCTACCTATAAGTGGGCAGTCCCGATTTCCGAAGCGCAGCCAACTTCACTCACGTCGCTGTCACGAATTGCAATTTTTATAAAAAAGGAAAGAAATTAAAGACTTTCAAAAGGCGTAGAAAGTGCCAGTGTCGTGGGCGAAACGTCATTTTTAAGCTGCAAACGTAAGTACCCAATGCAGAGGAGCTGAAGGACGTTAGTTAACATCACTGACCTTGCTAATTTCAATGTATTTATTCGCCATTTCTTTTTTCGTCGCCTGCGCCATCGTGCTGTTTCTGCAACTGTGTTGGTCGATTGTACGTTATTTTTTCTTCGGTGCGCATTGGTGTGCGTGCGATTAAATTTTCGCCTTGGCTGTGTGCAATTGAAACAAATTGTTAATTGTTCCCGACAACGAAACTCCCCAAGGAGGCGTACGTCGCCACTTCCACAAATAATTGATTTTAGGCAACTGAATTTTTAAGCTAGCTAAACCCAATAGCGGCCCCTCATTAAAGCGGCAGAGAGAATAATAAAAAGGACAGAAAATGACGTCTTTGGAGCAGAATCGTTTACAAAACTTCAAAAATAAAGGGAAAGACCAGGATGTAAGTAGCAATAAGTGATACAACTTTTGCGGATTAAATTATATATACATTTTTTTAAGGAAATGCGACGACGCCGCAACGAAGTGACTGTCGAGCTGCGAAAGAACAAGCGCGACGAGACCATTCTGAAACGGCGCAATGTGCCCAATCTTGACTCGAACACAGACGAGGACGAGCAGCTGCCAACGTCCATCAACCTGAAGAAGCTCGCCCAGGCAGCCGCAGACCCCACCAAGCCGGAACAGCAGTTGGCTGCCGTTCAGGCGGCACGGAAGCTGCTCTCCTCGGACAAGAATCCACCCATTAACGATCTGATCCAAAGCGACATTCTTCCCATCCTGGTAGAGTGCCTCAAACAACACAATCACACAATGCTCCAGTTCGAGGCTGCCTGGGCCCTGACTAACATTGCCTCCGGCACCTCGGACCAAACCAATCAGGTGCGTCTTTCCCTCCACCTCACCGCTTTTCTTTTTGTAAGCTAACTAATTCCCATTTAGGTTGTTTCCGCCGGCGCTGTGCCGCTCTTCCTTCAACTTCTCAACTCGCCCGCTGCGAATGTCTGTGAGCAAGCCGTCTGGGCCTTGGGAAACATCATCGGCGATGGTCCATTGCTCCGCGACTTTGTCATTAAACACGGTGTAGTCCAGCCACTGCTGTCGTTCATCAAGCCGGACATCCCCATCTCATTCTTGCGGAATGTGACCTGGGTGATTGTGAATTTGTGCCGCAACAAGGATCCGCCGCCACCGGCAGCCACCATCCACGAGATCCTGCCCGCACTTAATGTGCTGATCCATCACACGGACACAAACATCTTGGTGGACACTGTTTGGGCAATCAGCTATTTGACTGACGGCGGCAACGACCAGATCCAGATGGTCATCGAGAGCGGGGTGGTGCCCAAGCTGATACCCCTGCTGGGAAACACTGAGGTTAAGGTACAGACCGCAGCCCTGCGAGCCGTGGGCAATATTGTGACCGGATCTGATGAGCAGACACAGGTTGTGCTCAACTACGACGCGCTCTCCTACTTCCCGGCCCTGCTCTCGCATCCCAAGGAGAAGATCCGCAAGGAGGCGGTCTGGTTCCTGTCCAACATCACCGCCGGCAACCAGTCGCAGGTTCAGGCCGTTATCAACTTTGGCCTTCTGCCCAAGATCATCGAGAACCTGAGCAAGGGCGAGTTCCAGACACAGAAAGAGGCCGCCTGGGCCATAAGCAATCTGACCATCAGCGGCAACAGGGAACAGGTCTTTACTCTGATCAAGGAGGGCGTCATTGCACCATTCTGTGATCTCCTCTCGTGCCAGGATACGCAAGTTATCAATGTAAGTAGGGAGCCGATACTAGTCGTTCACCAAATAAGTAAAAATTTTCTATTTCTTAAAGGTTGTTCTTGATGGCCTGAACAATATGCTCAAAGTGGCCGATTCACACGTTGAGGCGGTGGCCAACTACATTGAGGAATGCGAGGGTCTGCAGAAGATTGAGCGACTGCAAAGCCACGAGAACGTTGAAATTTACAAATTAGCTTATGAAATCATCGATCAATACTTTACGGATGAGGTGAATAACAATAAGACTATAACATTAAGAAACAAATTTCAAGTTTTTTTTTTTTTTTTTTTTGCAGAGCGAACAGAACACCATGGCACCCAGCTCCGATGGCACACAATACAACTTTGACCCAAATGCCGATAAACTACCAATGAACTCATTCAACTTTTAACGATCTAAAAGGGAAGCAACAGGAGTAGAAGTGAAAACCAAACGCGTGCAACACATATAATTTGGCGTTTATCAGTACACAACCCCTTGTGTATTAAAACCCGACGAGCCGCCAACCAATTCACATAATAATAGCATTATATTTTGTCCACCACACAGCAGCAGTTAGAAAGCCGGGTACTTTTTAGGAACAATGATGGGAACTCGGAAGGATACACAACGGAAAATTCGCTGCAGCCGTTTTAGCTTTTTTCAATTCTGTGTTAACAAAATTTACAAAATCCAGACATACATACACTTGTGGGTGTGTGGCTGTGCAATGCAAGGACTAATCCGATTGGAGTGAATCTGCTATAGATCATCCAAAATATATACACACAGGAATGCAAAAAAGAAAACAATTTCAAAACAATGTAGAACTATTTGATTTATATGGAATAATTTAAATATGTACGCTTTGATTTGTAATTCAAATTACATATGTATACATTTCTAACATGAAAACGATAAAAGCAAAAGACCACTCATGGTTTTGTTTCCAGGCAGATAATTTAAGCGGAAAGCTATAAGCTCAAGTGTGTCGTCTAGTTGTTTCGCGTTTCAACGCCTGGCGTACCAGATATCGGCCGAGTTGCTGTTAATTAGCATTTATTCGAGCTAATGCGTCACTTGAGCACGTTTCTTATTAATGCGCAATTGCCATCAACCTCTCTAGGGCAGCTAGAAAATCGGTTTTCGCATGGAAACAGATCTAGTGAATTTATAAACAATCGAATCACCCACTCAAGTGGGATTGCAACACAAGGGCTTGAGCGTTTTCCGAATTGGTGATCAAAACATAGGATGTTAAGTTAATGACTCACGCGAGATAAAAATTGTATCTATCTTCAGGTAAGTAAGATAAGCATTTTGCAATAGGATTTGGTTGAGTAATGCACAGTCTTATCCAATAAAAAATTTAAATAAATATTTTTAAAATATCTATATTTTTTTTAATTTTAATTGAAATAAAATCACCTGTCGGATAATCTTGGAACTATTTATTTTATTTACAAGGTTCTACATTACAATCTACACATACGTTGTTTATCTACATGATAAATTTACACGATGGATAATCGATTAGGGGATGTTTTAATCGATACAATTTTCTGTATTCACTGATACAGTCATCCTAAAGAGTAGCGTTTTTCCTAATGTTTTTGTTAACAGAACAATAGTTTTCGTTATTAATCTGCCTATAAAAGCCATCAAGAAATTCCTACATCATTCATTTAATAGTCACCAGATGCGTGACATGTTGCTCATCACTACAATCGCGTGACTCCTTAAAAAAGTACAAATCGTACTATTTATAGATGTGTGCACTTGTATAAGTAGCGCTGCATTTAATTCACATACTTTTTGCTTCCGTCAACATTGAGCAGCGGAAATTGGCACACTCTTTTCAAGGTCAAGGACGTTTTGCGGCAGCTAATGAACTTCCTATTGGGGGAAAAACCTGTTCCTATAAATTATACATATATGTAGCCAAGTGTTTCAAAGTTTATTCGACTTTAAAATTTTTTTAGAAAGTCATGAGCGGATGGCATCTACATATTTACATATGTATGTATTTTTTAAACGTGTCAGATTAAACACGTTAGTAAATAACCCTCTCAGCTGTTTGACTTTGAGGTTGTGTGGGTGAGCCCTCTCTCACTCTCATTGGGGCTCTCACCAAACTTTGGGGCTCTTCTTGTTTAGCGTTCCATAGGATTTTATTTTGCGATTGCCAGCGAACGAGCTCGGACGCTTCAATTATCGTCGCCTTGCCCGTGGAATATTTTTTCGCACAAACAACATAATGTCATCCGCCGCAGTTCAGCCACCCCCACCAGTTCCCCCTCCACCACCAGCGGCTGCCGCCGCCGCCGGAAAGGGTATTCATACCAAATTGTACAATGGCATGATTAGTGTAGCTGACAAATTTGTGCCCGCCAAATTGCGCCCACTGTGGATGCATCCAGCTGGTATGTCTGAGAATTTTTTCTTTAGTAAAATAATCAATTAATATAATCTGTTTTTTTAGGTCCCAAAACTGTTTTCTTCTGGGCCCCCGTCTTCAAATGGGTAAGTTGGCAATAAAAGGCAACAAAAAAGCCAGACAGAAGGGATTACATAATTCGGACAGCGCACGACCTTCGCTGATTTTCATTATCGCACACATACGTTCCTTCACAACAAATCCAAAACGACGGTAGACAAATCTGAACGCAGGTGCCATTAAATGAAATTATTTGATTATTTCGAGCAACCTGCGCTTGATAACTGGACTGCGTTAGTGTTTTTAAGCGGATTGTGATTGTTGTCTTTAATAGTAGAACCATAAACAGAAAGATTTCAAAGGTTCTGGGTGCAGTTTAAAAAACTTTCACCGTATTACAACACATATCAGTCATCTGGCAAGTTTATTGCATTTGTTTATGTTTTTTAAAAGCAGATATACTTAAAATATAGATGTCAGATTTTGCGTCTCAACAAACGAACATAAACAATTGTACATATATTTTGATATAAATATTTTTAAAAAGTCATAAAAACGTATATTAATGGCAATTTGCCAAGTTTAGTAGCAAAACAACAGTCCCGCTTTTGTTTGGTTTTCAAATAACTTTCTTATTTTAATAGAGGCTCAGTTAACAAAAAATATAAACTAATATTTTTTCAATAAAAACAAAAATAGACTTTGAGGTATCGGTGCTTATAAAGACAGGTTGTAAGATCTTACACACCAAATAGAATCCTTCCTGAATTTAACGTATCTTTAAGGATGTAAAAGAACACAAAAATCCTTTGAGGATATATCATAACAAGTTCTAAACATTTATTCACTCTTTTTCAGGGTCTTGTTGCAGCCGGTCTTAGCGATTTGGCCCGTCCGGCCGACACAATATCCGTGTCTGGATGCGCCGCCCTGGCCGCCACTGGCATCATCTGGTCGCGCTACTCGCTGGTGATCATACCCAAGAACTACAGCCTGTTTGCCGTGAATCTCTTCGTGGGCATCACGCAGGTGGTGCAGCTGGCCCGGGCCTACAACTACCAACAGAGTCAGGAGAAGCTGCAGAAACAGGAGACGCCGGCGGCGCAGAACTAGAGACATATCGATTCGAATACCGGTGCTGTCCCCTCTATATATAGACTTAGATCGAAGTGTTATGTACATGCATACAAATCCCACAACGCACAACGTAATCGAAAGGATTTAGGAGGTGCTGTGTTCGCAGATCGGGCATCTGCGTCTGTTAACCATTATTATTTATGGTCTATCGCCTTATCGACGTGATTCGTATTACTTAAGTCGTAACTGTGGAGGCTTTGTGTATAGTTTTATGATTACGAAAGTTACTGGACTTTTTGGGAATGTCAACAAATATATTGATAATAATATATTGGTTATTGTAAGACTGTAAGAAATAGTAAAACTGCCTCTGTTTTTTATAAATGGATTAAATTTGGCAAAGCTGTGGGACCAATGGATACAATAAGTCTGCGGAATTTCAAATTTAAATAATTAGTATAATTAGAATGCTTTTATAAATTATCTTTGAATCAACTTGTTTTGATATCTTGACTTTTAATAGTAATGAAAATTTAACTGAAAGCTTTCTTCATGACAATATTACATTATTACAAACAAAATATTAGAGTTTTGAGTCCAAAGTTAAATGACTTTGTGGTGTGTATTTTCTTTATATAAAAAAGGAGGAGAGGAGAAATTACAAATGTCAATCGGAAACAAAAGGTTTTCTTAAAACCGGATAAATGTTTGTTCAATATCTTGCATACGTCATGTGCTATTTATATTTGCATACCTGGTACCAACAAATGTAATACGTTTTACACTATTGCATTGACAAATACTAATAATAATAAATAATTAGGTAACTTTTTCCCCTAGGTCAATACAAATTAGTAAGTGATAGTATAAGCGCGAATGAGTTTTGCTTTTATAGTTATTTTATGGCTAATATTAGGTAAGAATTAGAGGCACTAGTGGCGTCACTATTTGTAGATAATTCTAGTGATAACAGGAGCTCAAAGCTAACAATTAATACTAGAGAAACATAAACATCTGTGAGTAGACCCTGGACTTTTCGAAAAGCTCAGTTGTGGATGGCTGCTTCATTGGAACTGTTGTGTCTCAGACTTTAATAAGCACTTTGTTCTCCACTGGACAAGAGGAACTATATCTCATCCACAATCGACTAGCATTCTAATCAATCACTCTCTACCTACACAACTTGATTAGAGGTAGGTTATAATAACATTGCTCTCGGTTTGTGAATCTACATCAGTTATTCTCTGTGACTTCGTTCGGTTCGACGCTAAATTAGAAAGAAACTATCTTTCGGCCGAAATGTCTACATCGCCTCCAAATCCTACGCCTACTTCCACGGCACCAGCTTCCACCGGAAAGGGTATCTCTTCCAGGGCTTACAATAGGCTGATTTTAGCCTGTGATAAATATGTTCCTGCCAAGATGAGACCCTTATGGATGCACCCAGCAGGTTTTTATCTCTATTTGAACATAAATGTTTATAAACAAGATTTTTATGGATTTTCTACTTTAGGCCCAAAAACTATATTTTTCTGGGCTCCTCTCGTTAAATGGGTAAGTGTCTAATACTGTTACATAACTTTAAGTCCTTTGCCAATTTCTATAATCGGCAAGCTGATAAACCAATCTGCGGGGGCATATTATTATTTGTATAGCTCTCCGCAGCCTGTGAAAGCTTGTGATAAATAAATATATTTTTTTATTGAGCCCCACGCGCGAAATTCTGATAACTAAATGATTGTGCAGTTTTAGCAGCTCATGGAATATTTCATAATATTTGTTGTTTAACCTGGGAGAGAGCTTTGGCAACATGCTATAGAGATTTGGGGGACTTACCCTTCATTATCAGTGTGATCTTTCTAATCTTCGTGCTTACTTTATTTCCAACGATAGAGCCTCGTTATCGCTGGACTCAGTGATTTGACGCGTCCTGCGGACATGATTTCTCCCAATGGATGTCTGGCTCTTGGAGCAACGAACCTTATATGGACACGCTATTCCCTGGTAATCATACCCAAGAACTATAGCTTATTCGCTGTGAATCTCTTTGTGAGTCTGACGCAGCTCTTCCAACTGGGACGAGCCTACCACTACAGGTGGGAGCAGTCAAAGCTGGAGAAGATTGGCGAAGCGAAGCCTGCTATTGAAGCCAGTTTGTAGGACATCGATGTATGCATTTTTCCAAATTTCTTTTAAATAAATTAAACTGTTATCTAGTCTAACATTCGGTTCTAATGGGTTAATAAAAAAAGCTAAATATGCATCACTATTTCTAAAATTTAATCGATAAACGTAAACAAAAGCGGCCTTTTCCCTGGGCGAAAATTAAGTTGCTTGTTAAATTAATAAATTAATATAAGCTAAATGGCTCTGGTGGATTATGGTGGCAGCAGCTCCTCCGCTTCTGAAGATGAAGAATCTGCGGAAAACACTCAAGCTCCAACATTAAGCATCCTTAAAAGGTAAAGCTGTTTGCTCAGATACATTTTGATTTCTACATTTAAACGGATTAAGACCTGCCCTGCCCACAGCTGCCGCTCTTTTGGGTCCCAAGAAGCAAAAACCAGACGAGTTTGAAGATGATGTGATAGATGATCCATCACTACATGGCGGTCGCATCCGAAGTTTTAAGCACGAGCGAGGAAATTGGGCCACCTATGTCTACGTGCCGGCAGATGCCTGTTCCGACCAACTGGAGGAGTTCCAAGCCGAAGCCATTTCCCATTTGGCCCTCGAGTTGGAACTCCAGGCCAATGACTCACTTCACTTAAGTCTGAGCCGCACAGTTGTGCTCCAATACCATCAGATAGATGAGTTCTCCCGATCTCTGCAACAAGCTCTTAACAGCTCCACGGGGTAAGTCCACAGTTCTTATCAATTACTCTTGGATTCCTTACAAATACCTCTTTTCAGTTTTGCTGCTAGTTTACAAGGTCTTCGAATTTATACAAACGAAGAGCGGACCAGAACCTTCATTGCGGCTCCTCTGGATGCTGCTTTTGTAGAAAAAATGACTGCTATTCTGCAACCCATTGATCAGGTGATGCTTGACTACCGGCTGCAGCAGTTCTATGTTCCAGCTTCTTTTCATGTCAGTCTCCTTTGGTGCGTGGGCGATCAGGAGAAACTGCTGAATAGCAAACTGAAAGAACTGCAGGAGCTGCTTGAGGACCAGGACACTCTCAGTTTGGCCGTCAATGAAGTGCACTTAAAGTGCGGTAACAAAGACTTTACCTACCTGCTAAAATAGGCAGCGGTTTTTAATGTTCAAAAATTCATATCTTTCTTTTGACCATGGTTCCTAGAGTGAATAAGGAGCAATTTGTTTTATATTTATGATTAGCAAATATGAAATTGTTCTTTTATAAATAAATATCTTATTATGAGCAGCAAATTAATATATTTATAATTCTTAATTCTCGTTAGAAAAATAAAATACAAACTTTTAGAGATATGCTATTTCGAAATCCGATTAAAATTAGAAAAGTTATAAACTTAAAATTAGTGGATTTTGGTCAATTTTCAGCAATTCTTATTGTTTTGGAAATTTCTGCAAAGGTATTATTGCATTTCATTGTTATGCAGAGTTAGCCCTTGCAAAATGTTTTTCGAATATGTAACTTTATGCTTAAATACGATGTAAGCCATTTTGACTTTTTTAGTTAAGACCCTTCTTTTTGTTGCCATTTCCCTGTTTGGCTGCCTGAGCCTGCTCCTCAAGTAAACGCTCCTCCTCCAACTCCAAAAATCGTTGACGACGGCGACCCAGAGGCGTTTTGGACCACCAGGACTCGAAGGCCTCTTCCTCCTCGCGGTAGACCGGATCACGAGAGCTGAAAGAGAGAAATATTGTTAATAGTCATTTAAAGTTTAAAGATTTATAAACACCCACCACAGAACATTGATAAGTTCAGCATTGGTAAGTGGTTGTGTCCGAAGCTGTAGTTTTCGCTTGCAGGTCATCACTTCCTTAAGGCAGGCATCTATAGATCCAATGGTATAGCCATCGGATATCTTGGCCATGGCGCTGGTGTCAAGATTGGAAATGCCACCGGAGTAATCACTTTAACGAAGAAAAATGAAATAAAATATTGATAGATTAAATATTATTGAAACCACCTACTGCAACAATGTTTTCCAGGCATGCGACATGGCTCCGTAATCTGGTCGTGGAATATAGATAAACCGATTGTAGACGGACTGCAGCAGCTTTTGGTCTGCTTCCCAGGGCAAATTTGAGGTGCCCACGAAAATAACTCGATCCTCAGGTGCAATATTCTTAATTAGCTTGGGAAGATCCTTTTTCAACCGCTTGGGATCCGTGCGATCCGTCTTGGGGATTTTCTTCATAAAGGGTCGCTCCGCATCACCCATATATATAACTGCAGGCTGCAGCAATCTTGACACTTTCAGTACCAAGTGAATAAGCATTATCAGACCCGATTTGCCAGGATACTTTCCCACTATATTAGCTGGTGTCAAATCGAATAGCACCGCTCCCACCTCCGTGCAAATGGCGTGGAGCAGGGCCTTCTTCCCAGATCCCCTGGGTCCAGCTAGCAAAATGGAGCGTATGAGCGGCGTGCAATTGTGGATGGCATCCGAGCCGAGGGGAAGGATGCAATACTCAATCAAGATTTGTCGGATGTCACCAGGCGAGGGATTTGTGCCGTTTCGAGCAGTTAGCGCCTTGTCGCCCAGGAACTGTTTTATCCTTAGTTTGGGGTATTTCCGAATGATGCCATTAGTGACTAGCTCCTCATAAAGCGACTCCGTCGTGCGATCGGGTGTCAGATCCTTCTCCTTCTTCTTTTTGCTCTTCTTGCCGGATCGTCGCGTCTTCTTGCTGCTCTTCTTTACCTTCTTTCCAACGGCCGTCTGTAGGAGCTCGATTTCCTGGCGCATCACGTCGTCAACTGCGCGACGGAACTCCAACTCCACCTCCTGGTATTTGTCACTGTAGATCATATCCTCGTAGGCCGCCTGGCTAAGCACACCTGTTTCATCCTTGTCGCGCCAGGTGTCGTTGAAGCTATCAAAATAGGATAAGAAATAAGATTTAAATTGATGTCTTTAAATAAGTTTTACTTACAGATCTATTTCCGCTCGAATATCTGGCAGGCAAACGGAAGGCGCTGGCTGGAAGCTGACCTCCTCCTCCTGATTTTCATTGACGTTGAGGTCGCCGCTACGGGCTGGTGACTTCGACTTATCTTTCGTTTTCCGCGACTCCTTAGAGGAACGTGCCGAGGAGCGACTGTGCTCGCTCTCAGTTCCAGGTCTGCTGAAGATGTGGAGCGAACCGCCCTGATCCTCGGAGGGAAAGTCCGGCAGCTTGCCCGTTTTGTCGTAACAATCCTTCACCCAGGCCCGAATTTCATCGGCAATGTCCTCCTTCATACTGGCTCCATGCTTGGACCTAATCTCCTCCTGCAGAGCACGCTGCCGCTCCTCAAATTGTTTTCCGTAAAGTACCTGCGCCTCGTAGCGCTTCTCGTTGTGCTGCAGCTTCTCCAGCTTCTCAGCTCGCTCCTTGACCACTGCCGGTGGTGGTGGAAGCATTCCAATCAGGATCATCTCCTCCATCTTTCGGCGACGAGTGATCCGCCTGGCTGTGTGGCCACGCCACATTTTCTGGATCTTCATGGCGGCCAAAAGACCGGAGTCACTGCGCTCCTTCTCAGTCCGCTCCTCCGATTTACCCTTTTCCTTAAGGATGCGGATCTCCTTCATGAAGTGGGCACGCAAGCGACCTTGTCTTGCTCTCTCGTGCATCTGCAGCATCCGTATGGCTTCGATCTCGGTGGTCACCGTCTCCTCCATCTCGTGCTCCTCCAGCCAGCCCAGCTTGACGAGGATTTCCTGCATGGTTTTCTTGCGAAACTCCAACTCTTGTTGCCGTTCGCGCAGAAAGTAGCGGGGAATCCGCAACTCCGTCTCCATGGGAGTGAGGCGCAAGCGCTCCACCACCTCATCATTGTAGCTGAACTCCATGAGGTCAATGTTCACGAGATCATGCTTCAGCTCAACCACACGGCCCAGGCAGGCGTCCAACAACTTGCGTACTAACTGACGCTTCTGCGGTTGAATCATCTGTACAAAAATCAGGAATGGGTGAGGAATTAAGGGTATCATTTACCCACATATACCTACATTATCGTATACATCTTCCAGACGATTGCAGAGACAAATGTACCGCAAATAGAACTCATACAAACTGGACTGCAGAAGAGCCTTTGCATCCGCATCCGCGGCGACAGAGCCAACTGTGGCATTCATGGTGGCCACCGTTGTTTCCACATCTTGGTGCTGCCTCTCATAGTCAATGGTGGACAGCAGCTCGCATTCATGCTGGGATTGATGCCAGATTTCATTAAAATATGTGCTGGACATGGTAATTCAAGATTCTCAAAAGCAAAACTGATCGACTTGTTTAAATTTAAAAGAACGTTGCCATGCTCTCTTTTTAGTTGCCTAGGAGCTTGTTTGCCACATAAGGGTGCAATTATAAAAGGAGCAGTACTCAATGGGGTTTCAGTACACTTTTATTAGTATATATAATAGATTTTGTCTAAAGGCGTTGCCTTGGGTTCCTCTCGAGAACAATAAAAATAAATATGATTATAAGTATACATATATTACATGGAATACGCTTAAAGGATTATATAGTTCAGGGGATTTCAATGGATATAGTGCACGGAATTAGCTCATTATTAATGCAAAATTTCGTTTCCAAAAACAGAACTCCTTCTTTACTTGAAATGCTTACCATCTTAATGCTTACAAGGTAACAAAAATATGCTTCAAGTAAAAAGGGGAGATATTAAGGAAACTTAACATTTAAAAAATTTTAAATGGAATTGAAAGCAGGATCGATTAGCACATACATTCATACATCCTTATTTAATAAATAGTTAACAATATAATTGTGGCTAGTCACAATTCGTTTTAAATGTTATCTGTGGAGCAATACTTGATCATGGATTTGGTGTGCTTAAATTGGATGCCACTAGTGGCGGCTAGGACCTCTTGTATAAAGGTTTGCGAGTTATGAATGGTGGTGCCGCCAAGGATAACCCTGTATCCAGCGTTATTTAATTGGTGTACAGCCAAAGCCTCCTCGTAAGTGGCTCCACCAATTATGAAGACAACAACCTCCTGCGGTGGTCGTCGGAATGGCACAAGCTCAGAATTTATTGCCGGAAAGAGGGGATCCAGCTCGCGGCCCTTGAACACATCCTCGAGGGTCTCCTTTAGCAGTGGCGTGTGTTGGGTAAATACATTTTCGACTCCCTTGAGGCCTTTGATCAGATTGCGGGTCAGCTTGACGGCATCTGTAATGCGGACCATGTTGAACAGGTCACCCTGGCGAACATGAGTTCCAGCATACTCAATCAGAGAAGGCACCACAGCCGCATGTCCGCCGCGAGTTTTGATGATCTGCAGCAAACCGGATGTGTCACAATTGGCATGTCGCTCATACCGCAGGGCGTAGAGTGATACTAGCTTAAGGGCATCCTCGATGGAAACCCGTTCGTCCGCTATCAGTTTCTTGATGCGCTGCAGCTGAGCTGAATGCTCCGCTTTGCAGGCGATCTCCTGCTCCAGCTCAGAAACCTCGAAAAGATTTCGCTTATTGCTCATTGCCGAAAGTTCGCCAATTACGCACAAATGCTTTTGAACTGTTCCGGACATCTTTTTGAACTGCGGATACGACTCAATGAAGTTCTTCATGTCCGCTATGCTCTCCACCTTTTTGTGGTCGTGGGCCTTTCGCTGAAACTCCTCCATCAGTTGCTTAATCGTAGATCCAATTTCGCCATAGTTGGCGTACATGTTGTTGCCATAGAACTCATCCTGATCGCCGGATAAAACCAGCTCCTTGAAGTCCTTTGGTACGTTCGGGCGATTGGAGAGGTCCAATCGATTGTTCTTGATGTGGAGCAGTTCGTGGACCATGGCTTGGTAGGTCCACTGGTGAAGCAAAGGCGTTACTGGGTCATCTCTGCGATCCAGCACGAGGAGCAGTGGTGGTGCAGCACCATCCATATTTGACCGAAAGTCGAACAGGGAGGACTCCTTGGTGATTTGTTCGTAAATCAGCTTAGCCAGGAGCTGGGCTGCCTGGGAGCCGGCTCGATACCGAATCACTGGATTTAGTTTCAGGGACAACAGCACGGCTGTGATACCCTGCATGCTTCGGGACAGTGCATCCGGCAGCCAGTTTAAGTTTGCCATGCAGTTCGGAATACCCAAGGAAAACAAATTGGGGTTGACGCACAGGTAATCCGCGTACAGCTCCTTTACCTCCCGCACCGATTCGGATTCGTCGCATTCTGCCAGGTATTTAATATCCGTTCGGGGTATAATGTTGCTGAAATCTTTTTATCTGTTTAGTACTTTTGGGGTAAGACTTGTTCGACCCACTTACATATGTAGTAGGCACTGTATTTTGGGTTCCTTAGTTCGTTCGCCAAGAGCTGGATATTCTGCTTGGTGGGTCGAATGAAGACAATGCACTTAAGGTACTTTAACCGTTCGTTAGATCTGCCAGAATCCAGACGTTCGAATAAATACACCTCTCTCTGCAGCATGTCCGATTGGCTAAAGGCCATGGAAATTATACTGGTCTGAAAATGATGTGGATTTATAGTCCGGAAGCTTTCATATGGTAGAGGTTTTAGGAGTAATACTCACTGTCTCCTTGTCCAGTAGAATGATTTTCATACCCGGACCCGATTCGGAGCACATCTTTTCAATGTACAACTTTATGCCGCTTATCAGATTCATAATTGCTAACTAATTTACAGTGAAATTCCAAGGAATAATGTTTTTTCGCAAACAGATGGGATAGATGTGGGAATTTTTCGATAGTTCAGTGATAACAGCGGTTGGAAGACAGTGGTAGCTATCTGGTATATTTTCACTCTAACTATTATGTGAATTGTATATTGATAAAACAAAAATTTCGCTTTTAACTTCCTATCCGATTGGATTTATGCATTCGACCAGGAAAATTTAAAATTTAAGAAATATTTGATTTTCCGCTAATTTGTAGCCAAAAAGAAATCGACAAGGCGCCGTAAACCTTGAGCGATAGATCTTGTGCCGATTTGTTATCGGTCTAAAAGCACTCGTAGCAGTCGGTCAGATATTCTGGCATATATTTTTGGATTCAAATTCTGGTGCCTACGATGAAGGTGCACTGTTGAAAACCGGTAAAATACAAGAGTACGAGTGAGCAAAGACTTGGACCCAATGGAGATGCAACTGGGGGCGACGCTGCATGTGTACCAGGGGGAGTACGGACTGCCGTCCATTGATTTTGAATGTTTACGTGCGCTGGTAAGTTCCGTTGCATCACACGGCGGCCAGCACGCCTGTTTCTCCCATTATCGCTATCTCTGAAGAACCTGGCGTCTTTTCATTTTCCCCCGCAACAGTGCCTTCTCCGTTTCACTCGCTGTCCAATGGACGTGCAGACCAACTCAAATCCCCTGCGATCGGGAGCAGGAAAATTACCGTACTTGCAAATCGGCAACGAGAAGTACGCGGGCTACAGGAAAATCAAGCGCGTGCTCGATCTCGAGGTGAGTGCGCCGAACAATGCCGGGTGAACAAACTTCTCGGTCTATTTATAGTTATATTTTGCATGAGTTTTTAATGCATCCACTCTTTCTTCCAGGGTTACCCGATCGATGCGCATTTAAACACCAAACAAAAGCATTTGTCCACCGCCTACGCGAACTGGGTGTTTACCAATCTGCACGCCTACTACCACTACTTCCTGTATGGAGAGCCCCACAACTTTGATACGACCACACGGGGTCTTTACGCAAAGCGCACGCCATTCCCCTTTAACTTCTACTATCCTTCTTCCTACCAACGAGAAGCCTGCGACGTCGTCGAGGTGATGGCCGGCTTTGATGTAAACGACAAGATGAGCAAGCACGAAAGCGACTATGTGAGTGCATTCAATAGTGTCAAAACTGAAATAACAAACTATGTATTGAAATCTAATCTGAATGGATTAGACCAATATTAGATATTTACTTTTTTAGCAACCCTATTTTTGGTTTTGATAAGAGCAGACAATAACGTTTGTATTTCATCATTAAACCAACTCCCAAGATAGGACTAAATCGATTACGTTTTAGTATGAGTCAACATAGTAAAATTCGAAAGAAGTGATGAAAGAATTAATATATATTGATTCATATTATAGGAGATTAAAAAATTTCGGCTTACAGCTGTTTGTCATCTCTTTTTATTTCCAGCTTGTTGTCAACGCCAAAAAAGTTGTGAATTTGCTGTCGCGGAAATTAGGCCGCAAGGTTTGGTTTTTCGGCGACATCTACAGCGAGTTTGATGCCATAGTCTATAGCTATCTGGCCATCATCTTCAAAATCTCACTGCCCAGCAATCCACTGCAAAACCACATTAAAGGCTGCCAGAACCTGGTGAACTTTATCAACCGCATCACAAAGGATGTTTTCCGAAGCGAAGGCTACAGTTCCGTGAAGCTCACAAAGACTCCAAGTGGTACGGAAGCGAGTCTGACAGCATCAGAGCGCAAGTTTTTAGATTCCGAGCTAAATACAAAGATCGTGGCCGGCGTGGGAGCAGTTTTGGCAATGGGAGCTTTTGCAGCATGGCGCGGCATTTACAACCAGGTGGGCATTGATAAAATTCAGTAGTTCTAAACCCTTAACTGCCTGGAGCTTATTTGACAGTTTTGGGTCAATGTCTTTGTTTGGCTCCAAACACTCTTGTAGAAACGCAACAAGTGCAAGTGCCAAATTCTCAGTTAATCGCAAATTCCGATCGTCCCTTGCAGCTAACAACGCGCTCCTCGACGGACTACGATGGCATAGATTATGAGGACGACGAGCTGGAGGAGGGCATTGAGTAATAACGCCTCTGCAATGATATCTATGTATAGTATATATTTTAAAATACAATGAGGGAATGAAGCACAAAAACTGTCCAACTTTTAAAGTTTTGCGTTAGCATTTTGAGTGGTCGATTTATTTGGTTATACATTTTTTAATTGAATACACGGGTTATTTTAAAAACACTTCTTAATGGCGAAAAAATATTACCTGAGTTTAACTTTCAACAAAATATATAGTCGTTAGATGGCTTTCATTTAAATTCGACCCACTCAAAAATGCGTATTCGATGTATGTTACATTTAATTCGCATTCGTTTTTAAAATGTCTTGTATAATATAGCATTTTAAAGTCACCGGAGCATAATAAAAAGTATGGCTGACTTGTATGGGAGAAGACAACAAAAACTTTCTTGATGACCTTTATAAAAACCAGAACCCCTTGATTGTAGTTGGTTTTGCTTTATTACACACTAGTCTTAAATATAGATTTCGAATAGGGGTCAATATGATAGAGATGTTAGAGTCTACAATGGAATCGGTAGATGCATGAGGGGTAACCATTGCACTCATGTCTTGAGTGCATCCTGCAGCTTTCGACGCGCCACACCGACCCGATCCTCCTGCTTGCGTATGTCGTCCTCGGAGATGATCACGGCGTGCATGAGTGGCTGTTCGGGATCCATGAACGCCATGGTATTCTTGGTCAAGTCCGCCTTCGTGAAGCTCTGGCCGCGGACGCCGGTATTGAGCATGTGCAGCGCTGTGGCCACCGACTGGAGGACGGTCTGTTCGTCGACATTGGGGCCAACGGTGCGAATGGTTTTGGGCAGTGAGATGTCGTCCAGTTCCTCGCCGTTGTCGTGGCAGGCGCGTAGTCTTTCCAGTCGCTTTTCCCAGAACAACTGCTTGGGTTTCTCCTGAGTGCCATGCTTGGCATCGGGCTTGCCCTTGGCGGGATCCTGGCTGTGGTTACGAATCGCCGTCACCGGTTGCTTGAAGATCGAGGCAGTCTGTCGGATGGGCGGCACTAGGGAGACGTCTGTGCGCAGGGCTCGGCTGCAAAGGATAATCGACTTATAGCATTAATTAAGTGTTGGTTAGAGGATCATTCACTTAAAAAACAAGCAAGGAAAAACACAAAATGGAGCTTAAACATGCAAAGATGGTAAAAAGAATTTCAGTCGCCATAGAGCTACAGCTTTTTCAATTTTTAGTGGTTTCTACGAATTTGCTGGCCAATTGTAGGTTGATTGGATTTTGGGTGAATTTTGATTTTCGCCAGCTGTACTCTTTGCGTCCTGACTGAAGGCTACTGGCAAACAAGACGTGACACGCTGGCATGCAAGAGTCAAGTGCTCCTTCCCCACTTGGCTCTACCTGAGTTCGATCTGTTGCTGCTGGCGATTATTGGCCGTTGATGGGGATGCAGATGCTGCTGTTGCTGGGGTAGTTATCGCTGGGGCAGCAGCTCCTGCTGCAGCTGCAGTGCCTCCTTGACTCCTGGCGAACTTGCGCTTAAGGGCATTCGCTGCCGATCCGGTGGCGGCCCCATTTCCCCCGCCACTTGTCAACGGCAGAGGCATGGCGCTGCACCGATACAGCGAAATGGAGGGCGAGGGCAGGGCCCTTTGTTGCATCTTGCCAGTTTGAAAATCGGAGACTCCAATGTCCTGCGGCTTTCCCTCGACCCTTTTTCCTGTAGGACTGCTGAACGGACACGGCGGGTGGAGATTTTTTGGGTGGGTTATTTGGGTTCGAGTGTGTGTGTGTGTGTGTGTATACATAGGCGTGTGCGTGTGTGTTGGTGTTGATTTGGATGTAATAACAGAAAGGTAGTGAAAGTGATTAAACGTATATCCGATTCAACAGCGTGCAGTGTTCCGATACGGAGTATATCCTTCTTAGTCTATATTTGTAGTACCATTCTTCTTCTTTACCTGTAGTAGAAAACATCCACCTTGTTATTGTTGTTGTTGTTGCTACTGCTGTTGTTGTTGCTGCTGGCGTTGCTATTAGCGCTGCTGCCTGATTTGCGGACTTCGTCGCGCTGCCATCCTTTTGGCAGGACACTGCAGTCGACACGTTTGCGCTCGATTGTGACGCTCGGGTTCATTTGCATGCTCGCCGAAGTAAATAATTAACAATTCAATCAAAAAGCAGCGTCTGGACTGGCAGCAGTGTGGCTGTACAACAGGAGACAATAATGCCAAAAGGCGACAGTGCTGCCAATAATAGTCAAAATCTATTGAACAATTGCTTTTATCCGAAACACACTTTTTTAATGAATAATAACTAGACCCTAATATTTTTGCGTTTTATCCAGGATTACTGCCCGCAATAAACCGAAAATTATTCTTTTTGAAATAGTTTACCTAAATTCTCTAAAAAAAACACTAAGATAGCACCACTATCTATACCTGGCCTGGCCATACTTCCCAACAACTGCTCAATTACCAACACTGGCTTAAAATTGAAGAAGAGGAAGCAACAGCAGAAAGGGCGACGTAAGAAATTTCCAAGTTTTCATTCGCATTTTCCAGACCATGAATAGGAATATGTGAATCCAGCCCAGCAATACACAGATCTCACTCATATACACTTCGCCACAGTACCCATTCGGTCCGAACTACGCCTGCCGACAGCAGAAGAACCTTTGAAGGGACCTCCCACTCGATCTAATTGGGAATTTTGCACCTGGGACAAGTGGCAGCTGCTGGGACCCGAAAATCATGTCTTCGTCAGCCATTTTCGTGCTGGACGTGAAGGGCAAGGTGCTGATATCGCGTAACTACCGCGGCGACAACATCGACATGGCCGTCATCGACAAATTCATGCCGCTGCTGATGGAGCGCGAAGAAGAGGGCCTAATCACCCCGATTCTCCAGACGGCGGAGACGACGTTCGCCTACATCAAGACCAACAACCTTTACATTGTGTCCACCACGCCGCGCAACAAGAACGTGAATATCGCTCTGGTCTTCGTTTTTCTGCACAAGATCGCCCAGGTTTTTGTGGAGTATTTCAAGGAGCTGGAGGAGGAGTCCATCAGGGACAACTTCGTTATTATCTACGAGCTGCTGGATGAATTGCTCGACTTTGGCTACCCGCAGACCACCGACTCGAAGATCCTGCAGGAGTATATCACGCAGGAGGGGCACAAGTTGGAACTGCAGCCCCGCATTCCGGTGGCCGTGACCAATGCCGTCTCCTGGCGTTCCGAGGGCATCAAGTATCGCAAGAATGAGGTCTTCCTCGACGTCATCGAATCGGTCAATCTGCTGGCCAACGCCAATGGCAATGTGCTGCGCAGCGAGATCGTGGGAGCAATTAAAATGCGGGTTTACCTCTCGGGAATGCCCGAGCTGCGTTTGGGTCTCAACGATAAGGTCCTGTTCGAAAGCACGGGTCGCGGCAAGTCCAAGTCCGTGGAACTGGAGGATGTCAAGTTCCATCAGTGCGTCCGGTTGTCAAGGTTCGAAAACGACCGCACAATCTCGTTTATTCCGCCAGACGGCGAGTTCGAGCTGATGTCCTATCGTCTTAACACGCATGTGAGTATTTAAATGAAAAGTATTAGTCATTTAGTTGCCAAAAATTCGTTAAAATTCCGAAAATTGCTTAAGATATTAACTTAATATATTGTATTAGTTATATTGTATTTAAATATGTATGTATGTACTTCCTTTTGCTTAAAAATTTCGAATATAAACTAATCTGTATACTTTTTACCAGGTCAAACCGCTGATATGGATTGAGTCGGTGATCGAGAGGCATGCTCACTCCCGCGTGGAGTACATGATTAAGGCAAAGTCTCAGTTTAAGCGAAGATCGACGGCTAATAATGTGGAGATCGTCATACCGGTGCCCGCCGATGCTGATTCCCCCAAGTTCAAGACCACCATTGGCAGCTGTAAGTACGCGCCAGAGCAAAATGCCATTATCTGGACGATCAAATCGTTCCCGGGCGGCAAGGAGTATCTGATGCGGGCCCACTTCGGTCTGCCGAGCGTGGAGAGCGAGGACAATACGGAGGGCAAGCCACCCATTCAGGTGCGCTTCGAGATCCCCTACTTCACCACGTCGGGCATTCAGGTGCGCTACCTGAAGATTATCGAAAAGAGCGGCTATCAGGCGCTGCCGTGGGTGCGGTACATCACGCAGAACGGCGACTACCAGCTGCGTACAAATTGAGAGGAGCCAGTCCCGCCCCTGCATCATTCCAGCCAAGCTTCAGCGAGTCATCCCTGCAACAGGTAGCTTCACCTCCACCCGCGTTTTTGTCTGCGATGCGTTGCGTTAAGTCAAAAGTATATATTTGTATTCGTATTGTTTCAGTATATGTATATTGTATGTAAATCAAATCTAATAAATTTTAACACCTTTTCATAACACCTGCACCAGAGTGGGTCAATTTTAGATCATGCTCGACTTCCTGAGACAAATGCGAAATTTTTTACAAAATCGACCCACCCAACTTGCACGGATGAGTCATAACAAACGGGTTGGACCCACACAAAATTGTTTGCCTATTGCTTAATCATAATAAATGCACTTTCGATCGAGTCTCTCGGTTCGCTTTGATTTCTGAGTTGTTAGCTTCTTTTTTGGCACACGCGGAACTACTGCTGAAAGTTCTTCAGGGGGTACTTGTCCTTGTGTGCTTCAATGTGCTTCTCCAGCTGCTTCTGCTGATCCAAAAGATGCTCTGGCATCTCCGCGTAGACACCCTCGAACATCTCGCGCCAATTGGGTTTCAGTTTCTTCTCGGAGACGGCAATCTGCTTAAGCACCTGCTTTCTGATGTCCTTGATGAATGCGGTTTCGTCGGCCTCGTCGAACCAGCCCTTGTGCACCATATATTTTTTTAGTTTGGAGATTGGATGCTCTTCGTTATTCCACACCTCGATCTCTTCCGCCGGGCGATAGGCGGTACTGTCGTCTGAGGTGGAATGGTGACCCACACGATATGCTAGGGCTTCGAAAACCACCGGTTTGTTCTCCCTGAGCACATACTCTCTGGCCTCCTTCATGGCGTTGTAAACGGCAAAGACATCGGTACCGTCCACTCGAATAGTCGCGATTCCGTAGCCCATTGGACCACGTCCTGCGATGCCATCACCTTTGTATTGTTCGTGGGAGGGAGTAGATATGGCAAATCCATTGTTGCGACTGAAAAGAGGGATTGAGTAATACATTAATAGGTAACGTGCTCCTTACTTAAACATAAATAGAATAAAAAGATAACGAGAGTTCTTAAACAAATTTTTAAAAGCAACACTTCTGATAAGATAAAAATAGTGTTGAAAATTTTATCTTATCAAATGTATGGTTTTTCTATCTCAAAATGATCACTTCCATTTCGAGAACTATTTTTTAGCATGTAAATATACATTGGTTACTCACCAGAACAGGATAACTGGACAGCCCAACGTCGCTGCAAAGTTGAAGGCGGCATGGGCATCTCCTTCGGAAGAAGCTCCCTCACCGAAATAACATACCACACAGGCATCATTGTCTGGCTTCAACTTCATGGCATAAGCAGCTCCTACGGCCTGTGGCATTTGTGTGGCTAAGGATAAAATAGAGAGAAGGGATTAGGTCTAAAATACTAGATATTCCAGGCAATCAACTTACAAAGAGGACTAGAGATGGTGACAAAGTTCAGTTCCCTGGAACCGTAATGCACGGGCATCTGTTTGCCACGACCCAAGTCATCCACGTTGCCATAGCACTGGTCGATAAACTGATCGATGCGGAAGCCACGCCAAACCAGCACACCAGCCTCGCGATATTGCCCGTAGATGAGATCTCTCATTTCCAGGGCGGCGGCACTGCCAATGTGAGATGCCTCCTCGCCAAAATTGGTCATGTAGAAGGAGATCCTTCCCTGTCGCTGGGATTCGTACAGGATCTTGTCCATCGTGTTAAGCAGGAGCATGTCGCGGAACATTTTCTCCACCACGTCGCGACTTAGCTGCGGGTCCTGGGTTTCATCCGCGATATAGCCATCTTGATCCATAACTCGGTAAATGGGAATCGGCGCATAATCCTCTGGGTGAATTAGCTTTAATTTGTTGACAAATGGAGCTTTGGCACCGGGAAAATTCCCGAAATTATTTGATGGCTCCGAACTGAAATCTCGCGCAGCAGAAGAGATCGCACCTCCAACCTGTCAATAATAGATTCAAATAACAACAAACCCAATTGATAACTCTAAGTACGAACCGATTTTAAGTGATGTTGTTGCCTTGCCACGGCACCCAAAAGATGTACAGATTTTCGCAGGAATGACATGATATAAAAATTGTATCTATTATTTATTAAATGCAACAGGTAAGGGCAAATCCAAAGATTCGGATTCAGCTGCGTGGTTCCCAGCTGATTACGCAATTGATTTGGTGTTGTTACCATATCGATATGTCAATCGATGGCTCATTTTTTTGTAATCGAGATCAGTCAATATAGATTAAACCTTTAAAATAAAAATTCAACATATAAGGTATTTTTCTTAATAAGAATTGCATCATTACATTTGGTTAAATTTTTATGTAAGTTTAATTTATGAAGTTGTATTTATTCTGTGCATTGAATTAAAACTCGCGCCAAACAAATATCGATAGGGAAACCAAAACCACACGTACTTAATATTTGTGACTTGTGCCACCTTTTCTTTACAACACCATGGCAGCAGTAGAAGAAGCGCAATTCTGGCAAGCTATTGGAATATTGATAAAAAACTACCATGCCTTGAATAAAAAGATATTCGAAGTGGTGATTACCCAAGTGGAAAAACAGCAAGATGGACTACTGCGAGGTTCTAGCGAAGAGGAACTAGTGAAGTCCCTAAAAGAAGAGCTAAGCAACCGCACGTGCACAGGATTTAAGATTCGATTCAAACTGCTGCCCAAGAAGTTGCAGGATAACATCTTGGGAACCGGAATTGTGGGTTAGAGGAGTACTATTTAAATTCGTATTATAAGTCTTAATAAATTCTATATTTGTAGATTTTGTGGAATGCAAATATGAGTGCCAGTTTGCCAGCGATGATATTGAAGACTTCTCGGTGCAGCTTTCAAAGGGACAACTTCTTCTGCAAGCCAAACAAAACCAAAATTGGTTAGAGTTTGTCCTTAAACCAAAGCTTCTCAGCTGGTCCCAATCCAAGCAGAACGAATCAAAGGTGAAGTCATTGGGCTTGTTAAATTTGGAAAAGTATAACGATCTGTACAAGAAGTTGAAACAGAAGCATTCCCATCGACTACTTGAGTACTGGAAAACGGCTCAAGAGTCCACGGATCCGCTGAAGTTCATCTACGAGGATTTGGCCATTGCCGCCTATCTTATTGTACTTTGGAGTCAAACCCAATCCGAGCCTAAAGCTTTTGCGGATTTGGGCTGCGGAAATGGTTTATTAGTGCATGTCCTTAATGATGAAGGCTACAAGGGCTATGGTTACGATATAAGGAAGCGAAAGCTGTGGTCTCTTTATCCGGAAGACACGAAACAAAACCTCATCGAAAAGGCGGTGGAGCCAAACAGCTTTCGTTTGGATTTCCCAGACATAGATTGGTTAATTGGGAACCATTCGGATGAACTTTCTCCCTGGCTTCCTGTTTTGTCTGCACGTTTAAACACCAACTATTTTCTGCTACCCTGCTGTCCTTTTGAGCTTTCTGGCGCCAAATTCCGAAGACGAAATACCAAGATAAGTGCCTACCAGGACTTCTTCCAATATGTTACGCAGGTCTCCAAAGAATGTGGCTTTGAAGTTCTACAAGACCGTCTGAAAATACCGAGTACTAAGCGCTTGGCACTGTTGGGAATTAAAAGGAACACCTCAAAAAGCATCACCAGCGTAGAGTACTTTGTGCAGGAGGAGTTAAGGAAGTACAGAACTGGAGAGTCGGAAGTTAAGTTGCGAGAGAAGGGAGAATCCGTTCGCAATTGCACGCAAGTGGACAAAACTATTATTGATGGTCTGGTGCTAAAGATCTTCAATCAGATCTTGGCTTCTAGTGAGGATAAATGGGCAGGTCGCCTTTCTATGCGAGAGATCGCCCAGAGTCTTTCCAAAGAAGAACTGAGTGGCATAAAATCCGAGTGCGGCGGTATTAAAACCTTGCTGAGAAATAAACACGAAGTATTTGAGTTCTGTGGCGGCGATCTTATAGGGATAAAAACACCAAAGCCATCAACTCATCTTCCATCTCGTCTGACCACCAAAAAGCGCAACTGTTTCTTTAAACAGCACCACCCACTCGGATGTCCCCTTCTGGATGTCGATTGCTCCTTCATACACTAACCTCGACTATTGTGTGTGGCCCTTGCTCACGTTTATTGTTTGGATCATAATATAAAGAAAAGTGCATGTGTTTGCCAATCGGCATGAATCGTGTGTCCATTGTACAATCTAGGAATCGATCAGTACCCTCTAGCGGGAGCTGTCGCTGCTGTTGCTGCGACGTCGACGCCGGATGGGCGAGCGAGAGCGGCGACGCGGTGAACGCCGGTTCCTCATGGGCGACTGGCGACGTCCGCCGCCACCACCACCGCCACCGCCACGATTGTTGAACCGATTGAATTGGGGTGGGGAGCGCCAGCGGTTGTTCTGCGGACGGCGCATCGGAGGCGAGGGACGACGCATAGGTGGCCGCTGTTTAGGTATGACAACTGGCGACACAGTGATCTCCTGGCCATCGATCTGGCCGCCATCCATGTGCTTCATGGCCGACTCACAATCCTCGGCGGTGGCGTATTCCACAAAAGCTACGCCGCGTCCAAAATTCGGGTGATAACGATCGACGGGAAACTCCACGTTCTTCACGTCCCCGAAGCTGCTGAATATCTCGAACACATGGTCCTTGGTCACATTGCGGGTAAGTCGGCCGACATGGATGCGCACAGGCTTTGGAGTGGGCGAACGTGTGCGAGTGCGCGACCTAGAGCGCTCCCTTCGCTTCGGGGGCGGCGTCCTCTCCACTGAGCCACGTCCACGTCGTCGTGGCGATCTTGATCGACTGGCAGAGCGAGAGCGCTCGCGCTTTACATTATTGCTTTCAACGGCAGGTCTATCGTTGGATCCAGCTCGACGGGCTCGATCTCGGGAACGACTGCGGCGCTCGCGATCCCGCTCCGGTTCCTTTCGGGTTTTGCTGCCCGGCCGGGGAGATTTAGAGACGCGCCTGGGCGAACGGGTGCGAGAGCGGGATCGTGCATTGACTTTCTCCTTATCTTTGTCCTTGCCGCCAGCTCCGCCGCCACGTCGTCGGTTCTTCTCGCTGCGATCCGAGTCGGTGGACGATGACGAGGAGGAGCTGGATGAGTCGCTGGAACTGCTCGAGCTTGAGCGCGAGTCTGAGCCGGAACTGCTGCGCGAAGAGCTGCTGTCCGATGAGCTAGAAAGAACAATATTTTAAAGAAAAATGTTTAATTATACATACATCAACATTGATAATAAACTGCAAGTCCTTATCCTGATAGGATGTTTTCAGATCATTTAATAATTTCGCTATAAGCTAAATTGGTGCATTTAATTTTTTTGTTTTTTTTTTTTTCATCTGGTATAGAATAGGTTGGGAGTATCTGAATATGAAATGCATAAATATGTTACAAAATTGCGGGGTATGCTATTGTATCATACATTTTGAAAATTTAACTTAAAGAAGGAGAGAATGTATCGAAAGAAAAAAATATGTTTTTAACTTTAAAGGTCGTATGACTTTCTTTAGGCAATATCATTTATTGCTAACCAACATAACACATCATATTTTCAAAATAACCCTTATTTGGAGCGGCAGATGTGGGCCGTCTGAAGAGAACACTGTTTGCCGGCTGTCTTACCTGCTTCTGGAGTCGCTGCTGGATGACGCCGATCCGCGTCGTTTTCGTTCGCGTTCCCTACGCGAGGAGCTGCTGGCCGCCGCCTTGCCGTCCTTCTCTTTGGTGTCCTTTTCCTTGTTGTCCTTTTCCTTCTCACCCTCGCCGGCGGGACTTTGGGCACGCGCCCTGTGAGAGGCCAAGAAAAGCGAAATTTTCAATCCCGTTCAGGGGGTAAAAATCGTGAAACTACTTACATTTTTGTATTGCCGAAGTAGTTTACAATTAGTTGAGACAGTCAGCAAACTCTGAAAAGAGCTGGCTAGTAAGTTTTTATTAATAAACCCCGTTCTTTCGAAAGTAGTTAAATTTGGGTAGCGTTTTCAGTGAAGACAAGTGTGACCGTGGTAAATAGCATCAAAATATGATATACGGAAATTTGTAAAAATATACCAAGAAATACTATTAAAACTATTATTACTAAATTTGAAATTTTACATAATACAAGCAGTACAATACTTTTGAAAGATTAATTTTAAAGATGTACGTGCAAAAAAAACTTTTATAATCCTATAAATTAAGAATTACTAAATTCATTGCAGTAGACCGTTTTAACGGATAATTTAGGTTTTTTTTCGGTATTTCCGGAAACCCTTGGTAACTTTGTCCAGTCGCGCCGCGGCCACACCATTTGTCAGGTCGATCCAAGGTAAACTCCCATAAAGCCTTATAACTAAAGATACTTTTCTGCTCAGCAATCCGTACTCGGTACTAAGTACTTATATCTACCGTGTAATATGAATAGTGCCTGTTTTTGTAACGTAAAAGTGTAGTGGAATTACATAAAACGCAATTGGTTTCTTTAAGGCCAGCACTTTTTTATCTGCTAGTGACGAAGTGGTTGTCATTGTGAGTTCACGTCCGTGTGCCTGTATGTGTGTGAACTTGTGTTGATTTTGTCCGTGCGGGGGAGCGAGAGAGACAGCGCTATTGATGGGGGCGGGGGGCAGCCACAGAGTTTCGATTTTCCATCCATATCTACACTCGCAGCGGAATAAAGAGAGAGAGAGCCAATGCGAGAGTGAGGAGCGCCCCGTCTGGTCTGGGTACATTCTACCACTGTGTCTTTGTCTGCCGTCGAGTCGGGAGCTCCGCGTCTGGTGTGTAGTATTATTATTAATCTGATTATTCCGCATTAAATTCAATACCCCGCCCCAATCGCCTGCAATAAAGATTGCCCTAGTGCGTGTTTGTGAGTGTAAAGTGCAGTTATGTTGGGGCAGCCGATGCAAATAAACCTGTGTCTATACCAGAAAAGCACATAATTTTTAGCCTCATCATCGTGTTTTGAAACGCCAAGTAGCAGCGTAATGGCCAAAAAAAACCAGCCAGCCAACAATAAAGCGTTTCGTTAGTATACATATTCACATATTCATATAATCAATGTGTGTAAAGAAAACGAAACGAGAAAAAGAGCATTCGATGGAGTTGACTGCCATGACTACGCAATAGCAACAACAAGAGGAGCACCCACACAGACACACATAGCGAGACTTTGCTAGGTGGGTCCTCTCTTGGTCCTCTCTTGCTCTCTCTCCACCGCTCAGTGCCGCTCTCTGCTGGGGGCTCTCTTTTTCTGTTTCATTGTGTGAGTGCGTTGTTGGGTCCGGACTCCACAGAAAAGCGAATATTTTGATGTCTGCTTGCTTGTGTGTATATGCGTATATTTTTTATAATTTATTGTTTTAATTTTGAGAGGGCGGAGTTGTGACCCCAACTCGAAAGCCGACCCTGGCCAAGTATGAATAGTAGCCGTAGCTATATAGCTTTTCGATCGGAGTTTGGAGTTGCGCCCCTCTGGGCAACACTCACGCACAGTTGTGGTCAAAATAATAGCTAAATTATGAAAACGTAGTCATTTTTCTGTCATGCTGAAGGGGAGCCCCTTTAGAGATAAGTTATCGCCTTATTTAGCCTTTTAATCTATGTTTAGAATTGCACTTATCTTATCTGTATAATAATATTTACCACAAATGCCCTAATCAAAGAGAGTTTTTGAGCGATGACAAAACCATCTTAGACGGGGATGACATAAAGTCCGGTGGGGTAACAAGCCTTAACAAAAAATTGACAAAAAGTATGCTATGGGATCAAAGGTTAAGTTTGAAAATCGGGCTTCCGGTTTTAAAAGAATATCATAGCATACTTCTTGAGGCATTCTGTAACGTTTTAAACCAGCCAAAGTTTTTTTATCCAAATATAGTAATAGTTAGCAATAAGCACTTTTTAAAAAACTTAAAAAAATATACAACCTATAAAAGATATTTTTATAACTAAAAATTTCATTCCTTTGAACTACTAACTATATTTTTAAAAGTTAAATATATTACTCCACTTCAACATATTAAAGTAACCAAACCTTGGCAATGACTACATGCCCAATAATAGTTTACCGCACTATTATTTTAACTGCAACTGTATATTGAACCACAATTACAACCATAATCGTTATGATAGCCAAGCATTTGTATATTGTACTGCCTGCCTATTTTTTACGTCTAATTTGCATTACATTGGCATTAATACTCATTGGCCGCTAGTAAAACCAGGCTTTATATGAATATTTAGACCTATATTTCAATATTTTCCCACATATACATACATTTATTGCTAACAAAACTAAACCAACCCAAGTAATTAGTTTCTCAACTGAATGTAATAGCAATGTTTTCTTTTACTTTTATTTTCTTTGTTTTAGCATACATACAATATTTTATTGCTGGTTTTGGTGGTAAATTTGCATTGTTAACGGCCGCGGCTAGACGTGCCCCGCTTCTTTAACACACACGTCTCTCAAACGAATACCGATCATCAAGTGTTTCCCCTATTGACTCTCGTATATAGCCACATGTAAAAATCAAAATAAGAACCAACAAATAGCGATACTGATACCGAAAGCAACTAAACCGAAAGTGTATACTAAATACAAGCCCCGTATGTACCACATAAGACTGTCATCTGCCCCTTGCGTTGCCGTGCCGTTGACAATTTTTGTATCTGGCCCGTATCCGTATCTGTACCTCAATCTCACTGACCAACTACCGCAAGCGCAAATGCAAATGTTATCTGCAAACTGCAAAACGCAAACTGCACACACCTGAACCTCAGCTCAGCTCAACTTTTAAACGTTTAATCCTCGAACTGCCTTCAAAAACCAAAAAAACGAAAACCAACCAACCTATCAGCCAACCTGAACCGATCAACAAACCAACCTATCAACGGTCTACCGCAACTGGCAAACCAAACGGCTTTAGTTTGTAAGCTTTGTTTTTTTATGTAAACCTGTTAAACATATCGAAGACTGAAAAGAAGAAGTACCAAGTACGATTAGCCATCTTGTAATTATTTGTATTTGTCCTCTGTTCCCCTAATGGTTCCAATACGATCGATCTAACCCCATCCATTTATGCTATATATTATATACGACAACACGACATTGTCACACTGTTTGTTTTACTTTGCACATGTTCGTTTTCTACTTTACGCCTAGTATTTATATTACCTACTTATAGAGCACACACACACACACTCACACCCACAACACGGCCCATGTACGTTAAGTGTAACCCTCTTTATCTGTCGCTCTCTTGATCTGGAATCTTTTGATTGTACTAACTGCCCGCCGGGCGATAAGTGATAAGTTTGTAATCAGTCATCCGCCCCCAACCTCGATCCATCCATATCCATTCTATCCGAAAAACAGAACCACTAATATTGTTTTTTGTTCAGTTGACACATTCATGTAAAACACAAACACATCTAGAGATAAATATGTATGTATATATGCGAGGGGCGGCTTAACGATGGGTTATCGTGTTTAACAACTCAAACTGGAAACGCTGGAAGTGTAAAATTTGTCGTTACCACTTATCATTGGCGGACGGAGTCGGCGAAGTTAGCTCACATATACACATACATATATACTACCTATGTACCCGTAACTGTTAACTTTATATATACATTTATATCGTAAACGTATCTGTATCGGCAGCTTTTCCACATACCCCCAATACATGAATTTATATACATTTATATCGTACTTATTACCTATAGTTGAAAAAAAAACTAACCACGCACGTATCTCATCTCAGTTCCATATAATTGACAACCTATTAAAGCTACACTGTTAAAACAAACTGAAAAATTGTTGCTGTTTTATTTATTACGATTACAACAAATATTTACATATATATCCACACATAAACACACCCACACGTATATATACATATCAATATATACACATATATAAATATTTTATTATCCTTGCCTAAGTAAGTATTTTGCCTACTAGAGAAACCATAAATGTTTTGTTATTGAGCATGTTGGCTTGTTGGTTGTTTGCTTTCTGTTCTGGAGCGCGGGTCCGGCTTAGAATACTTCCTAAATAAATAATAAAAACAACACCAAAATGTAATAATACATAATCAAAAACCATAAAACTCTAGAGCATACAAACCTTTTTCCGTTTTTGATAATCTGAGATGGAGGCCAAGAAACTGAAAGAATTTTATTTCATTGTGATTCCCGATAAGTTGAATCTGAAATAATAAAAGTTCAACTTAGAGTACAGTTCTTAGTTTCTTGAGAACTCGCTAATAGTATATTCAACTAAAGCTTGTTTGCTTAACACAAGTTTTTGAACTCGTGTTTAAGAAGTGGTTAAACCACTTCAAATTAAGTAAAAGTGTTTCTCTGAACACAGAATGAAAAGTGAAACAAATTCAATTAATTACCTAAGACAAAAAGTGCGATAGCCTTGTTTTATGGCTTGGCTTATGCAAATACTATTGCTTTAAACGGATTTACTCTGTTAAAGATGAAGTCTTTCTATTGTTTAAAAGATTGAAAAAAGATTGAAGTTTAATCAGTTTTTGGACATTTCCCAAAATGTATTCAGATTGCAAAACGGAATGGGGCTGCATAGATAAGAAAGCGGTCACTTTATAAGCAAAATGTCTCGTTTCGTTTTTACTTCCGCCCCACAGCTGTGTGAAAAAAGAAAAAGCCCAAAGAAAGCAATCGCCCAGTCGAAAGTCGAATAGCAACATCAGCAGCAAAAGTAACAAGAACAAAAACAACAACAACAGCCACTGCAACTGCAACTGCAACATCGGCAGCAGCAACATCTGCAGCGGCAGCAACATCTGCAGCAGCAGCAACAACTGCAGCAGCATGTTGAATTCGAATGCCAGCAGCGGCAACTTGGGCAACGGCAGCAACAACAACAACAACAATCATGGGGGCAGCAGCCGACGTCCCTTCTCCCGCAATTCATCATCGGTCCGCTCGCATCGCGGCGGTGGGGGCGGTGTGGGGGGTCGCATGCTCTACTCGCCACACCCACATCCGCACGCCCACGTCCAGCAGCAGCAGCAACAACAACAACAACAGGGACAGCAGCGGTCGGGCAACAACAACAGTCTATTGTCTAACCACAGTCCTTGGTGCAATTTAAACGGCGGCAACAACAACAACAACAATATCAACGGTGGCAACATCAACAGCAACAATGTCAATAACAAAGATGCAAATCCGAATTGGTAAGAGCCGAGAGCCGCTTGTGTTTTAGAACCATTATCAACCTACTCACTCGAGATCTTCTGATCTCGAGTCTTATGTTAGCCTTAAGTGACATTTCAAAAAAAAAAGCGAATTTGAAACGTACCCCTTCCGATCCGAACCGCTCCCGAAATCCCCCAAAATCCATCCATGATTAACAAGACATATCCTTGTAACTTCCCCCCACGACTAGAACAGTTTATCTACTTTCTATCTCTATCTCTATTACACCTGAACTGAAAAAACCGAAAATCGCTTTTAGGCTAAAGGGAGAATTTTGTAATTAATGTCGCGTTTCGTAGTGCAACCAAAAACATTTTAATTGGTCCTAACCGTTGAATTTTCGAAGCACTAAACCAAAAACAAAAAAGCTTGCATCGCCAACTTGATGGCGACACATAAAGGATATAGTGTTATACCGTTAATACTTTTCGATCATTTGTAACTCTCTTGCGTTCTCTTGCGTATTGTACCTTTTTGTGTTTTGTTCCTCGTCAAAATTGGCACAGTTTACCCCACTCAGTTACCATACCATTCATACTAATTACCGTTGTAACTATTCCTGCATTATCATAAAAAAAAGCCCCAAGAACATACATACTCGTACATACACACCCCCATTGAACCATCCAGCAAGAACTATGTTTTGATTTACTTAATGTTTTATCGTATGTACATTCTCTAATCGCTTTTACTATACCATACCCGAAATTTTTGAGCAGTGTGAAGTTCCGTAGAAGAAACCGTATTAACCGAATCAGAATCTCTTGATTTCCATTGTAACAATTTCAAAGAACGTTCAATGTTTCATAAACTTAAGACCAATCAAACAGTTCCCTAAGAAAATGCATGAAGAGCACTTGAAAATGGCGAACCAAACTTATTATGTAGCAATTTCATTTTCGTTTCGTAGTCGTTTCTTTGTCCCAAAACGCTTCTTCCTGTTTTTAAATTAAAGCGCGCCTAACGGATTTAAGTACTTAACAGCATGCTATCTCTCTTTCCTAACCCCTCTCTCTGCCTCTCTCTGGCCCAATAAGAGCATCCCCAAGGACCTACCTAAATCGCCATCCCCTCTTTTTCCCACTGACTTCATATTGTGTGGGTAGTTGGCAATTGCTTCTTACGTTTATGGGCTTTTAGACTGCTTAGAGCAGAAATCATCTGAAGGTTTAAGTGAGCTCCAATTGATTGGTCAAGGAAAACACATCGACGGCGAAGCCACCGACAAATAACGATTGTAAGCGTTTAAGTAATTATAAAAATAGTCGGGTGAATAAGTGCTTTTCATGCATCATTAAAACGAGGGTTTTTTTCGTAGCATGTTTGTTACACGAATTGGGTATCGAAGATACATATTTGTACAGTTACCACCCGATAATTGGATTCATCGTTAGTCTTATAACTTAAGGAATCAAATAATTAAAAAAAAACTTATGGGAATTAGACATTTTGTTTTAAATTTAAAGAGTACCAAAATGAGATATGTCATTAGACAGGGTGTTCACATGCTTTAAATTTCAAGACCTAACCCAACCCACAGTATTTTTATTTGATCTAAAATTATGTATGATTTGGTTAACTTTCTTTTGTTTTGCGCATAGTGTCGCTTCACGTTTTACGCTATTTGTTAAATTTGAACTAAAACAAAAGCAAAAACCAAGAACAAACATAAATGCGATGATAAATACATATGTGAAATGCAACCGTGAAAAGTGCAAGCCAAGTATGAATTTAGTTACAAAATTTCCTCTTTATCCAAACCGTACCGTAACTAGTTGTAATTTTTTTCGATTTCGACATTTTATGAATGATGCATTTTAGTTGAGTTTCTTGATTGATAGCTAAGTATATTGATGACTATTGGTTGATGTATTTTGCTTAACTTTGCGTAGGTCAAGGTGAACCGAGTCGAGTTTTGCAAAAGATCAACAAACTCAGCTTAATGTTTTACTTATTTATTTGCATTTTGCACACTGCGGCTTAGAATGTTTGACAAACCAACCTTATAGAAATTCCAAAAAAACAACCAATCAAAAAAATAAAAATATTAAACAATGAAAACTGACAATTTATCAAAATAACAGTTGAATCAACTCTTTTCCAATAGCTCGAGCATATCATTCTTTTGATTTACTCCTCGCTCTTTCTTTCTCTTTCTACTCTCTTCTACTACTGACTGTTTGTGTGTGTGTGTAACTTTAAGCGAGCCACAAATAATAACATTAACAAGTACAGCATTGTATGGTCTTTGTCACACTCTGTTTATCAAGTACTCCTCTTTGATTTGTCGTCTACCTAAAATACAGCTGTGTTTAAATTAATAGCATTTATTTAAAACCAACTTGTTCTTGAAAAATTAAATGAAAAATCTATTTAAACAAATAGTGGTTGATTTCATATGCAAATACTGCTATTATTTTAAACACACCTACATAACAGTACAATAGTTGTTATTGTATTTCTAGCCAGTTGCAATCGCAGCTTTTGCATCTAGTCCATAAGAGTTACGCTGACACCGGCTTTCGTTACGATTAACTACAACGTTCGGCGCTTAGACACGCCCCTTTCCCCCACTCTCTTGCTGTGCGTGTACATAAGTAACTATACTTAGGCCTAAGTACTACTACAAATATGGTGTGTGCCCCGCTCGATCACGATCTTTTGGATCTCCGTTCAGTTCGATTTCCGTTTCCGTTCTCACCCCGCTAAAAAAAATACAAAAAATTAAACAGTAATTCGTAAAAGCTTTTTCACAGGCTGAAGAAAAGCTAAAGCTTATCGTAACTACGTACGAGTTGTTTTTGTACCAGTTTATTTACGTTTTCGGTTTACGTTCTCTTTTGTATAGTTTTGGAGCATGACCAGCACTCTCTCTCTCTCTATCTCTCTCTCTCAAATATATATATACGTATCCAATGTATTTCTCTCGTGTTTAGCTAGTGAGAACGGCCTATTACGTTACAGTTGCCTTTTTGCCGTTACGTTAAATTTTGAATAGTGTGAAAAACAGTGTGCGATTGGCGTTTCGTTGTTTTGATTTCCGTTTCCATTTCGATTTTTGGTAAGCGTAGTGTGCATAAAAACTAAGCGAGCAACAAATAAATAAATAAAATAGCAAACTAACCAAATTTCCACCTAAAATGCATTCAAAAAAGAGCAGAACTTAAAAAAAGGAAAATAGAAAAATCTGCAAACGATGTGAAACAAATTAGTACGTACGTATTTGTTTTATACTAAATGTGTGTACATATCGATATTATATATATATATATCTATATTAAACTAATATCTAATTATTGCATTTTGCCATTTACATATATATTATTTTTATCTTTTTCGTTTTTCTTTCTTCTTCATATAAAACCAAAAAAAAAACGAAAACTACTGCAAAATAAAAAAATATTTAAATAACGTATGTGTGTGGCTACCACTCTGCATATATACACCACTACTACTACTACCTACTACCTGTACATGTATTATGCATACAAATAACTATATATGGGTTGTGTTTAATACTACCACACACTGCTACTGCATTGATTTGATTGAACAATTTTCAACTGTATCTCGTACAACCGAATATTATACTCTCTATATATACGTATATATGTATTACATATTATCTAAAACAAACTGCAACTGCAATCCTCAAAATCGAAAATCCAGCGATGTACAAACAAGTAATTCTAGCGGAACTTGTATTTATAACAATAGCAAAGCGCATCATCATCACAACAACAGCAACAACAATGGTCACACTCAGAGCCACAGTCACACTAATCATACCCATTCCCCCCCACACCAAACTCACCACCAACAGCATCCCCAAATGCACCCCCAACACCACCTCCCGCATTCGAGTCCACCACACCAGCAGCAGCATCAGTATAACAACAGTTACCGCCAATACCCACCGCATTCTCCGAACTCCCCAAACAGCAACGGGCATTCGAATAGCAACAACACTAGCAATCCGAGTAGTCAGCGTTCCCATGCCAATCCCAACCAGAATTCCTATCCCGGTTACTATGAGATGTGTTCGGGAAGTAGGGGACCACAGACCCACACCTATGGATCCATGTCCGTTTCCCTGGTGCGATTGAATCCCGCCCGTTTGTGCCTAACGCTGGGACCTGCCACGCCTCCCGCCCAGCGAGTAGTGTCCTTCGAAACAAGTAGATCCCATTCCAGTTCCAGTTCCAGCTCGAATTCCAGTGATCAGAACCAGAACCCGAATCAGAATCATTTTAACCCACCGCCACGTAGTCAGAACCATCATCCACATCCCAATCCACATCAGTACCAAAACCAATACCATCCACAACACCAATACCATCCATTGCATAATCCACAGCAACAGACTAATCGCCAATCCCTCCCGCTAACACGAACGAATTCAAATTCAATCAACGCAACAACTTTCAATTCAATCAATCCAACAACAAATAGTAATCCTACTGATGTTGTGAATGTAAATTCTTGTACCGATATAATTCCTCATGGGTCTTCGTCAACGTCTGCGTCGTCGATGCTGCCCCAACAACAACATCAAATTAATAACGCATCCGCACCCATCAATAGCCACAGCCAGGGACAGGGTACCGGCAATTCGCCCAATCTTGGCCACAATCACCAGCGTGGCTACAACAACAACAACAACAACAACAATCGGGGAATCGGTAATGGAATCGGCAATGGCAATGCGAACGGACCACCCGACTACATTTACTACCGACGCGGCGTGTGTCCTGCCCTGTCGAGGGACTACTCCGGTAATGGGAATAATGGAAACGGACACGGTCACAACGGCAGACGGTACATGTCCGATCATCTGAACAACGCCTCCTCATCCATGAACGGCCTTCACCAGCGCAACTACAACGACAGGAACTTGAATAATGTAAGCTTGTATATCAACTTATACCTATATTACTCCGTGATAAATAATGCTAAATATCCTATTTACCTTTTCAGCACTTTGGCAACTCGGATCAGGGTGGACCAGACCATCGGGATCGAGCCGAGGGCTCCTCGTATAACTTTATGCGCAATGGCGGCGGCAGCGGAGGAGGCTATGGCCGCAATGGATCGCACTACCAGCACATGTCTTATGGGAACAACAATGGTGCCTCTACATCCGCCGGTGGTCCCGGATTAATGGGCGATTTGCCCTCGGGATCGGGTCTGTCGGGCTCCTCGCTGTCGCTCAACAACGGACCGGGAGGCCTCAACTCGGACAGTCCGTCGCGCAAGCGTCGTCGCATTTCCGGAAGGCCACAGAATGGTCCGCAGACCCAACACAGGTGCCTCATGGCTCAGGTTCGTAACTTAAAGTAATATTCCCACTGGAATGGTTTCAAATTCCCTGTTAATCCTCTCCAGATGCAACAGGGCAGTCCACCGTTGCGTCGTCCGCGTTTGCGGGATGTGGCCACCTCCACGCAGCAGCAGCAACAGCAGCAGCAGTATGGCCAACAGCAGGTGCATCATCCTCAGCAGCAGCAGCAGCCGCCTTCCAACTACCACCCGATGCACCACCACCAGCCGCAGCAACACTACGTGCCCCAGCAGCAACAGCAGCAGCAGCAACAGCAGGTGCCGCCACCGCCGCCGCATGTCCAGCGATCTCCGTGGGATTTGGGCGGCAGCGGGGGAAGCGGCGGAGGAGCTGCGTCGAGCAGCTCGGTGGGTCCAATTCTGCAGCAGGTGCAGGCACCGCCGCAGCCACCGGGTCACCAGCAAACGGTGGGCTATCCGCCGGCACCGCCGCAACCCGCCTCCCTGATGGTGGACCTCAATCTCAACCAGGTGCCTGTGAGCCTGCAGCTCCGTCCGTCGGAGCCTTTCTGGGCCTCCTTCTGCACGTATCCCATACCGGCGCAGGCCAGACTGGCACCCTGCCACCTGCACGGTGTCTACACGCAGCCCTTCCCCGCCGCCCCACCGCCAGGATTGGCTGCTCCCCATCCGCTCCAAGTGGCTTCGGTGCCATCGCAGGCGCAAATGGCCGCCGCTGCTGCGGCCGCACAGCAAATGATTGCCCAGGCCACGTTGACTGCTCAACAGCAACAGCGAGATGTGGTGGCGATTGCCACAGCTAATCTGGGACCGATTGAGGCGCCGGGTGCCAATCATTTGGACGGTCATCATGGCCCCGGCGGACCCGGTGCCCACGGACATCCGCACACGCATCCGCATGCCCATCCACACGCCCATCCGCATGCCCATCAGCTGCCGCCGGGCATTCACATCACACCGCTGAGCGGAGCGGCTGCGGCAGCCGCCACCCACCATCTACATTCCACGGCGGCAGCTGCAGCGGCCGTCGCCGCCCAGGCCAGCGCCCAGCTGTCCGCCGGGCCGCAGCAGATCATCATCTCGTCGGAGCGACGCACATTCCCGCCCCACCGCCGCATACCGCGCTTCTGGCCGGCGAATCATGGCCATCGCCATGTCCTGCCGCCACAATCGCTGGCCGCCCACCAAGCGCCCGTGCAGATTCAGGCCACCTCGGGCATCATCAACCCGGGCTTCTTGCTCAACTTCCTGTAAGTTCTGTTATCCAGATTGGCATATGAATATGTTCCTTAATATCCCCTTGAACCATTTCCAGGGCCATGTTCCCGCTATCGCCGTACAACCAACACGATCTGAGCTCCGGCGACACCAACGAAACGGAGAACTACGAGGCGCTGCTCAGTTTGGCGGAGCGATTGGGTGAGGCCAAGCCAAGGGGATTGACCCGCAATGAGATTGACCAGTTGCCCAGCTACAAATTCAATCCGGAGGTGCATAATGGTAAGTGGATAAAAAATCAGATCTATTGATAAGCATTTATCATTGTTCAAAAGACAACGTTGCGTATACGCGATAAATTTAAGTGTGCCCAAAAATGTATGCTATAAATTTTACTTTTAATCAAAATTGTCACCTATTCATTTGGAATTTGTTAATATTAACTTTATTAACTGCAAAATGATAAGTTTATTATTTTTCTTATGACTTGTATTATATTTTACAAAGAATGTAATTATGAATTTTAATACACATGCGAATTTAACATTTTAATGATTAATTCATAAATAAATAATATTTTGCTCCTCTAGGCGATCAGTCATCCTGTGTGGTGTGCATGTGCGACTTTGAGCTTCGCCAGCTACTGCGTGTCCTGCCCTGTTCCCACGAATTCCATGCAAAGTGCGTGGACAAATGGCTAAGGGTGAGTGCTCAATAAAAATATATGCCCTCGTGCAGGAAATAATTAAATATTTTTGTGCTTAATAGTCGAACCGCACGTGTCCGATTTGCCGAGGAAATGCGTCGGACTATTTCGATGGCGCCGATCAGCAGCAACAGGCGCAGGCGAGCTCAGGAGCAGCTTCCGCTTTGAACAGCACTTCCGGCGGAAGCGGAAATGCCGGAGTGGCGGGTACATCCGCCGCAGCGGCAGCAACCACCGCCAACCCCCAGCAGAGCCAAGCGGCCTAGATCTGTCGTGTTATTCCACAAACACACCCACACCCACACACACACACACCTCCAGCTTTTTGGCTTTTCCGGACGATGAGTGGACGAGGTGGTGCCGGAGTTTTTCGGGGTGGAAAGGATTGGTCTTTTTCGGCCGGGGGAGCCACACCACCCACCCGCCATCACTTGATGTATCGCGCAACGAATCCAACTGCCAAACCGTCGAAGCTTCCTCCTCAGCTAGATACCTTTGCCCAACTCGGCCAAAAAAAAGAATAAATAACAACAAACAATCCACAACCTCTCGCCAACCACGCGCAACTCGCCGGCTCTTCAATAGCTTGTCTTAGACATTAGTTTATATGTGAGTAATGGTAACCGTATTTAGGAGTAACCTATATATGCATACCACCAAGATTTCAACTAAAGTTTAACTGCGTATATATAAATATATATATTTGTGTGTATAGAGAATGATAAAGCCGTAAAACAAGTGTCTGTATATAAGCCAAGATTTGCACAATATTCATTATAGATTTTCTTTGCCTTTCACACTCGAGGATATCCTATAATCCATTTGAAACAACTAAATATGAACGAGGCATAAATAAATGTATTCAAGTGCTTGGCAACGGTCCCTCAAAGTTCCTATAATTTTGGAAGGTGTTCAGAAGAGATGTAATAGGGCTTTGAGATGCCATTGCCAAATCAAAATAGTTTCTCTTGAATTGTTGCTGTCCAAACGCATACCTACAAAAAAAACTCTATATTATAAAGAATACGTATTTAGGCAAGCGGAATATTTGTAACTTGGATTTGTGTTTCCTGCTTGAATATTTGCAGCTTCCTCTTTGTATTTTATAATTACTACCATTACTTTAGTTTTTTTTAACAACGTACTATATGTATCCTTATACGACATACATAGAAACCAGCATAAATATAGTGCATTGCATTTTATACTAATTGTACGAACTGAACCCACTGAAGAAGTTCTTCTTCTTGCACTAGCAAAAAAAACAATAACAAAAAACAAAGATAGAGAGAAAATTATCTTAAAAAAGGAAGGAAGAAGAGATCGTATATATATTTTTTTCGTTTCTACTGTTTAAAAATTGGTAACTATAAACGGAAGCAACTAACCTTGAAACATATAAGCAATCTTTGAAATCGACTAAACCAGATGAGCGAAGGACGATAAGCGTTTCAGCAAATATACTATATATATAGATGCATATACACACACACACACACACTAACAGGAGGGAAAACCAACCACATAAGAATTTAGCATACAGGCATAGAAACATATGTATATTGGTGGGCTTATTAATGTATTTGTAGTAGATGTGTGCGTAATTAAACATAATGCAATCGCAATGAAAACACAAATATCGTTATATCGTAACCAGACTTTTCCAGGGCCAGCGTTCGTGGGTGGTGACCTCAACCGCCCCTTTTGCCAGTCCATCCACTTCCGTAGTACTTTTGCCTTTTGAACTGTAACGTCTGTAGCTCTAAACACACAAGCATTAACATACATACATAAACACCTTAACCTCCTTAAATGTGACTTGTCTATTAAAAGAAATTGCATCAGATGCGAGTATTACGATTATCATATATACACACACACACACACGCCCAGATATACATACATATATAGAGAGTTTCCTTCTGATATATGCGATTCAAGCGAACTACGTGCACTAGCCTTTGAAGCCGAAGAACGAATGCAAACAATTTTTACCAATATACATGTACAAGTACGAGTACCATACAATAATTATCGATATCTATCTACCGATCGGTAAGCACATAACCAATTAACGTGGAACTAAACCAAACGAGAAATGAGAAGAACAAGTAAATTGAAATGATTCCTGCCCTCCATTCGTATTAAAAACCATTGAAACTAACTCAACTTTTTATAGCATATATATACTATGGATAGCATTGATTTTTTGTGAGAGAAACGATATACATAACACTAGTTTAGCCTGTTCGGGAGGGCCGTAAGCCGTATCTATTGGGTCATCCGTTGCTTATAGCGAGAGTTTGCAGCACTTTCCCTGCCCAGAGTCAGAGTCCCAACTCTCCGTTCTCAAATCCTTACTAAAGCTATGCATTACTGAAATCTTGATACCTAGTATATGTGTAAACGTGTGTGTATTTATTATGCACGGTACTCGCAAAATTCAGGGATATTTTGTAAGCCTTTTCATTAAATGTTCCGTCTGTCCGTCTTGGAAATAATATATAAATCTTGTATGCCCTCTTGATACAAATAATTAGATTTCCTTCAAACCGAAGTAATACCTTACTTGGGAGTAAACTCTTTACCAAATTTGACCATTTCTTTTTAACAACTTTGAATGTTTTTATGCCAAGCAAACGCCTTAAGGTATGCAACTTATTTTGTAGCAAGACAGTGAGTACCGGGTATCGAATAGTCGGCAGCTTCGACTATAAGGTTCTTTCTTGTTTTTAATCTATATGAATGGTATTTCCAAAAGACCATTGTAAAGGTGTTGTGCTTTTCTAGAATTTTATTAGTAGGAACATCAACTGAATGATAAACGAAAACCCAAAAGTAAAGTTTATTTTTTGTCACAATAACAGAACGTTATGATAAAAGCAAATAGCTATATATAGAATATATTATATACATGAATTGAATACCTTTTATACGTGCACTGACATAATTACTTACGAGTATATGTAAAAAATTCAATCAACCAAGCTAAGCAGAAAAGAAACTTTATTCAAAATATTCTTTTAATCCGGTTTCGATAATTTAACGCTACTGAGTTCGTTTTATACCTCTCCGTCTATCCTGAACTAAAAGCACTAATACTAGGTGTTTCCATCGAATAGTTTTTCTTCTAACTATCTTGTTTATTATTTTCCAAACAATTAAACAAAAAATCAAAAGCTTATCATAAAAATATATTTATAGTAACAAAACGATAAAAAAAAAACACAAACAAAAAAATTATAAAGTTTTGCTGTGATGTACGTTATATATATTTAATTACATAAAATGCAATAAAATTTAAAACATATAATGCATAATTCCAAATTATTACAACAAAACAAAAGAAAAACCAAAAACAAAACAAAAAAAATGAAGAATGATTATGAAATACAAAAACATTTTATGCATGAGAATTTCTCCAAAACAAAAACAAATAAAAAACAATATGTACGACATACTATAACATCTACACTTGTCTAGAAATTATGCAATTTTAAATGTGACTATTATTTTACATTTTTGTAGCAAGAACCGAGACACTCTCTTCTAGTAATTGTAAATCAGTTAACCATAGTATTAAACAAACGTTTTTCAGTGGCATTGTAACGGTGAGCGGGCGTTTTTAATGTTAATTGCAATAATTTCAATTTTCGGTTTTGTATTAACTCGCAAAATTTCAATAAAATTCAATGAACGTCAATAAAATCTACTGTGTTTTTTCTTTTTTTATGGGGCGTCTTATACATGTTCTAACAATAATCATAAAATTAAGATCGCTATACCATTTCATGCAAGTTGGTCCCCAAACAAGTTTTGAAACAAAACAGAGCAAAATATAATCACATGCTAAAAACGGAAAGTTCTAACAGGAAATGAGCCAACCTACATACGGAACTATAAATAAACGTTGAACATTAAAAAAAGTTATTGAAGCTTATTATTAGAAAGATTTACCTGAATAGATGATTCATATTTATATTTAGAGAAATATTAAGAGCACATACTTAAATGATTTAAGCAAAAGTAATTTTTTAAGTTTTTTAATGACACAATTATGTATATAGAAAGTAGCATTTTAAGTTATGGGAAAGGATCCCCTTGAGATTGAAAACCCAAACTTCAAACCTGATTTAAACTTTCGTGTGGGAATCAAAACGATCACATGACTCGGACATTTGAATCAATTAAATCGAATGCGTATCTTTCACTACCGAAAATCAAACTCAAAGTATCTTTAACTGTTTGTGTTATGGCTTTTCATCGTTTTGGCCAACATTAGATGGCCACATGGGCCTGCAATCTCAGGTTGTCACAGCATATGGCTCTGATTGGCATTACCAAAATTCCACATGACTTTGTTTCAACTGATTTTTGCGGCAGAAAGAGTTAACAACAACAGATGTTCAAAGCGAAAAGCAAAAAATAAAAAAGGTAAACGAGTTGCCAACTAGGGACTAAGGCCACTGAAAGAGACGGGGCGAGTGTGGGAGAGCGAGAGCGGGGACAGGTCACCAGAGAGCAAAAGAGAGGTATAGAGAGCGCAACTTGTTTATTTCCCACCCACAACTGGCTGCTGGATGATGATAAAGAAGAGGAAGATCACCTCTGCTGGCATTGGCAGAGTATTTTTGCAGTTATTTTTTATACCATTTTTGAAGCGCATATTTTTGCTGTATTTGATTTAGGTTTGTTTTTGTTTTGCTGTTGCTGTTGCTCCACTGACGTCACTTGGCGGTTGAGATTTCAGTGATATTGCCTTAGCTTTTGTTGTTATTTTTGATGTTATTGTTGCTGGCCCACCACGACACTTTCTACAAGAAAATGTTGAGAAATCAAAAAAGATGCGACAGCTTCTTCTCTATGGGAAGCACTGGAAGAAATAGTGATACAGTAAGGTAAATTGTATTTCAATTAATATTAGTAAACAACATTTTATGTATATCACAAACATGGTATTTCTTTATTCTCGTAAAACCACTGGTCTGCTCAGATCATTTGCGTAAAAATAAAAATAATAGTGCTGAAGACGATGTGTCACTCGCTAAAAATATCGCTCTATAGATAGTGCAGTAAAGTTTATTTCGGAATTAATCTTATAACATTAATATTGGAAGTATGAAGAAACATTCTTTTATTGCTTATAGAAATATATTTTTACTTTTTTATAAATAAAATATTTATAATAATAAAAACAATTTGTACAGAAAATATATTTTTTTATGTGTAAAAAAGTTGGCCTCTTGAAGTGCATGTTTAATAGCCGCAAAAGTTCACTTGGAAAGTGCAACCTGAACCTGCTGGGAAATGAGACCGCAATTGATTGATAAAAAATACCATTCAAATGGCATAAAAGATCTTTTGTTTAACTCCGCCGAACATAAATGAAAGCTATTCAAAGAAAGAGAGGGCAATTTAATTGATGAAAACAAGAATGTAATCGAAGAACGTGCCGCAGATACAGTGGGTGCCATCAGAGAATTACCATTCTGAATGGATATTCATTGGGTTTGATAATGGGAGAGAAAGAGCAGGAAAAAAGGGGAAGCCAATAAGAGAACTGAATCCCCCAAAAACTGTTATCAATAAGACTCCAAACGATCAGTGCACATGTTGGTATTTTATTGGGAAGTGCAACATGCGGGCTCTTTAATAGAATTTCGCGTCCAACCTGCGTGGATCGAACTTTACGAGGCCTCTAATCTGTATAGGCTTCGATTGCTTGTTTTGATTAGTTCGCTCGTTTGGTTTGGGGCTCCTTCGTGTGTATTCGTAAATAAGTGGGGATGACATCACCGACACTTCTCTCTAGCTCTGACTGCCACTCTCAACATTTCTCTTCTACTCTCTCATGGAGCGATCTCTCTTGGCATCCAACACCTTTTGCTCGTGCGTCTGTGCGCATTAAAGCCACAGTGGTCGTGGTGGTATTAAATACCGAAGACATTTTGTTTGTTCAGTTTATGATGTTGCTTTTTATTTTCACTTTCGCAATATCTCTGGACTTTTTCTTTTTATTGACTTTTTAATCAGACATGTTAAAATCACAAATTATTAAACTACGTTAGGTAAATTTATAAATTTCTATAAATGTACTATTTCTAAATATGTATATATCTATAAATATCAAAAAAATTTAAAAAAAAAAAAAAAAAGTACTGATCTTTCATTCTTTTCAATATTGTTTTTCATATTCATATAAAATAAAAATAAAATCACTCATACGCACTGTTACCATAAAACTGCCGAAAAATTACTCATACGCCAGGTTGGGTGCAACTTAGCACAATGCGCTTTAAAATGGATTGAATCGGTCTTAGCTCCACTGTAGCAACACATACCCCGACCAAAAAATAGACTTGAGGAGGTTGATTTGCTGTTTGTTGGCCAACAAACGCCGTGAGCGACATTCACGAATAGAGAGCCAGCCGCAGCACGCGCGAGAGCGAGAGATAGAGACAGAGAGACACGCCAACGCCAAAGCGACTCTACGTTGCGAGTTGTATCTTCTCGATTTTTTCAATCAATTTTCAGTCTTTTGGAATTCGCGAAACAATGCGGTCGCCGTACGATGAGAGCGCTGCTGCCGCCGACCACAAATACCAATACCAATACAGTGCGGCCAATAATAACAATAATTACTATAAAAACTATAATGTGAATGGCAATGGGCAGGCGGCGAATGGAAATGGGAATATAAGTGGAAGTGGAAATGGCAACGGTAATGGAAATGGAATACCTTATCATGCGCGCGAGAATTCGTTGCCATTTAGCTATGGCATAGCCAAAACTTCGACGCCGCTGCGCAAAACTCCGACACCGACGCGAGCAGATAGTTTTCTAGACGTTGATTTTGGATCGGTTACGAATAATGGTAGTTCGGGTGGCGGAACTGGTGGTACCGCCGATATGATAAAGCCCCCCACCCGGCTGACGAGCCCTTTGCTGGTGCGCAAAACGCTGGGCAATGGCGTTAGTCCCACTGGTTCGACGAACACGAATACGAACACCATTGCCAATACATACCACTACAGGTCGAGCAGCTCAACGCCGACGCCGCTGAGAGATAATTTCGAGCAGCTGCTGCGGGAGCGACGCGAAAAGGTCTATAATGAATATAGAAATAGTGATAGGGAGTCGGGGGAGCGGGGCCGCGTACCGCCCACTCCGCCGCAGAGGCAATATTACGCCAGTGATTCGTATGGCAGTGGTTTACGGAATGGCAACGGAACCCTTTACAAAAACAGCCCCTCAAATGGACAATCTTCGAAGTACAACTACGATTTCGAGTTTAATCTTAATCTGGATGATGTTAAGCCCGAACCCACACCGTATCACACCCGAAATATCCAATTCGAGGACCTGAGACTCGCTGATCAGGATGTGCCAGATGGCTCGGTTAATCGTGGTCGAATCATGGAACGCAATTATCACACAATTAACAGCTTGGAAACGACGACCCACAAACGCCAACAGTTGGAGCCGTTGGAGCAACTGGGCGCCGTTTATGGCCAGAACCACATGGAGGAGACTCTAGCGCGTCGCACTCGTCGCGATCTCTCCGCATCCGCATCGATATCCCCATCGAAATCCAAATCCACCTCGCCATTGCCGGCACTCGAATCGCCCATCTATGCCACCAGTGCGAAGAGATCGAGCAACAGCAACAGCAACCCAAATACCAATGGCCAACAGCAGATGACGCCTAGTCCCACCAGCAGGCCAGAAACGCCCGCCTTTCCGGTCACGCCGCGCACACCTTTTGGGGCAGCATCATCATCGTCATCGTCTTTGATATCGACGAACCAGTTGCCAGCGGCGGAGTCCATCTACCAAACAGGACCACGTCGTGGTCTGCCACCAGTCGCTCTGCAGCCCATTGAGGTGGCCGCCGATTCCGTGAAATTCGCCCGGAGTTCGGCCAAATTCTGGTATAAGCCAAATCTGACGCGAGAGGATGCCATTGCACTGTTGGCCTCGGCCCAGCCGGGAACTTTCCTCGTTCGGGACTCGACCACGTACAAGAACTCCTACGGCTTGGTGGTCAGAGTGGCTCAACCTCCGGCTGGCTCACAGGAGCTGGTGCGTCACTTCCTCATCGAACCAACGCCGGAGGGAGTGCATCTGAAGGGCTGCGATGACGAGCCGGTTTTCACTTCACTGTCTGCTCTCGTTTTCGAGCATTCCATCAGTCAGTTGGCACTGCCCTGCTTGCTCCGGCTGCCGGACCGGGATATAGTGCCACCGGTGAGGGCCACCACGCCGGCTCAACAGCATTTGATCGCCCACGGAGCGGCCACGAATGTCCTGTGGCTATACTCCTGCGACACGGAATCGCTCACAGGGAACGAGGCTATTCGCAAGGCCATCCGGCTGATGTACGCCCAACGACCGTTGCCACAACCCACGGAGGTGCACTTTAAGGTCTCCTCGCAGGGAATCACTCTTACGGATAACACGCGCAAGAAGTTCTTCCGCAAACACTATACGGCGGATGTCATCTCGCATTGTGCCATCGATCCGGAGAACCGGATGTGGACCAGCGAGGGGGAGGTGGACAAGAAGACCATCTTCGCCTTTGTGGCCAGGAGGTCGCCCAGTTCGACGGACAACCAGTGCCATGTGTTCTGCGATATGTCCGTCAGTCAGCCAGCGGCGGCGATTGTCTCGTTCGCCAATCGAACGCTGCCCACGGAAAAGTTGCGCAACTACGTCCTTTAGAACGAAAAAAAGGCGTGGCTCGGGTCAACAGGTCAGCAGGCAGGATGCCGCAAGGAGTGGAGAAGCGCACAGGTGAGAAGCATGACGGGTTGCAGTTTATGGTGTCATAAAAGAGCAATTTTTGGGTGCGGTTCGACCTTGGGAGGCGTAACTGCCAATTACAGTGGTCCTTCGATGGGAGAACTTGGTATCCATTTAAAGTAGTTCGTCTTTACCATAAAAGAAGAAAGATTAGAAATAAAGCAAAAAGCTTTAACAAAATGCGTAATTTTAAAGAGAACTGCTTTATATATTCTTGGGACTCTGGACCCTCTGGTATATTAAAAGCACTTGAAAACTAGCCAAAATCTATTTCAGTTTACTTTAGAAAGAAGGCTTTCTAAAAGGTCAAATTGTTCCAAAATGATATTGAAAGCAGCACTTATCTAAAACTTTTTATATTCGGCATTAATTTGATTTAGATATGTATTATTTGACAGAAACAGAAAATATTCCGAGACTTTGTTGAGACATTTTTATTTTTAGAGACTTTCCCTTGCTGTCCATTTTAAAATAGACATTAGTTGGGCTTGCTCAACTATACATTTTTTGTTGGCTTAAAGCTGTTCACAGAGAAACTTTCATTGTACAAATTTTCAATGCTCCTCAAATATTTGCCTTAGCAAGCTGTCACTGTAAATTCATCATCATTCTTCGCTACAAATGGGAAAAACTATTAAAAACGCTTCAGTTTCTTGGCCCTTCCGTTCGCTTGGGTTCGTCTTCGTTTTTGTTTATTTTACATAACGCCCCGGCTGTTTGTTTGTTTAACGGTTTCCATATACTACCGAACACACACTGGGCAGATATGTATACTATATACGTATTTACGAGCACCATATAGAAGCATTTGGCTAAAAATTTCCCTCTACACGTATTTTTCGCAACGGAAGTTTCTGTCATGAGTCAGTTGCCTATAATTGATTGAGATTCGAACTGGAAATCGAAGAGCCTCCTCCAATAAAAAGGTAGCCAAATTGCGAAGGACCACACCTATAAGTGGGCCCTATTTGGTATTTCTTTCGATTTGATTAATTTCCCCGTTCACGGTCATGTGTTGAGGTCGCCCGATAAGGCCAAAGCGCTTAACTGTGCATTGCCATGCTACCGAGGCAACTTTTCACTACTGGCCAGCTTGCCAGTATATATTCGCTATCAGGCGGCCAGGTGATCCAGTTTACTATAATAGAGCCAAACATTTGGCTACGTTTGTGTCTAAAAAAAATAAAAGATCTGCCCACAGACGAGTTTACAGCTCTAGATGAGTTGTTTATAAAGATATATATTTTTCGAATCACTTGATAAGAGTCTCGTTGTTGATCTCGCTAAGAACATTCGTGAAGTGTTTACCCGATTCTACCTTGAATTCTTTTTCGGAATTTTTCACTTGAGCTATAAAGCGGAATATGCAAATAAACAGACGTTGAAAAATTAGAAGCGTTTTTCTAAATATTAAATTCCGAAAATTTGGGTGGCTAATTAATGTTTTTATTTTGGCAAAACGAAACGAAAATAATGCGTGCGCTCGGTAAGACTCAATTTCAACGAATGCTCTATTCTCCACAATCATACTTAAGCCTAGCTTACCGAAGGTTGGCGAAGACGGAGCGAACTCGCCGAGAGCGAACAAATGCTTTATTGCGCTCCCGCCTTCGCCCTAAACTAACTTACAGTAAACTTCAAATTCAATCCAACAATACTTATTCTAACAATTCAAAAAATAAAAAACGAAAAACTGGCTTCAGCCAACACCGGCCCCGTTGAAGGCCCATCCGGCTTCAACAAACTGGAAGCGGCGCCAATTTATGGATGGCCCGCTTAAAAATTCCTCCTCCGCTGGTCCTCACTTCGACGACCCTGACCATGCCGTCCTCTCCTGCGTGAGTGGCGATGATCCTCCCTATCAGCCATTGTTGAGGCGGCAGGTTGTCCTCGGCGACGACGACCAGTTGTCCTTCCTGGATGTTGGGCTGCTCCTGGTGCCACTTGCCCCGAATTTGCAGGCCCAGCACATAATCCAGGGACCATCGCCGCCAGAACATTTGCCTGGCTGACGAGACAAGTTGCCATCGCCGCAAGCAACTGAGACCCGCCTGGTCCGGGGTCCGGAGTGCTGGGATGGGGAATAGCGGCCCGCCTGTCAGCAGGTGCCCTGGTGTTAGCGCTTCTCCGTCGCTGGGATCGTTGGATAGCGCGCCTAGCGGCCGGGAGTTCATCGCCGCCTCGATCCCGACGAGCACCGTCTCCAGCTCTTCTGCGGTTAGGAGCGCGCTGCCCACCGCTCGTAGGAGTAGGTGCTTTGCAGTTTTCACACCTGCCTCCCAAAGCCCGCCCATGTGCGGAGCCCGAGGCGGTGTGAATGCAAACTCGCATCCGCTTCTTGACGCGAATTCTCGAATGGCGTCTGCCTCCTTCTCTATGCGCTCCCGAAGGCCCTGGAAGTGGCGACTCGCTCCGACGAAGTTCGTCGCGTTGTCGCAGTGGACTGTGCGAGGGCATCCTCGGCGCCCAACGAACCTTTGGAAAGCCAATAAGAAGGAGTTAGTGGTTAAGTCTGACACAATTTCTAAATGAACCGCTTTGGACGCAAAACACACAAAAAGCGCTATGTAGGACTTATACGGAGGCCTTCCACGAATTTTCAATGTCGTATAGACGGGGCCACAAAAATCAACGCCACAGATACTAAATGGGCGGAGAGCACGGAGACGATCTGCGGGTAAATTTCCCATAATTTGCGTCATTAGTCGAGGCTTGCATTTAAAGCAGCGAATACATGATCGAACTATTTGACTGCAGACCTCCTGAGCGTTTACGATCCAAATACGCTGTCGAAGGAGACTCACAAGTGCTCGTGGCCCGACATGAAAATTGGTTAGATGCAAATGCCGGACATAGCTCTGCACAAATTGGGAGCATTTTGTCAACAGCAGGGGAAACTTGGCATCGTACGTTATAGGAGCATTTGCTAATCGCCCCCCAACTCGCAACAACGAAAAATTACACCAAGTGCCTGAGTCTTCATGAATGAATGGGTTCAATCGTTGAAGACTTGGGCCAACTCTGGAGTTCTTCCGAACTTTTTCAAGAACTTCGTGATACTCGTGTTTCTGGATGGTCTCGACAATTTTTAAGAAGGCTTCGTTGTACTCATTCGGAGACAGAGTTTTTTCAAAAACTATACTCTTGTCTCTGCATTTCCTTATAAAGCGGAACATGTAACCGAACACTCTAAGCAGCTTGAGGTGTGACGAAAATCCCTCGATGACATCTACCAGTTCCGACTTCCGTACCGTGGCGGCCATCGTTACCACAGTCTTCCTTGATTCTTCAATTAGGACCTTTTCATCGAGAACGAAATGTGAATTTCTGGGCCAGGTCTCTTCTCCATTCTTCAAAAAGGATGGTCCAGTAAACCAGATTGAATCGCTAATTTCCTCTATGTCACAACCTCTTGATACAATATCTGCTGGGTTCTGGTTAGTTGGGACATGCCGCCACGTAGCTTCTCCTGACCACTCCTGAATCTCCGCTACCCTATTCGAGACGAATATCGACAAAGAAGACGGATGGGATCGAATCCAATGCAACGTAACTTCCGAGTCTGACCAATAGACTATCCGTTCGATAGGGACCTTTAATAGGGGTTTGATTCTGTGACAGAGATCTGCGAGAAGGTGAGCGGCACATAACTCAAGCCTTGGGAGCGTTTTAGTCTTGAGCGGCGCTACTTTAGATTTTGACGTCAGTAATGACAGTTTAATACCTTCTGCAGTTTTGCTACGAATATAGACGCAAGCTCCATAAGCTCTCATGGATGCGTCGGCAAAGGCATGCAATTGAACCGGTGACATCGGATCGGTGTGCACATACCGCGGAATTGTTATCTCTTCCAAACGAGACAATGTATTTTTCAACTTATTCCACGCAGTTTCCAAATGCACAGGAATCGACTCATCCCAATCCAACTTGTTCAGCCAGAGTTCCTGCAATAGGATTTTTCCTCTGATTACGATAGGACTAAGCAAGCCGAGGGGGTCGAACAGCTTCGATGTCACCGATAGTATGTTCCGCTTTGTCGCTCTGAGACCCATGACGGAATTGTCAATTTCAAACTTGAAAGAATCTTCGTTAGGCAACCACGATATGCCTAACGCCTTCGTCGACTCTGAATCCGAGATCGGTATGGATTTAACTGTGCTCTCAGATGCGGTGTCCTCAGGTGAGTTCGAAAACCACTTTGTCAATTCAAACCCGGCGGTTTGAAGAACCTGAGACACTTCAGACCTAATAGATCTGAGCTCCTCGACGCATGCAGCACCAGTTAGCATATCATCGACGTAAAAGTCGGATCCAATCACTTCAGCAGCTCTAGGGAATGAAAGTTTGGCAGATTCACTCAACCTTTTTAAACACCGAATCGCTAGATATGGAGCTGGACCAGTTCCATATGTTACGGTGTTGAGCTGGTATAATCTCAAGGATTCTGAGGGGTCTCTTCTCCACACTATGAGTTGAAATGGCCTATCCGCTTCATTTACCATTACTTGACGATACATTTTTTTAACATCGGCTGTCAGAGCAAACCTGTGCAGCCGGAAGCGGAGCAGTGTGGAGTATAACTCATCTTGGATAGTTGGGCCTACCATCAAGATATCATTTAGGGACACCTGAGATGACGTTTTGCAAGAGGCGTCAAACACGACACGCAACTTAGTAGACGTACTCTGGGGCCTAAGGACACACTGATGCGGAATAACATAATGTGGAGTCAAAGGAACTCTATTGTCTGTAGGAGACATATGACCTAACGCGAGGTATTCTTCCATGAACTCGAGATACATTTTCTTTAATTCAGGATCTCGCGACAACCTTCTTTCGAGCAACAGAAATCTCCTTTTTGCAACCTCGAATGAGTTGCCCAATCCAGTGGGATCAGATTTAAACGGCAATCTAACTTCAAACCGACCTGATGGCAAAACCTGAGTGGTCTTTCTATAGTGTTCTTCACACAACTTATGCTCAGGTGATAGAATTTTCTTTATAGATGGCATTTCTTCCAGTGACCAAAACTTTTGTAGTGTGCTATCAATCGATACTAATAGCTCTTCACTACAACTGAAACTATTCACAACATCTCTTGGGGCAGACGCCTTGTATCTGCCTGAAACAACCCATCCAAGTAGGGTCTTTTGAAGAGTTGGATAGTCAGGACCTTGCTTAATTTGACCAACAGCTAAAAGCTCGAAAAATGATTCTGCTCCTATCAACATATCTATTCTTTGTGGCTTGTAGAAATAGGGGTCTGCTAATGGTACGTTCTTTGGAATTTTCCAGTCACTGATATTCACAGACTGGTCCGGATGATATCCGGATATCGATTTCAAAATCCAAAAATCGAACGAAAATTCACTACCATTTATTCGCGACTTCACCACTGTGTGTACCTTTTTCTTAACTTGAGAATTGGATTCGCCAATACCAAGTAAGTTGATACACGATTCCTCTTTACGGATCTGTAAGCGGCGAGCAAGGTCTTCTGTAACGAAATTGGCTTGAGACCCAGAGTCAAGAAGGGCTCGAGCCAAAATGTATTCACCGCTTTTCGTGCGGACACTTACGATCGACGTGGCCAAAATCACCCTGTCCAACGATGTCGCATGCATAACATGTGACGTGGAAGGCTGATCCTGACTTTTAGAGGGAGACAGACTCTCTTGGGGTGGTGGCAACGCTAAACTATTCTCGGAGACGGTATACCTGTGCAGTAAAACGTGATGCGAGCGACCACAAACTCGACATTTACTACTCTTGCATTTGGAAACCGTATGACCCTTTCGCAGACAGTTTATGCACAAAGACGCAGATTTAACAAAATCGAACCTTTGCATCACTGACAGCCGACCAAACGGACTGCAGTTCGCTAGGACATGGTCTCCAGCATTGCAATAGCTACAACTTTGCACGGACTTAGTGTTGGTCGAAGAACACGAAAACGAGCTTCGATTATGTTTGCTCGGAATTAATTTATCTTGCTTTGGTTTTGATGTTTCCTCAGCAGATAAATGCTGATATCGGCGATTCAACATCTTCTCACAATCGGACCAAAGCGGCAAAGTTTCATAATCGAGCTGTTCTTCCCATTTTTGTTTAGTCACTGGGTCTACTCTGTTCAAGACGAGATAAATCAACATTGCATTGGATATTTTTGTATCATCTCCTATCGATAACAACGATCCATAAATTGATGAAACGGTATCGATAAGGCTTCTTAAGGAAGACGCTGATTGGTGCGTAATTTTTGGAAGAGTGAACAATGTTGAGATATTATTCATAAAAATCAAGCATTCGTTATCGTAGACTTTTTTAAGGCTGGCCATAGCCTTCTCATAATTGCTCGCGGTGACTTGATAAGCCTTAATAGTCCCTAAGGCTTCACCGGAGAGACACGAAATTAGGTGGTTAAATTTCTCGATAACTGGAATGCTGTCGTCTTGATGAACGAGAGTTTCAAAAAGGCTGATGAAATTTTTAAACTCCGAATATTTGCCGCTGAACTTTGGCAAGGCCAAATTCGGAAGTCGAGCTCGAGTTGGGGCTACAGAAGCTGATCCGGAAATTTTTGGATCGCTTGCTGTCTTCAAGGCCGACAAAAGCGACATTAATTTTGCCTTGGTAACAATTGATAGCTCCTCCAACTCATCTCTAAATTCATCGCCATCATCTATATCTTCTATCTCTTCTTGCAATAGATTTGCCTTATTAATTGCAGCGTTTAACGTATCTAATCTACATTTTAATTCTTCTTCTTTAATCGCGATCGTGCCAGAATCGAGTCGATCACTTAATCGGCGAATGCTTTTTACTCGATTTTGTAACTTGGCTTTCAAGTCTTCAAGCAGGTTACTTTTTGGCTTTTCTTGGCTCATTTTTGAATTAAATTATCAAAAACCAAATTTATTAAAGTAAATTATTAAAGGACCAAGTGTGAAAAATTTAAATGAAATTAATTTTCGAATTAAACCACAAAAAAATAATAATTTATAAAATATTAAATTTGTTCGAAAAAAAATTATTAAATAATTATTATTATTAAATAATTATTTAGATGCGAGAAACAACGAAAATAATTTTTAAATTGAATATCGAGGCACGAAGTATCAAAATTAATAGTGGGTGCAAACGACGGCGAAAAACAATATACCCAACCGAATGCGGGGTAGCGCGTCACTTGACGGTCCGTTAACCTGTAGCGCGCCCAAATGACAAGAACCCAACAACAACAACAACGCTGCTAGCGGCGACCAAGCGAAAGCGAAAACGAAAAAAGTTTACCGCTGCAGCTGCTTGTATATAAGGGCTTATTTATTTGTGTATAACGGCTCAGATTAACTTCCCAACTATTAACTTGCGAGGTTTTAACGATAATTAAAAACAAGGGGGGCGACAGTGATTGCAATAATTTAACACAATTTAACAAAAGTTGCATCCAAATTGGTTCAAATAGTATATATCAATTTAGCACTTGTAAATATATTAGGTATTTATATATATATAATGGCTGTAATATTTGCTACTCTTTGAAATTATTAAAATTGTTTAAATTTTATTTTGCATGCAATCTAGCTCTACTATTTTGTACATATGTGCCAAGAATTGAAAGCGAGGTGCAATTTTTCAGCACTAGACAATTAACAAATATTTCTAGTTTTTTGTCAAAACTCAGCTTTCAATTTTTGCACAAATACCTTTGGTTCTTCGTTTGGATCTTTCAATCCTGCTGCCACTTTCCTTTTGCAACTTGAACAATCGCAGGGCATCCCTCGTCGGTGGCAGAAACGTCGAATTAGGGTATTAAATTTCGCGACCGGCACGAGTGAATTTGTTGTTGTTTTTTAATAATTAAAAACACCACACGTCGCGGGCAACTTGTATGTACTTCACAAGAACTTTATATTTTTGTGCAATTTTTATAGCAAAAAAACCACAAGAAAAAAAATCACTTGCAATTGTTTGTTATTTGTGTCACTGTCACTTTAAAAAATTGTTGCCTTTTATTTAATTAATTAGTCCACCCGGGGGCGCCATGAAAAATTAGAAGCGTTTTTCTAAATATTAAATTCCGAAAATTTGGGTGGCTAATTAATGTTTTTATTTTGGCAAAACGAAACGAAAATAATGCGTGCGCTCGGTAAGACTCAATTTCAACGAATGCTCTATTCTCCACAATCATACTTAAGCCTAGCTTACCGAAGGTTGGCGAAGACGGAGCGAACTCGCCGAGAGCGAACAAATGCTTTATTGCGCTCCCGCCTTCGCCCTAAACTAACTTACAGTAAACTTCAAATTCAATCCAACAATACTTATTCTAACAATTCAAAAAATAAAAAACGAAAAACTGGCTTCAGCCAACAGACGTTCATAGAAATCGATTTAGCGTTTCTATATAGCGCAAAAGTTTAAATAAATTCATACGAACCGGCGGGCGTCAATTGCGCATTTCAGAAAAACCGCATACCGAACACACAAAACTTTATTCCAGGCACGTTTGCGTTTATTTCTTCTATTTATTCCACTCCCGACGAGGTTCGGATAAAAGTTACTGTAAATAAAGCCGCGGAGGTCTAAAAATAAAATAATATTAATATTTCCAGAGAGGTGGGGGCCCCCTTTTGCCCCAAGCCCCCATTGTTTGTTCAATCCAATGATCTATTTGATCCGCAATTAAGCAATTAAAGGCATGTACATGAACAAAACGTATAGTGGCTGGGAATTTATGACCTTGTTGCTGCGATTTAAACCGAATTTCTTCTTTCATCTCTTGCAGGCAAATGGAATTTGTCGAATGTGCGGAGGAGGAGGTGTCCAGTGCTGTAAGATGTACTAACTAATCACTTTACGAAATTGTGTCTTGCGATATAATGAGCTTAACTACGAATATGTTAACAGAAATGATGTCAGCCGTAATTTATTTAGACACGCACACACTCAGAAGCCGGCGATATTTATGGCAAAGCTAAAACATATGTACACATGTGGTATTATCAACTGGAATTGACTAAATGCACAGTGGGACAAGTGGATTCCGGGGCCTGATAACCTCTATTGGAAATGCCCATTCATGCTTCTTTATATGCCCAAGGTATAAACAAAGCCATGAAGATTATAGAAACTTTGGAAATTTCCATGAACCATTTTGAGGAATCTCAGACCACTGTGCATAGAATGAAGTGAAATTGATCACCGAAAAGTTGTTTATTGGCAAAAAGCTAAGTTTTTGAGTTGTGTGTATTTATATAGGGTGCGCTTGTCAGACAAACGGAATTAAACTAATCTACCATATAATTTTAAAACGATTAATATTAATTTAGAAAGTTGTTGAATAAAGTCTAAAATTGCAAGCTATCCAGGCAGCTTGTTCCCTAATTTATACCAGTAATATCTATATATGTATGTATATGTATATGCCTAAGCTCTACTAATGAAGTCAATATAAATAAAGTGCAATGTTGTTGAACAGAGTAAAGATCTTTTATTATTTTGCAGTATCCGTCTGACTTGCGAAAAACTACACAGCCAGCATCTGTTAATAATTTGTTATCTAACTAAAAACACAGACACTGCGTTCTACATTTCAGGGCTGTAAATGTCATATATCAACAGACATTTGTGTTAGGTCGGCGGTTGCTTTTGTTAAACAATTAATGGTTTATGTACCCACGGGCAATATACAATATGCATTTGTATGAACACAACAATTGTTTAGTAATTTAATCTTATCGTTTGCCAGCGACGAGATCTCTATGGTCAGCTAACCATAGGAAAAAGTGTGGAGTACTTTATTTTTTTGTTGTTGTTGTTGTTGTTATTCCATTCCAGTCAGTCACCCTTGCATCAATTGGATTCGTTTATTCCCTGCTCAAAAAGATACAAGATAAAAGTGGTCGCTTGCTTAATGGGCAAATGCAATATATACTTGTACATATTTTAAAGGCAACCCACAGTCAAGTGTGCCAAGTGAAATGAAAACGCGTCCGTCGACTCGACCTTGAGATCAATTTGTGGCGGCGTGACGTCACCGCCTTTCAATAGCAACAAAAAGCGGCAGCTGCCGACCGCTTTTGAAAAACATAAAATATTCTTACACAAATTTTACAAATTAAATTTTAGGCTAATGCTCCCCAGCGATCTGTGCACCCACATTTTAACGATTTTGATTTCAGCATTCTATGTTTATTCTATTTTGGACGGGCTGCTAATTTCCTATATATGTGTGTTTTCGACTTGTCAAGCGCTCCAAAGAGACCGAAACCAGTTTGTCATGTTCTTTGCCTAAATTCGATAATTAATTGATCGCAGGAGAAACTGCGGCAATCGTTGAAAAACAGAAACAAACTCCGGTTGCATGAGCTGTGTGCTGTGCTGTGGTGTTGTGGTGTCGCCTTATCCAGACGCCCGGTGACGAAAGCAAAATATCCATCGAGATTCCAAGCGAGACGCAATGCAGGTTTTGTATCTTACATTTAATACATTTGGATTTGGTTGTGTGTACAAAAACGAACATAAAATCAACGTTCGGTGTGTGGATTTTTTAGATATCTACATAGCTACATACAATATCGTTCGTTTACATTATATTCAGTTAAACATAATAAATACAATTTAATAATATATACTCGGGTACGTATATATAACAAATAATACATCCAGATTTCGCAGAGCCGAAAACCATTTTCGGACACCCAGCAGGCAGATTCAACATTTCGCGTGAAAAACAGAAATTTAGTGTACAAAAATACATAATAGGTCCTATTTTCAACACCGTTTCGATTCCATTTCGTGGAATGCAAAAATTCAATTATTCGAATTTATAGATTTTAAAACATTTCGTCTTCGAATAGTTGATTTCTTCAATTTGTATAAATTTGCAATTCCGCTCAACTTTACCAAAATTTGAAATGAAGATAGGATTGATAATAAAAAGCTCAGAGAGAACTTATGCTCGCTATTCCTGTGCCTAATTAAATATGTTTTAGATGTATGTGTGTTTGTCTCATATTTACGATTAGTTACAAAAATTTTTCTAGTTTTTCACGAGCCTATTGCCATATTGCCATTTTCCGTTCCCACACTTGCCGTCTATCGAATAAGCGGAGCAACTAATTTGACTTCGCCGAATACGGACTGGTAGAACCCACTGATGGAGGAGTCGGTGTGGCACCACTACGGATACCATCGCCCTCGCACACATATTTTCCTGCAAAGTGAAGTGAAAGGTTTATGAGTTGATTTCCTCAGACAAACTATATCTACTCATTGTATATTTAAACGTACCGGAAACGAATCTCCGTTTGACCAACGATAAGCGATAGCCGCTACCCTGGAGCTCGAATTCGATGCCCGAAAGTGTGGTGCCCTCGCAGTTGAACTGAGTGGCTAGGAGCGCCGGTGTTGAAGGACCATCGTTGAGCTCCAGGCGAGCACGCAAAGTGCCCACTCCGCCGTCCTGAGAGTTCTGCGAGATGTCCGTAAAGTTCCACACCAAGCGATTCGATTCACCCAACCTGAAAACACAGATGCGAGAATATTATCATTGATTAACTCTTCTGGGTGTTATCAACTTACCATGCGGAATGCGGCTTGGACTGCACATTGCGCACAGATCCGTTGACGGGCACCGAGAGCGTGACATTCAGCAGAGGCGAGGCATTGGCCATGGCATGGTTATTGTACTTGTAGTCCACTTTGAGGGCTGTGTAGCTGGACTCGCACTTCCAGTAGCTAACCAGCTGGAAGGGACACGAGCTGGCTCCCGGCTTGGTGCGCACCTGATATTTGAGTATGTCCACGTTGAAGTAGGAGGCTGTCGGGTTATTATCCGCCTGTCTTCGCAGGAGGGCCGTCAAAGCACCCATGTTGAACTCCAGCATAGTGCTAACAGTGCTGGACTGCTGACGATCTCTGTAATAAATCCATATAAGTATAAACATACAGAACAAATATTTATCAACCACAACATACATTTGCACCAGCTTTCCGTTGGGCACCAGGTTCTCCAGATTCTGAACGTGCTTAATGCGAAAACCCAGCTTGGCTGGATTTGGATTATTGGCTAACAGGCCGGCAATGCCGGCTGGGAATGATAGCATCATATCACCGGACACCTTCACCTGGCAGCGCGACTCGTCACTGCCCCGGAAATAAGCGTGTATGATCTCGTGGAATGCGACCGCCAGCGGTATGGTGTCCGAAATACCGATAGTTAAAGGCGAGGGACCTCGCGAGGAGCCCACTCCCCCGATGGCCGTGCGGAACTCCAGGCTGCCGATGCTCTCGGCTCGATTCATTGCCGTCACTGGTGCTGGAGACATTCGTCCGCGTCCCGGCGCTGTTCCCGCTGTTGCCGCCGGTCCAATGGCTATCATATCCGAGCGCCGGGATGGCGGACGCGGTATGGCTATACTTCCACCAGTGGACGCCGATGTCGGCGTTGGTATCTGTCTTCCGGGCGGTTTGCCCAATGTCGCCGACGAGGGCGCCGACATGCTCATGTCTCCCAGCTCCGAAAAGATGTCCCCCAGATCCGCATATCGACTATTATTCGTATTGTTGGCGTTGTTATTGTTGGACAGCGTGGGGCTCTGCAGCGGAGCATAAGGATGCACACTCGCCGTGGGCGTGGATGCGTTCGATATCTCTGGGGATTGCTGACGCGACGCCGGGGCTCCTCTGGCTGCCTGCAACTGCTGGCTGTGATGCTGTTTGGGTAATAAATTTCAAATAAATTCATATTATAATTCCTTGTAAAATAACTGATGTAAACTCACTGAAAATACGCCAGTTGGTGAAAGTGAAATGTTCTCCACAGTGGCACGCAGCTCGTCCACGCTGGCCGACATTGGCGCTTGGCCGTTCTTCAGCGGCTTGATGCTCACATGGATCCGGCGCTCCTGCTTGTCGTTATCTGAATCCGTATCCGAGTCGGAGTAGAAACTGCCAGCTGAAATATGTAGTTTTCCACTTCAGTTTAGAGCTATTTCAATTTGAATATGTTTCTTAATTACATTTATCCTGGCCTTCCTCCCAAGCAATTTCCTTGGCCGGCTGTATGCTGAATCCCTCCTCGTCCACCTCATAGCCCGTTCCAGTGCCACTAGAGGTGTTCGGAGCTGTGGCTGGAGCCGAGTTGGTGAGCACACCTGCATTGGGCAAACTGCCACTGGCACCGGCGGCTCCTCCGCTGCCACCCATGCTACTGGCACCGGCTGAATCCACGCTGCCCTGTGCCGAAGTGGCCGACAAGGCGGCCAAGCCACCTCCTGCACTGCTACCACTGGAGTTCTGCGTCTTCATGCTGCGCCCATGATCGTCATAGTCCAGCAGCGTGTTGTTGGCTCGCTCCACACTGAAAACACACAAATTTAAGTGATTAAATAACACTTCACAAAGTATTGGATTAATTTTTAACCCACCTATTAAGTCGTTCCTCTTGAATGTGCTCGGCGGCCTCGTTGTCTTTCTTTTTCTTAGCCTTTTTGGTTTTCGTCTTATCGCGGCGACTTCGTAAAATGCCAGAGACTGCAGCGAAAAAGGATTAATGTTAACACAGGACATTCAATGTGGTCAATGACTTGCTTATCAAGCAAACTAGAGACTAATAGAGAACACACAGGACGACACTGAGTTGCAGGACACTTCAGTGCTCAGAAGTGATGGGGAAAACTGCTTTGTGGTGGAACAGTTGACAGTTGAAACTTAAATGTAATGCCTTCCCTTCCTCAGGACTCAAACACCGCCTTAAAGTTCGTTACAAATGGTTGATTGGTTAATCGGGTATGAGAGAACAAAAAGCTGAGCACACAGAAAAGCCGTTAATTTACATATTAATCCTAGAGTACATGCATTTATTTTTGGGTGGTTTCTGTTGGTTGGAGCTGTACAGGTGTTTTAGTAACTGGAGGGGATGGTGAAATGGGGTGGGGGGCCAATCACTTTCATTGACATTCTTGAATCATTTACCCTGAGAGTTTGATGTGAATATATTTAAAAGTGACGTTGCACGTCTGGACGTTGTCGTTGTGGCGGTGGTTGCTGCCGCAGATGTTGCTGCCGTGGCCGCTGCAGTCTGTTGTAGATGATCTTGCTCATTTAATGATTTCGATAGCTGATGCTCGCTTGTCGTTGCGTTCAATTGCTTTTTGCCAGTCGCACTCGCACTCGTTGCAATTGCAGTGGCACTTGCGGTTGGTGTTAGGGCCTCTGCCGGATGCTGCTGTGCTGCCTGATCTAAAGTTTTGATTTCGATTAGTCGATCGGTGCATGGATGAATGGATGATTGGGATGATCAATGAGTGGTTGGTGGATGGTGGATGCCATGGATGCGATGGATTTGATGGATGAACGTGAAAAGCATGGAACACGGAAATAAGACCAAGAGAAGCGTACAGAAAAGTTGTTAGTGCTTTTAGTTCAATGGCTTTGATGGCATTTGTGTGTGCGAAAGAGTGTGCAGTAGTCCCGAGAATAGTCTGATTGATTGGCTGGTGTTTGAGTGTATAGTTTATGATAGTATTCAACTAAAAACGAGAATAATTTTGGGAAAATAAACTAAGATTCGATGAAATTATATACAAAAAGTACAAGTATAAGTAAAGTATCTACAAATTTACAAAAAATGCTCAGAAAACAATGTAGAAATCCGCTCGTAATAAAAGTTTTTTAGCGGTCTTAACAACTGTACGACATTTTTAAAAAGCTTTAAATGAAAAACTGGTTTCAAATAGGAAAACGTAATTAGAAAACACTTCGAGTAAAGTGAACCTTGTCGCACGTACATAAATATGTCTATGAACAGATAAGAAATATGTTACAATAGAAACAAGTAGATTTTAAAGATAAACTAATTAGTTTCGACAAATACATAGAAGGAGAAACTTTAACCATAAAACATAGGCACCCAAAAATAATAAATCAAATAGATAACCAAATAAAATCAAAGAGAAAGAACCTTGATTGCTAGTATCCTCTGAATTGGGGGAATTTTTGGTGACATTGGTGGTGAGATTATTCGTGCCAGTTGTTGTTGTTGTTGTTGCTGTTGTGTTGTTGGTGTTCAAGTTGTTGCTACTGTTGCTTGTTGTTGTTGCTGTCGTGATGGTGGTATTGTTGGTGGTGGTGCTTCCGCTCATACCGAAATTTCCCGCGCTCGCTGTCGGCTGTTGTTGTTGTTTGGCGGTGGGCAAAAACCAGGAGCGCAGGCTCTTCACCGTGGACGTGGTTCCACCACCCGGCTGACCCGCCGCGGCATTTGCCCCGGCCAGCATGTCTGGCGATGTGGGACGTGGCGAGCCCATGGTTCCCAGTATCGGATCCTCGGCATAGGGAATACTGCCGCTGGCCGCACTTCCGCTGCCCACAGAGATCGCCGCCAAGGCATCGCCCCGCTGATCCATGGACACCACACTGCCCGAGGCTGAGGTCGCCGCATTTCCAGCCCGCAGAGCTGCCTGAATGCTGCTCGCCGAGTTCGTGTTGAATGCGCCACCAGAGACCTGAGGCGTTTGGAGCCGAGAGCCACTCGACAAGGCCACATACTCCAGCTCAGGCATTTCTGGTAACCAGATAATATTAGTCGTAAACTATCCCTTTAAAAAGGCCAGCTTACCTGGTTTCTCCAGACCCGTGTACTTGTTGAGCACAAACTGTTCCAAGAGTTTGTCCACTGACATGTCGACAAACTGCCTTTTAAAATCGGAATGTACTTGACCCACCATGTCGTGATTGTTCTGCAGCATTTCTAAATAGGTAGAAAGGAACTCCTTCATTTGGCGCAGATGCACCTCCTCAATCTCTTGAAAGCGCTACAACACACAATTCATATCATAAAATAAAGGTATAAGTTAATAAATAATAATAATACCTTGCAGGTCTGAGTCATGCGCCTCTCGAACTCGTTCTTAATGGGATTGTGTTTGTCCAACAAGGCCTTGTACTCCTCCTGCAGTTTTTTCAGCTTGCTCTCTAGCTTCTCGGCATCCTTATGGGAGCCGTTGTCCTTGCGCAACTTTTCCAACTCCTGCACCTTGCTAGCGTAGAGATCGCGCAACTTCTGCACTGCCACCGTCGACGTTTGGATGGCCTGAACACACTCGAGGGTCTGCGACTCCTCCTCCTTGACAGACTTGTGCTTCTTGTGCAGCTCGTCGGCGTATTTGGCCACATCCTTGACCAGCTCGGTCAGCTTTTGCACCATCTGCAGGTGAAGGGTCGAGAGTTTCTCCGCCGAGGTTCGCAAAATAGTCCAAACCGGGGCGAATGTACTATTCAGTGTACCCGCCTTGTGGGCCAGCTTGGACATCATCTTCGAGTTCTGCTCCTCAATGTTGGACTTTTCGCGCAGAAACTCTGACAACTCCTTGCTGGCCACCAGGCCAAACTTCATGTTGTGGTACAAGACATCATAACCATTGTTTTTCTCGCCCTATAAATTAATGGAAACTTATTAACGATCCTTCAGCATCAAATAGCTATTTTGCTTACCCAAAAATAGTCGTTAAAATCCACCGTCATTTTAATGCTTATGTTCTGAATACTCCAATAGCTGGATAGGTAAATCTTACAATAATTTCCTTCTCCTCTCTTAATTAATGTAAAAGGCTTTCTGGCGTTCTAATTGACTTGACTTCTCTAGATGCCCCCGAGGCTTCTCGAGTAGCACAGTAGTTCGATCCTTTCGATGCTACTTTCTGTGTGGGAAAGAATCCTCATCATCAGTTTCAGTTTCGTCCTCAGCAAGCATGGGATCTGGCAACTATCTTCTATAAACTCAGTGTTGTCTACGTGGGTACTAGAAGTTTGGAAAACAGTAAAGATTAGGATTAACAGTGTGTACGGAATTAATAGAACATACACAGCATCCACGAAAATGTACAAATATCATGTTATGGATTTGTAAACTAAACAAAAAATAAATACTATACTATTTATTTTTGTTTGTGCCCAAATAGGATATTTTATTGATAAATTAAAATCTTATTATGTATTTGTAATCTAACATATATGTATGTAAAAATAATTTTATAATTGGTATAAACTTAAAAAAAATGAAGTGTGGTAGTGAAATCTAATTTTCTGGTAGCTTGGCCGTCTCCGCATCGATGCGTTCATCCAAAGCTCTGGTGAGGATGGTGCAGCAGTCCTTGATGGCATGGTAAATAATATTCTTGATCTGCAGCTTGTCCTCGTGATTTGTGTGAGAGTGCGAGAGCCTTCTAAACTCGTGGGTGAGATGGTAGCAATGGGTAATGTTCTCTGGCGATACAAAATCCTCGGCCACCTTAATGCAGTTGTGCAAATTCTGAACTTGATGAGGGGCTCCTGCCGGTATGAAGACAGCATCGCCCAAGCACTGGACAATCGGATGTCCTTCCACTCCGTATTCCTTAAACAAACGGGCCCGCAACTTGTCGTCCAGATACCAATTCTGATCATGAATGGGATCGTGATCGGGCTCCAGCCGAAAACCCTTCTCTAAAGTTACACGGTTAAGTAAATCCCTGATCTTGTCGGCATCGCGGGCCGGAAAAATGTGCCACAGTGCTCCAGGCAAAACATCTGGCGATTGACATCGAGCTCTGGTAATATAATCGCATCCGCCCAGATCAATTGCTTTCTGAGCGGCCGCCAGTTGAGGCTTAATATCCCCGTCCTGGGGGATTCCCACATAAACCATTATGTTGACGGCATCGGAAATGTCCAGGTGAAGATTGGTTGTTCCCTTATCCGGGTGCAAAGCCGAGCCGTAAGCATTGTACATCTTGGGACCCAGATCAGGTGGTACAAACATCTTCGGCAGACAGCTAGCAATGTTTAGGTTTCCCGTTCGTAAAGTATATTCCGGCATGGGTAATCCCTTCATCAGATCCGCAAATCTGGTGGGCAATATCTCGGCGAAATCATCACCAGGCGGCCAATCCTTAAGTTTCAAAAGCATCGGCTTGTTATTGGCATCCAACAGGCGCTTATTCATGCACTGAAATCCCTCCCAAAAGTGCCGCATCGGTTGATTGGGAACTAGATTTCCATTCAGGCAGTTAATCAGATCGTTGGGCTTGTCGCCAAAGTCGCGGCAAAATGCCTGCGGATGCCAGAGATCCAAATTCAAAGAGCGAGCCACCTCCGAAATCATCACTGGCTGGCCGCATTTCCAGACCTCCTGGTAGAGAACCCGATTGTCTGGATGCATGGCGTCGGTGAGACGCAGCAACTTGCCATCGCAGAGCCACTCGTGTGGAACGCCAGGTGCCAACTGAGTAGACTGTGCCAAAGTCATGGATTTTGGTGGAAGAAATCGCCTTAAACCGGCCAGTCCCTTCCTGAGAAAATTAATGTGCTTGAAATTGTCAAAAGCCGTTGTTATCGGGTCCTTTCCCAAGGTTTCCTTGGTCCAAACCCTTCCTGGTACGTAATCGATGCCATGCTCTCTGGCAAACTCCAGCTTCTTGGCGTGCAGCTCTTCGAGACGCTGTTGTTGATGGAGTTTCTGTTCGGAGGCCAGCGAGGAAAAGCTAGTGTGCTGCTTCAACTGCGACTCCTTGATCATGTCCTGAATCATCCCGCTCAACTGAGGATCCTTGACAGTATCTTTGCTCAGCAGACAGCCGCACACCTGTGGCACCTGCCACACTGTTCGCACATCGTGGAGCAGCCTGCCCAGAACGTTGAGCGAATCTCCTGCTATAATTTGGGTCAGCATTAGCTCGGCGGGGCGGTGCTCGTGGGGGCCACTGGGATCGGTGCACAACAACCAGTGGTATTCGTCGCAACCCTTTTGGGCAGCATTCTCCGCACGTCGCAATCGCTTGCCCTCCTTGCGATCCTTAAAGCAATCCAAACAAACCCCAAAGCCGCACTTGCGGCAGGTCCAGTGATAATTGAACAGCGTCGTGTCACACACATCGCAGATCTCTCGGGTTCCCTTCACGGCCTTCTTCCAGGCAATAATGCCATCCGGATTCTGGTGCAATCGCAGAGCGTCTGCCTCTTGGCGCCACAAATAGCAGAACTGGTCGCCGGCATGGAGCAGAATATAACGGCAGACCTGTATGTCCATGTAACCGCTGGTCGGAGCAGTATTCTCATCCGGCTGCCAAACGGCAATGTCCTCCGGTGTGGGTTCGATGTAGGGATTCGGAAAACCCACAACGCCCAGCTCTCCTTTTTCATCAAACTGTAGACGTCGAAATTCATAGAATCGACAGTAGACATCGTTGCCAACGCTGGTCTCGCCATCTTTGGGGGCCAAGTTTCTCCGCCGGCATTCCCGGCACTTGGGAATCGGCGAAGAACCAACTGCTGGCTGTGCCTGCTGCAACTTAAAACAGGGTAAATCCTGGAGAAAAATAGATCCACTGCTGCGGAACTCGTTATGGCGCTGCTGCTCTTCTTCAGTTAACGGTGGCACTTGACCGAGGAACTCCTCCTCCTCCTGCTTCTGTGCCTGTTCCACCACTCCAGTCGAGCTCTCCACATTCCGGCAAGTTCTCTTTGCGGCAGATGAGTCATTGGATATGTGAATCTCTATGATGGATCTCGGTTCCGACCGCGTAGACATTGGAGAGGATGTAGAGGGAACGGTCCGCTTGCGGCTCGTTCTTGTGGCGACAAGGGCCGCTAATTCTTTTTGTGACATTTTAGCGGTTCGATCTTCGGAAACGAAAAGAGATGGAAAGAAAAAAGATCGTAGTTTGAGGTTTTTTGTATGGACTCATCAACCGGCGACCTGGTAATGCTTCCCATGAGGAGATGTCTGCTGCTCCGTGCTCCCTGCTCTTGCTGCATTATATTTTGTTTACTTTGCGCCTCGCCTCTCGTTCTTCCGTTTGCGATTGCGTTTGCGTTTGGTTGGCTTTCGCGCATCTTGCACACGATTACAACATTGCCGGTAATGTGGCGAACAACTTTCGTTGGCTTTCTTCTTCAATGCACACGCACATTTAAATGAATAGAGCAGGGCTTCAAGAGAATACAGCACAACTACTCACTGCCTCCACATTACCAGGCACACCGAAATACTTAAAACTATCTTATGTTATATAAGCCTAAGAAGGTGGTCGTAACAACACTGGTGTAAAGCTCTTCCCAATTCATATAAAAATAACTATTATATATAACTATATTTTTTTCTTTGACTCAATAAATCACCGATGAACTTTTTAAACATATAAATAAGCATTTCATCATCAAAATCACGTATACGACTAGATGTGCCAAATTTGTTATTCTGAGTTGCCATAGTTACAATAATATTTAATCTTTTATGACAAGAACACTAAAACTTTTACTGGCTTTTAAAATGTAAGTTTTATAGCTGCAATTATTGTGTTATATTGACCGCAATCGTCAACAGCCAATTTTGTTGCCTTTTTTTCCAAGTTAAATTAAACATGTGCCATTAGAAGTCGTCAAAACGAGGGTTAAAGATAAACACAGTTCATAAAAAAAATTCCACATGTTTGTATGTATTTATCAACCCAATGCATTGCAATGTGGGCGTCTCAAACTAAAAGCTGACAAAATGCTTGATAAAGCCCCTCTAGATTCTCTCTATGAGTTCGGACAACCGAAAATTCAGCTATTTGTTGCTACTTCTGCTAAGAACATGATAATCAAATGAGTCGCAGGCAAACACTCGGAAAGGTTATCGCACGATATGGAGGTATTCGGAGATTGGGGATTGCAACTAACAGCTCTGTTAACAGGGGCAACAAGTGTCACTGAGTCCAGCAATGTGAACCCTCACGAACCGGAGGAAAATGCAAAGCCCAGATAATTGAGGCGACACCGATAAATTAACCCCTGGCCGAAAAATAAAGCAGAAGAGCAACAAAATACAAATGTACGGCGGCACTACAAACATAAAGACTTGTTTGTGTTTTTGGGCGTTTACCGCACAGCAAATATCTTACGAAAAACAGGAAGAGAGAAATGAGAAAAGCACGAAAGGCGAAAAAGAGCAGGGAAAAGAAAAACCCTACAAGCGACTCCACCCCTCTTATCCACCCAAATTGATCAATCAATTCACTCGCTGACCTTTTAATTCAATGAAGGTCTGCTCTTTATATAACAGCCATTAAACAAATCGTACAGAATTTTTTACAATAATGCTTGCCTGATAACGCCGTCAGATAAATATTTATGTATGCTACACTGCACTTCACACTACACTACCAATTTGAATCACCTCGGCAACACTGTTCCTATTACTACATCGCTCCAGGTTTGTTGTTCTTTTTCCTTTTGGTTCGCTATTGGTCAATGAATTTGTTTTTGCTCGCCCATTTTGAGGTGCAAATTGCTTGAATTTGCTGGGATAAATGCACAATTAATAAGCACTTGGCACTGCAGGGAATGCACTCGTTGCAATTTAGAACCGCTGCCTTTGTCGAGTTTTATCAATTTAAATTTGTGTACTGAAAGCCACAAACACCAGCACAAACACACGCACACACACACCCGCAACGAAAACTTGGCGTTCCTGCATACAAATAGGATAGAACTAACAAGCTAACTTTTTCAGCAACTCATTGCCGCGACTTTTGCGGGGAGTGGCCACTTACATTTACTTATAGCATGTTGTGTAACCGCTTGAGTGTAACTTCTGTGATTCTTGGCCCGTTTAAACTTCAGCCGATTTGAGAAAAAATTCGATTTTTCATTAGCACTGAGCGAAGCGCAACTAGAGGTGAAACTAATTTCGATAATGCTATCTAAAAGTAGGAGACTTCCTCCGGTAAATCCGTTTAATATCGATTTTTACCAGGGATGACTTCTTTAAACGGGAGTTATTTACAAATTTATTGTTTTCGAATATAAGAACTTTTAAACCCTCCTGGGTAATTGTTTACAAGTGCGGATTAAATTGTGCTTAAAGGCTTTTGCTTAAAATTACTCTTAAAAAAAATTTCTTTCCCATTTTTAGCAAAAAGCCCCTAAAGCACAATTTTACCTAAAATTATACGATTTTGGGACTTATATAAAAATGTCATAGCTAAATTGTTTAATGTATTTAATAATAAATATTTTATGCGCGCATCTACATATCTACCATAACTAAGTAATATCGATAGCTTAAACATCGACAGCCTTGCAGCGTCGATTGTCCCGCTCGCTTGTGAAATTCGCGGAAAACGGGAAGATAAATTAAAAGAAGAATGAGCACCTGGAACCCGGAGAACGATGTGGATCTATTGTCCGGGTCCGAGGACGAGGAGGAAGTGGCCATGAAGCGGGACTTCCATGGGCGTGAGGCTCTTCTCTTTGTGGTGGATGCGAATCTCCAGACAGGAGGCATAGACCGGTTGATGGAGGCATTTAACATCATTAGGACTGCATTTATATCCGGCATTATGGTCAACGACAAGGACTTGATCGGACTCATCTTCGCCAATACAAAGCACAGTCCTCCCCCGCTGGAATCTAGTGCCTTGGATAACATCGTGATGCCTGACAACTGCGCCGTTTTCCTTCCTCTGCGACAGCTTACTAAGCCAATTGTGGAGCACTACCTCGAGTTTATGGTCGGGGTGGAGGCCCAATTCGCCAAGGATTACGGCCTTGTTGAGCCCGACGGCTGCGGAAGATTTGATCTCATGATTCGACTTTGCATTGAGTTGTTGGAAAAGTGCGGCAAGAAGCTTAACAATGCCAAGATTGTCTACTTGACGGATGTGAGCTCGCCGCATCCTCCGTCCAGCAATCACTTCCAAGCTTCCCTGCAAAAGGCCAGCGATCTGGAAGGCAAGGAGTTTGAGTTTCACGTTATTCCCATGGTAGATGATTTTGACTACGAGCCGTTCTACAAGGAATTTATCACTTTATCAAGGGGTAAGCTTATAAATGTATTTTTTTTCGGATTTTATTTTTGCGAAGTCTGTTCCCCTGGTTGGCGTTTTATTTTCGTCGGTAAGGTTTTAAGACTTCGCAGATTAACCTTGAGCAATCATTCACCCGCGTCCAAGTGAAGCCCAATTGGTTTGTGGTTTTGGATTGGCTTACAAATCTTTATATACAATCTAGATGAATAATATATTATACTACTTGTAAGGCCACCCTTTTTATACTATTTTTACTAATATTGAGGTGTTCACTTTACAGCTATTGAACTGGACGCCTTTCAAGAGCCAGACGCCCAGATGCTACGCGAGATCCTGGCGGATCGCAAGCTGAAACAGGATTTTCTGCGCCGCTGCCTCGGCCACTTCAGCTTCCACCTTGGCCCCAATCTGTCAATGTCTGTACAGTACTACAACTACTTTCAGCGGCGCGCATATCCACGCAAAGTGCAGATTCTGCGGCGAGACAACAGCGTGGTCAGCAGCAAGCGGGTGATAACAGTGCAGAAGCGGGACGAGGAGTCGCAAGACATTCTCCACGAGTACCAAATCAAAACGACAGGAGGTTGGTACACCTGTAACGTGGGTGGCGAGAAGCTGCGCATCAGCACGGAACAGTTGAACAGGGTACGCAATTTGCACAAGCCAAAAATGTTGCTGCTAGGTTTCAAGCACCGATCATCTCTGCCCGAAATAAGTTACAGCAAGCCTTCGAACTTCATGTATCCCGACGACCAGAGTATCATCGGTTCAAAGCGTTTGTTTCGTGCATTGTGGGAGCGTTGTTTGGCGCGAGAAAAGATCGCCATCTGCCTCTTTATGTGCAAGCGCAAGTCAATTCCTCGCTATGTGGCTCTCGTACCTGTTGAGGCCTCAAATAAAGAGGAGGAGAAGAGCTATCGATCCCTGCTTTGCGGCGATGGATTCAAGATGGTCTACTTGCCGGAGTCCAAGCACATCCGAAACATTGACATGTTCGATTGGAACGAAACGGCAAACGAGGCCAGCGACGAGGGCGTTGAGTTTTTTAAGAAAGTCATTAAGAAGCTTCGAGTTGACTACCAGCCCAATCTGATCAATGACCCGACTCTAGAAGCCTTGCAATCGAATCTCCTAGCTCTTTCCCTGGACTTCACAACGGACAGCAAAGGCATCGATAATCTGCTGGACAGCTCGGCGCAGGATCAGCGCATCGAAAAGCTTTTGCCCGAATACGAGGAGATATTCGAGCCGGAGGTGGAGCCAGCTAAGAAAAGGGTTGCAAAGTCCGCCACATCAGGTGCAACTGCCCCAAAAGTGGCCAAGATCGACGAGGAGCAACTTAAAAGTCATGATTTTTTAAAGGAACTCGCCAGAGATCAACGGTTGCCAAGCTGCACGGTGGCGCAACTTTTGTTCATTTTGGATCACCATTTTCAGGTCAAGATGCCCAAGAACACTGTGAAGGCAAAATTAGTGGACAAAATCGAGTCATTAATAAACTAATGTCAGGAATTTGAGCTAAGCTTGTTATTGCATGGCAAAAAGTGTAACGAATGTTATTGTTTGCAAGTAGATATACTACAAAAAACTACTGTTATAATATAAGATTATTTTGTTAAGTAAAGTACAATATGTTTGTGACCATATGAATCGGAAATATATATTATTCTTATTACAAATATCCATTACATATAAATATGTTTTTTACCGTATCTTAAAATATTTCCAAATGCCTTTATATTTTTTCAGAAAAAATTTAATTTAAACGCCACTGTTTAAAAGATTACTTGAAAAAGTAGGCGCAGAAGAATAATTTTTGAAAATCGATTGTTCGTTGAGTGTGAAATTGTCATAGCTAGAATTAGTGTTGAACAACGCCGGCGATATACATGTGTTAACCGCGCCGGTTTCTATTTGCAAAAAAATCGCGAATCAATTTATTGTGAACCGTCGTTGGAGAATGTCGCTGCAATTCCAAAACGACTGCGGGGACTCCGTGAAGCAGGCGATCATCGAAGAGCTTCAAAACCTCCTCAGCTCAGACACGGGTGTCCTGCACCAGGCAGAGAAGCGGACACGGCAGCTGGAGTACACGGAAGGTGCGTTTCGATTTGGCGGGCAGTCCAGCTTGGCTGGGCTTGGGCGCGGTCTGTTGATGTGCCTAACCTTTATCTGATTTCCTTTTAGGCTATGGCGTCTATCTGTCCGAGATCATAATGAACCAGTCGCACGAGTTGCCACTCCGCCAGATTGCAATCGTAATGCTCACCCGCTATGTGGAGAACCACTGGTCGGATGACCAAGACTCCGCTGCCAGCGAGCAGGCGAAACGAACCATCCGCAACATTTTGCCCAATGGACTCTACGATCCCAATTCCAAAATCCGATCCTCGGTGGCGCACACAATTTCCACCATTGCAGCCACGGATTACCCACATGGTTGGTCAGAGCTGTTTGATATAATCGTTAAATGCCTTGGCGGCAACGAAGATTCCATACACGGAGCTATGCAAGTCCTACAGGATTTCACCTACGATGTGAAGCAGATTAAGGAACTGGGACCCGTGGTTATACCCGAGGTCTACCGCATTTTCGACTCCGAGCAGAATTACTCTATTAAAACGCGTGTGTCGGCCATCCGCATTCTGAAGCCACTGTTCGCTTCCATTGCCACACTTATATCCAACAAGGAGGAGCAGAGCACCATGGTGAGCTCAATTTTGAACAACTTTATGGACAAGCTTATGCATTACTTGAGCATGAACAGCGGCGCCGGTTCAAGTTTCCTCCTCCGTTCGGAGATTATCAAGGGTGGGTCGGCTTACACCGTTCCCGGAAAGTAAACTAAACTTGTGTTTCCCCTTTTAGTGTTTACCCATTTGGTCAACGAGATGCCCAAGTACATCCACCCCTTTATGGACCGCATTTTGCCCATTGTGTGGCAGCTGCTTACCCAGATCGCCGAGACGTACGTGAAGGTGTCGGTAAACCAGACTGAGACAAACCCCCTCGCCAGCGGAGACATCGAGGAGGAAGATGAGCAGACCAATTTTCAAACACTGATCGTTCAAATCTTGGAGTTCATCAACTGCATTCTGACTTGCAACAAGTTGCGCGGCAGCATCAAGAATGTGCTGGCTGATCTTATCTATATCACCATCGTGTACATTCAGTTAAGCGAGGAGCAGCTGGAGGATTGGCAGGATGATCCGGAGAAATTCGTGGACGATGAAGAAGACAACGGCGTAGAGCTCACGGTGCGAATGTGCGGTCGTGACGTTTTACTGGTGAGTGGGGGAAACCCTTCTGTGAATACTAACCCAACTGACCATCTATCTTTTTTTCTTAGGCCATAAACGATGAATTTGGAGCCAAGGCCATTCAGCCACTGCAGGAAGCTTTGGGCAGACACTTCAGCGTGGCCGAAGCGGAGAAGGCAGCCAACAATCCGAACTGGTGGAAGATCCAAGAGGCCTGCATGGATGCCGTACACAGTTTTCGCGACATTATCCTCGAAGGCGATTCGTCGTTTGACTTGCTGAACTACTTGACCTTAGTTCGGAATCTGCTAGTCCACCAGGAATCGCCTCCTTTAGTTGGTCGCGCTCTTTGGACACTAAGCACCTACTCCAAGTCGGACCTCTACAATCCACAAATGTTGGCCGAGATCCTTGATGTCACACTGTGCAGTTTGTCGCCGGACAAATCGCACATCTTGAGGATTAGTGCTGTGCGCACTCTGAATGGATTTTTGCAGGCAAACGAAACGATTGAGGGAGAAAAGCGCACTTTGTTGGTGTCCAAGCTGCCCGGATTCCTAGATGGAATCATGGCTTTGGTGCCGGGCTGCAAGGCCGGCGTTTTAGCGTTGCTAATGGAGGCCCTGACCATTATGGTTAAAGTGAGTAAAAACAAATAATTGAAATCAGTTTTCGTAAATCTTTTCTTGTCCATTGCGTTTAGTTCGATGCTGAGTTTGCGTATGCTGGCCAGGCCAAGATCACACCGCTGGCCATTGCTGTGTTCCTCAAATACACCGAAGATCCATTCGTTCTGGAAACGGTACAGGATCTAATCAAGGCACTGTGTCAGCAAAAGGAGTGTCTTGGACCTCTGCAGGAGAAGTTCATTCCCACAATTGTGAGCATACTTGGACTGACAGGAACGGCTTCCACGGAGAAGCAGGACATTGCCCTTGACGTTCTCAACGCAATTGTGCGCTACACCGAAGCGCCACTAAGCACTTCCTTGCTGGAGACTGCCTTTCCGGCTGTCATTAACTGTGTCCTGCACACTGACGACCACGCTGTCATGGTTGCCGGCGGCGAGTGTCTGCGCAGCTTCATTAACGTCTCGCCGGAGCAGATTTGTAGCTACAAAAACGGCGAAGGCCTCAACTGCATAATGCAGGTGGTGGCCACTGTTCTGCTCAACCCGATGAATAGCGAAATGACGGCCGGTGGTCAAATTGGACGCCTTGTAATCACCATTATAACCAAAATGGGCAACATGCTGGGCCAAAATGTGGACATGCTACTAAAGGCTGTAATTAGCAAGATGCAGAACCTCGAGTGCCTGAAAGTTATTATGAATCTTGTTGTGATCTTTGCTCATCTGTTTCTGACACAAATGGACGCCGTGCTTAATTTTTTGTCTACCGTTCCCGGACCCAATGGGGAGCCAGCGATGCAGTTTGTGCTTACAAATTGGCTCTCGCGACAGAACTCATTTTTCGGCACTTATGAGCGAAAGGTAGGTGAATTTGGATTGGGTTTTCGGTAATTTCTTTAAAAGGCTATACCATCTTTCGCCACAGGTCACCACCATGGCTCTATGCAAGCTGTTTGAATATGGAGTGGCCACGCAGGACAACCGATTGACTACAATAAGCTTCAAGGAGTTGGTAGACGACCCTACCGATACGCGTAGACGTACTCGCTCCGTTGCTGCTTCAACCCAGAAGTGGGTGACCATTCCTGCGCTCGTCAAGATCTTTAAGGTATTGGTTTCCGAATACCAGCACTTCCAAGAGGGCAAGATAGACGAACCGCTTACGGACAGTGAAGAAGACGGCGATGATGACGATGCGCCCGGAAATCCGGACCACCCGCGCTACATCTCTGATCTAATCGATTCGGACGAGGATAGTGCCGAGGACGAACAACTGCTGCAGGAGCTACTCAAAGAGACGAACTACCAGGGTGACATTGCCGACAATCTTCAGAAGTTCCTAACCACCTTTACGCAGAACGAGCACTTCCCAACTTTCTATGAACACCTCACCGAGGCCGAACGACTCATCCTGCTCACCAAAGTGCAGCAAAAGTAGTCGCAGCAGCTGGAAATTGGATTAATTTTGTGAATGTTTTACGTGAAATTGTGTTAATTGTATTTATATATTGTTGCTAACCCTTGGATTGAATAAATATTTCTATATATTTTCTAAATAAGAAATTTGAGTTAATTATTGAGAAAATCTAATCCAAGAAAATTTAGATCCAGTAAGGAGAAAATAAATGATGTACGAATTAAAATATTTGGTTATAAAAATTCAAAAACTTTAATATGAAAGTATCTACTAAAATGTATAAATTTGGAAACATTTACATTAGGGATTTGTAGATTCGCTGAATCATAAGGCCACCTCATCGTGACGAAGCTTGTGCTGCAGCGGAATGTCGGGCTTATAGGCATCCTGTTGGGGAAACTTCGAGTGAATAACTCTTCAAATAGCTTAAGTCATTTATACTCACCATGGGCTTTTCGGTGCCAAAGGCAAAGAACTTTCGGATGCAGGGAGTGAGCAGCACTGGATCCACTTTGTTGGGATTATTTTTGCCAAATACTAAGGTGCCGAGCAGCGCACAGAAAATGGTGATCGAAGCTCCAAAGGTGGTGTACCACATGTACGAGATTCGGTAGAGCGGAAAGACGTCCCTATGGTTTTCAAGGGTAATTAGTAATTATTAATTAGTGGATAATGAAAATATATTTTGTATCTTACTCTGCAGATGCATGCAGGTGAGTTGTACTGGCCAAACTGGTGGTAACATTGAAGCTGTAGTCGCATTGATCCACATTCAGCGGCTTGGTATTGTAACTAATGGCTCCAGAAGCGATGGCCCACTGTGCATTTAGACTCACCCAGGACATGGCTATCACGCCCATTATTCCGCCAAGTAAGGCGCTCTAAGTAAGTATATAAAGCAATGTTATTATTTATACCTACCTTAAATATTCTAAGTTTACATAGACTCACATTTCCGTTGATCCAGGGCAGAAAAACACCGATGGTGAAGATGCCAAACAGCGGACCGTTTGTAATGGCCTCCAGACTCATGGTCAACTGGAGGACAGTGCCCATGTGCTCCACCACGTAGACCAGGCACACACACAAGGCTCCCACTCCAACGACCACCAGACGCATTATCCAGTTGATTGCCGTGCTGGAGAGCGGCTTTTTCACGTACGGCTTCACAAAATCCTCTAACACCACGGCGGACATGGAGTTAAGGCAAGTGGACAAGGAACTAAGAGCGGCACTGAATACGCCAGCTATGAAGAGTCCCGTCATGCCGGGCAATTCTCCCAAAGTTTCCATCACGAAAAGTGGAAGGAGTTGATCGCGAGCTTTTGCAAGCTGGAAATAAATTGATGTTAAGTAAAGTATTTTAAGCTCAACATAAGATAACCTTGGTGGTTAGAGGATCGCAGTTCTGGTAGGTGGCATAGATGAGCAGACCGTTGTATCCACAGAGCGCCATTAGGATGAGCACGCCGGCGCAGAAGATGCAGAGTGCTTTTCGGGCATCTCCAAGAGTCGAAAGCGACAGATATCTCTGGATCATATTTTGGGAAACCGCATTAGTCTGTGTCCAGTAGACGATTCCTCCAAAGAAGAGACACCAGAACGTATGACGGACAGTTGGATCGATGCTGAGACTGCAAGGCAAGATATGTATGTAAGATAAGATTGCATAAAAACCACTTCAAAGTGGTTCACTCACTCTGGTGCTTCTAGACGATCGCTATTCCAAGCTCGTTCCAGCACCACACTGGGTCCTCCAATGTCTCGGGTGCCCTTAATGGCCACCAGACAGAGTGCTCCCAACATGGACACCGCCTGCACCACATCGGTCCAGACCACTGCCTTCAGTCCACCCAGACTGGTGTAAAAGACGCAGATAATGCACACGATCGGAGTGATCGTATGGACCCCAATTCCTGTCACTTGATTAAAGGCCAATGCCGGTACGTAGATTACGATGGGTAAGTATGCCACCTGGTAATTTAAAGATATCATGCAAATACAAATACTGACTGAATACCCCATTTTTCTACGAGAAACGGATATAATTATTTTATCCGTGAGCTTTCCGATTCAAAAGCAAAGGGGTAAGTGAATAATTGGAGGCCACCCATACTCACATTCATAATGGCAAACATTACGGATCCGTAGAGACGCAACCTTCGATCAAAGCGAACCTCCAGATACTGTTCGGAATCGAAAGAGTATTCATATAAATTCGGGAATATCGTATATAGAACTAGTATTACCTCATAGGTGGACGTGATGTTCAGGTCGTGAAAAACTGGTAGATAAAACACACCCATCACCACTCCCATTCCAATGACACCGCATGCCACGTAGAGATACTGGACACCATAGGAGTACACCTCGGTGGGAAGTCCGAGCAGAGTTATTCCCGATACAAAGCTGGCCACCAGCGAGAAGGCGATGGGGATGACCAGCATCTTCCTGCCACCGAGCATATAATCATCCTCGGACACGGACTTGCTCATGAACCCAAAGTATATGCCGATTGCGATGCAGAGCAGGAACATCGAAACGAAGGCCACATAATCCGGCCAAGCGAAGCGCTGCAGTTCGCCCAGAATTTCCTCGATATTCGGCATGGTGTCTAACAACTTAACTACGTTGGAGATCGGCAGCTGGATGGTATGTGTCCGACTCTCAGGTCCGTCGGCGACTCAATGATCCCATGTGGTGCCCAGATTTGGGTGCCTCTGCCTGGGCGGCTGTGATTCAATTCAATTCCGCTCAATTATCAATTGTGGGGTAATTTAGTTTCTGGGGGGAACGGGGTGGCAGCGTCTATCTTTAGTTAAGCCAGAGGGCAAGCGGAATACGACACCTCCGTCTCCAGTTCCGGGAACGTCCCATTGATCATCGCTCCACTTCGCGACCACTGGCACAATTCTCCCTGAGATTCGCACGGATCCCCTTTGTAAACAATTATGTCACCCAGCACGCAAAATGATCTGAAGATCTTCAACTGACACGACAAGAACCAGGCGCCGCGACTTAATCTTGGCACCAATCACCGACAAATCCCGGAGGTCGGACTACACACATCGGCATTACCCACCGCCGGAGCCCAAATGTAACGCCTAATTGGCACGCTCGGAATTTTAACTGATCCGGGTTGCAGTTGCACAAGAACTGAGAGGGTGGCATGCGCCGCCAGGGGTTTACTACGTATATAGTCATTCACAGAATCACCTGGCAGAGAGCCAGGAGAACTGCAGCGCCAGCGGAGCGGGATCAAGTGCAAGATCACCGGCGAAGCGGTGGGAGCAATCGCCGGAGCACTTTAGAAAAAGTACAAAGTTGTAAGTTTCTTTTTTTAAGAACTGTTTTTTTTTTTTAATGTTTAATATTTGCTTAAATAATTATTTTATGCAGGCTTAAAAACTAAAAATTTTTAAATTTATTAAATAAACGAAAGATAAGTTGAATTTTTTAAGGATAATAACCGCAAAAGAATTTAAAATATTAAAGGTCAATTTTAGTTCCAGAAAAACATTGACTACAGATAAATTCTATCTCCGTAATTATGATATTTTCAACATTAAATCAATTTTATTATTAAACAAAAAGTTTATAAATATAAATAATTATTGGGCTATGTTTTGTTCAGTGTGATTGTCCCTCAACTTGAACGCATTTGCAACAATCTCACAGAGAATTTGATTCATTTCAAATCACCGGCCTGCAGTTCGCTCTTTAGTATCCAAGAAGCGGCTCTCATCGCAATGGCGGCGACCACCGAGTTGGGATTTCCCGAAACGGGACGGGGCAAGACTGGAATAACAAACCGAAAATATAATTTATTACGTTATTACGCACACAATCTTTTTACCTTTTATTTGGGTTATTTGAAAAATTCTTTTTTATGGTATATGAGTTTAAAAAGTTAATGCTATCAATACTTACTGCTGGCATCCACCACGCGCACATTGGACACACCTTGTAATCTAAAAATAAAATCCTTTAAAAAAAACTGACTTAGTTATGATTACTTTCTACCTCAACTGCGAGTCCACAACACTGCCCAGGGCACATGTGCCTCCGGGATGATGCGATCCGAGCCCGATATGCCGCAACAAACATTCCAAATAGTGATCCGATGGTTGGTTTTCGAAAAAGTCCCGCTCGAAGGGGCCAAAGTTGGAGCACTCCTGCAATCGGGGCCAATGTATGCGGGGTTGTAGTAAGGCAAAGGCTGAGGACGTGACGATCTAAAATATGGAATAAGTTTACACACTTATATTTGTTTCAATTTTCAAGTGATAATTTCCTTACCTCCACAGCACTTCGAATTGCTTTAATGGTGCAATCTACATCGTCCTCGTTGCTAAGGTAGTTTGGATCTATCAGGGGATTTCTTCGCATGTGACGATTAAGGATTCCCACGGATCCTCGTGATTTTGGCTGCAGGCAGTTAGATATGACCACGAATCCTTCCTGGGAAGCGTTATAATATCGGGGAAAGAGAGCCCGGAATGCCGGACCCTTAAAATTGGATATGGACATTAGAGCAGACTCGTCAATGGCACCGGCTCCAAAGAAGGTGATGCTAAATGGCGAAGATCCTGATGCACCGTAAGTGGCCACGTTTCCCAGCACTCCAAAATTTGCCAGTGGTCCCGTTCCAGAACTTAGAAAATTGATTAGTGTCATTGGATTCAAGAACGTGTTCTGATTTAGAGTGGGTCCAGTTACTCCGATCGAAACAAAAAGTGGGAGATTGAAGTGATCGTGTAGATTGTGACCCACCGAAAGTAAATTATGCTGGACGGGAATTCCCATCTTCTCCAATTCGGATTTATCTCCGATTCCAGAGGCCAAAAGAAGCTGTGGTGTTTGGTAAGCTCCAGCGCCAAGGATTAACTCCCTTCTCACCTCGATGCTGAATTCCTGTTCCCTGTTCTCTTCATCTTTAATCCCCACCAAAATTGAGGTGGCATGTGGAAATGGGCTGGGGGAAAGTTGAATCCGCTTTACCAACGCTTCGGGCAGCAGGCGAAGGTTGGAATGATGAAGTACTGGGTTCAAGAATTGCTGAACCACTGAATAACGCAGGCCATTCCTTATATTATACACAGATCGCCGAAAAATCCAATCTTTGTGGCTAAACTGCGCCTGTGCCTCGTCCAGAGCTTCCGTTATTTTGGAGTACCTTCGAGGGATCTCAAACATATTCGAGGATCTTGGTTTAGCAGCAACCATAAAGGATCTCATCTGATCCCAGCCCCAGTCGCTTAGATTGTGGAGATCCCGCCAGGAATCAAAATCCGGTCCGTGACCATCAAAGTGTAGCATGTAATTGAGATTGGCTGAACCACCAAGTCCTTTGCCTCTCGGGAGGCACTGTCTTCGGTCAATAAGTCCTTTGGAGGAGTGTTTCTGGGGAACGGAAAGGAAAGACCAGTCGTTGATGCCCTTCTGCTGGAATGTGGTTAGCAGGGGAATCCTGCTTAAAAGGCCAAATTGACCGCCAGCCTCAATAAGGAGGACACTTCCATTGCTGTGCTTTGCTAGCAGAGATGTCAGTGTGGTTCCTCCAGTGCCAGCTCCAACTAGAGTTTAAATAGTATTATTTATATACGAGTATATCAAATCCACTCACCAATTACATAGTCAAATGCAAATTGCCGTTCTTCCGGTGCCAATACATTGGGTATGGAACTTCTCAGCAAAGTTCCCACCAGGATAACAGTGACAGACAGGAATCCTATTACTATCCCACCCAAAACGAGGATCTCTGCAAATGCAAACCCTCAAAAAATGTTTGTTTATGTTGTTCCCAAGCTTACTTTGGAATTTCAGGCCCATGCTGCTCTGTGCGATGACGAAATCTAACTAGTTAGAATGTGAGAACCACTGACTGACTTGGTCTAATCCAATTAAAGCCCTTGAGGGGTGAAAATAGGCGCTAAATTTGAATTCAAGTGCGCCGTTTATCGTTTAGAGGTGAGCCGATGCCAAAAAAATATTTTATAGCTATGCTGGTACTTGAAAGAGAAAGCTAAAAGAAAAGTTTTACTACAAATTAATTTAGCAAAATTATTTGTCTAAAATTGCATCCTTAGAAAGAATGTATAAGATATATTTACATATTTATATTTATATAATTACATATTTTATATTTTTTTAGGAACATTTTTCGAAAAGAACTTTCCAGCTTTTTCCGCCAAATCTAGCTGGCTGCACTTCGATATTTCAGCTGATATCGGTTTTTACTCATTACTGGCAACCGTAAGCCACCTAAATTCTTTGTTATTCTTTGCATTCGCCTGCTCCAAAGATCGGCGGAGTCGGATTATTTGATCGACTCCTGACTGTCCACAGATAATATGCGGGCGTCTGTTATCACTCGCCACTGGAATTCCGAAGCCAGAACAGCTGCTAGCCGAGCGAAAACAAAAGGAGAGCCGCAACAATAGCCCAGTTCCAGATAATCAGCAGTGGAAGATCACTCGGCAAAGCGCCATTCAGAAGTGAGAAGACCGAACAATGAACTAGCATTAGCGCCCTACAAAAAACAGCTGAGCTCAGAAGAACGTTGGACTCCAGAGGAGCAACAGGTGTCTCACAATGGCAAACCAGCAGGAAGAGAATCAACGTCAGCTACTGGACTTGCTGTCCAAGGATCAGCAGCAGGTTTTTGAAGTACGCTGAGAAAAATATTATAGTGCCTTTTAATCACATTCCATATTAACTGTCTTTACAGACTTTCATCCAGTGGCTTCAAGGCAAATCCAAGGGATCCATTCAAGCCCACCAGAACGCGCTGCAATCCGTGTTGCAGACTTCGCCTTATCCCGCCCTGCAACTGCTCCAGTTGCTCCATGAGCGCTGTAAGCTGCACATTAACCAAATGTTAACCACCTTACTCCGGCACATGCTAGACGACGATGTCTCATCACCGCGTTCCCTTTGTGTGCTGGCTAATTTTCCCGCAAGCATTCTGGAGGCGGCTACGCTTCGTCAAAAACTGATGTCACGTCTGGTGTGTGAATCAGTTACCAGCGAGCACTTAATGCTGACCATGTTGGCGCGAAACGAAGGGCAACTTCTGGAGGATTTGCTGAAGGAGCAGCATCAAGCAATTTGGACGCAGTGCAGCGAGACGGCTCCGACCAAACAGTTGGTTTTGGGCCTGGCACTTAGTCAAAGGGAGCACTTTGTGGCCAGTGTGTGCCAGCATCTAAAAGACTTCAAGTGGTTTCAAGATCCCATTCTACGAAACAACTTGCTAATCCTCCGATTAGCTAACGAGTTTGCTCTGGGAACCCAGACATTGGATGAGCTAGGCTGCCTGGACAAATTCTTAGGCGAATTCGATGCCAACGCTGTACCGGAGGAGTTGCAAGAAATACATCGGTTTTTTTACGCAGACTTTCAACGCCTGGCTACACTGCTCAACTTCCTACAACCTCGGGAAATTAGCAAAACCCTGAAAGTGGATTCATTGCTAAGGGCGCCGGGCGTTCTGTCCCTTCTCCACGAAAATGGAGTCCAATGCGACCATCAGGAGTTACTCCGCCTAATTGAGGACACCTACAAGTGGCAGCAGCAGACTCCGGCCTTGAAGTGTCATTACCAGCAGGAGGTGGAGGTTATTAGTTATTACACCGCTCTCTGTCATGTGTACAATGTGATTCTGGATCAAGGCGAGCAGACGACCAAAGAAAAACTAGTGCAGCTCTCCGGGCAGTTGAGACAACTTCATCAGCTGGGCACTTTATGCTCTCTGCTGGAGGACATATTCCTGTTGGTTTTTCTGCGCTGGGAACAATTGGAGCAGAGCTTGCAAAAGAGAAGGGAAGAGGAGGAGGACGATGAAGAGGATGATGATGAGCAGTATGTCGATGATGACGTCACGACGCCTCCACGTCCAACCGCTGTCCACAGCCAACGCACCCGGTACGGATTCATCTGCCGCTCGCCCTCGCTGCAAGCTCTCTTCACATTCCTCAAGGCTTTCGTGACGAAAAAGCTGCATTCGCAGGATTATAAGTGTGCCTCGGAGCACCAGCAACGCTTCCAACGTTTGGTGGATGCTATTAGCGAAGCTCTGTGGAAGATGGGGGTTCTGCAAAAGATAGAGCAGTCGCTCAGCAAGTCGGCGCCTTCGATCAGCTGCCTCCTGGAACCGGAACAGCTTCTCCAGTTGGTACAACTCCACAGCACGGCTAAGGAGAAGGCCTCCAGCGACGACGAAAGCCGGGAGCGCAGCAACCATGTCTCTAGTCTCAGCCGAAGGAAGGCCCGCAAACAGCGACGGGCGGCCAGTTTTAGCGGCGCCGTAGCTTCAAAGACCTCTACGGATGGAGGACTCACAATGGAGCAGTACAGGGCGCGGGCGCAGCTGCTCAGTGGAAGTGGCAGTCGGAAAAGCTCTTGCGTTACTGGTCCTTGTGAGCGTTCCATCATCCCCAAGATGCTGAGTTCCCCGGAGCAACTGGCCATCATGGCACTTGCCCTAAAGAACTTTAACGATGTCAAGCAAATCATCGAGGTGAGTGACTAGAAGTCTGCGATAACAGTCTCATTTGCCGGGCGTGTTTTAAAACCATATTGCAATATAGTATAATTTTGTCATCATGTGCAGTATGTAATATACGTTGAGTAATTGCTTTCTGTTGCTGTGTGCATTAACAACAAAAAAATTGATAGATTCTTAACAGAATTACATTTAGTAAAAAATGAAGAAAGTATTTTAATGAGGTTAATTAATTTTTTTCTCTTTCGCTATCTGCAGACCTTTCACCTGGAGCACAGCCAATTAAGTCGTGAGTTGCATTTCATGGAGCAGCAGCAGTTGGTGAAGCAAAAACTAGCCACCATTTATGGCAATTATCAGGCTTTAGAGGCGCAGCAGGCCAATTCAGGCGAGACAACCGTGGAGCAGATCAAAGGCGTAGCTGCCAAAGGCTTCGAGCTGTCCAAGATCATTAGCGTGGTGGATAACTTTGCTCAGGCTCAACGTCTGCAACAAAGCGAGGAGCTAAAGGCCCTCCTCCTGCGGCACAACTCCAACGGCCAACAGGGATTCCTGCAGCAGTTTGGGGAGCGCAATTTAAATGCCTTAATAATTTGCGATCTGATCGTAAATCTCGGTTTCAACCGGGAAATCACCAGCAACTTGTTGTTGGTCATCCGGCGCCAGCAGCAGCAGAAGATGGCCAGCGATGAGGCATCCTGCTCGCCTGCCTCCTCTGAGATTGGAGCTACGAGTCTCCTGCAGAACCTCTGCGAATGTATGCGCCTTTTGGAGCGATCTGGCCAGCAGCCTGCGCTAAATGAACTGCTCTCCTTACAAAGTTATCCACTGAAGCCCTCGGTATTGGCTTTGCAACTTCAAAGGGAGGCTGCATTTCAAATGCTCTATCAAAAAGAACCTTCGGACTACTCGCATGGTCAGGAGTTGCGCTCCAATTCCGGGCACTTTCAGCAGTTTCGCACGCGTCACAACTACTATGCCCGCTTTTGCACCTATGTCCAACAACTGGCGAGACTTCTGCAGCTTAGAGATCCCAACCTGGAGTACCACACTACGCAGCTCCTCCGCAACGATCCGTATGAAGTTATCGGTGAGCTGATCTACGAGTGCGGCATAACACCACTGGAGATCGAGGCCAGCGTGTCGGCACTTCACCTGAATCTGGTCCATGTGATCGCGCTTAACATCTGCCCGCAATTGGGCGAGGAACCCACGAAAAGATTACCTCGTATTGTGGCTCCACAGAAGCAGGAGTCCATCCACAACTACATCGCGCAGCACAACCAGCTTCTGGCCCAAATACTAATGGCTATACAGATGGGAAACATCCCAGATAGCGAGTCTGGTTTGGACTTCTCTTGCCTGGGACAGCTGGTGCATCTGCCGGAGGTTGAGATCTTGGCATCCATGCACAACGGAAACCGAGTGCTGGCCGCCCTAAATACCTACAAGTTGGACAGTGCAAGTCTGGAGCTGTTGGTGACAGATAAGGAACTACTCCTTCAGATTCTGCTACTTGGAATTGGTGGACGTTCAGGTAAGACTTACCAAACTATGTTTTATTTATATATTAAAGCTGTCTTCCGAATTAGATTCCCCAAAAAAACTAAGCTTGCGGATTGATCGACTGATTGAGGATCTAATTGAGGAGGATCCGCGTAACATTCAGCTCGTGATGCACATGAGTAATCTGGGATTGCGTGCTCGCCTGCTAAAAGAGCACTTCACTCGCATTCCCAGCAGTCAGCAGGCCAAGGAACTGATAGAACGGACTCTGCAGCACCGTCGAGCAACCAAGGCAATTCCACCATTTCTGCGTTCCCAACTGGAGCATACGCTGTCGGACATAACTATATACGCTAAAGTTTCGGCTCTGCTCCAGTTCGAGAGTTGGCCTCAAGCTTACGACTTCGGAAGGCAGACTCCGAATGTGATTTTCGAGCAGTTGCTGCAACGAAGGAGATTTGGATTGTGTTTGGAATGGAGCCGTGTGGTTTATTTGGCTGGATCTGCGGGTCAACAACGGGTGTGCCTTCTCACCCTATTGGACGCCCTTTTGGAGTTGCGGGATGATGAGGAACTGGACAAGTCCCTGCTGGGCATCGTGGAGCTATTTCCGCAAATGGCGCTGGTTAATTTCTTGGACACGCACAAGGACAAATTCAGATCGCTTCCGCTACTGCAGTGGGTCATCGATTACCTGGAGGGTCATGCTCGTGATCCACGGCTGTACAGAAACTATCAACTCTCCCTAGAACTTCTGCGGCAAATGGATACCACTGAGCGGTCACAGTTTTGGAAATTAATTCGGCATCCTTTGCTGATTGTCGAGCAACTCGTAATGAACGCCCGCTTCGAGTTGCTGGGAAAACTGCTGGATGCAGCTCGCCTAAAGTTGCAAAAGGAGAAGCCCATTGGACCATGCCCTTACTGCTTCAAGAAAACAGGCCATGTCTACGATGTTCAGTCCAGCTCTGACTCGGGAACTGGGTCAGGAAGGACACCAGCCAAAGTGCGCTTCCAACTGGGACAAACCGCGTCGGAAGCTTTCATTCTGCTGAACTTCAACTCCTACCAGCAGGATCACTATGTGGGTCAGGAGTGCTTGGACCTGCTCCTGCGAATTTATGCCAGCAAGGCTTTGGACTACGATGTGGCCAATGTACGGGCTGCCTCCGAACCGAGTTCCCTGGGCACTGATGTTCAGAATTCGCTTGATTCACTTTGTGGCGCCTTCGTGATGCCGAAACAGGCTCCAAACCGTCAACAGTGGACGCGAGATGAGGAGGCAAGCCATTGTATGTGCTGTCGGCGGGCTGCTTTCACCATGCTGATGAGACGCCACCATTGCCGCCGGTGTGGACGAGTTGTCTGCTATGCCTGCTCCACGCATCGGCTTAAAATTCCAGAGCTCTATGACGAATTAGAAGTGCGCATCTGCAACGATTGTGCCAGCAGTTTGGCAGTCAGGGATCAAGGAGACGGTGCATCGAGTGAAAGAAGCGTTACATCGACATCGGGATCAAGGTCTTCGGGCCAAGGTGAGACCTGCAAGTGGAGACTTAGCGGAATCATCACCCATGACAAGCTGCTGCGCGAGGAGTTCTCCTATGAGCACGCTCCCAGTGTGGCGTTCTGTTTGTCCATCCTTCGCAATCATGTGGACCAACGTAGTTGCGTGGACCTGTTGCTCTTCCACTGCCGCAAATTGGAGAAACTGATCGTGCCCAATCCGGAGGTGGACTACGGACTGGTAGCCAAGATGATTAATTGCCTGGCTTTCGCCGCAAAGGTTAGTTAACTGTTGAAGTTAAGGGATAGCAATTTATAATTAAATTGTGTAATTTTATAGGTTCGTGGGGCTCCTGGAGAGATGGAGAACATTCGCGAGCACTCTGAAATAATTATGGCTGTTGTGCAGCAAGGCTGTGAATTATTAATACCAACCGGACCCCTCGATAATCACAATCTGCGAAAGCTGGCGGATGCTTTGGTGGAGGCGGAGCATTGGACTCTTGCATTAGAAGTGCACCTCAAGTGCGGTTTCGCGACCACAGGAGCAATGGCGGCTCACGGACTGGCTTGCCTTCGAGCCGGTTGCTATGACGCGGGTACGTAATATCCTTTAGTGTTCCTATTTACTCTGAATCATGGTTTTTTGCAGCCCGTGAGAAGTTCTCCCACTGCATGACTCGTCTTTCCAGCGATCAACTCAACAAGAGCATCTGCAAAACCATATTTAGTATGTCGACTGCAGAGGCAGTGCTCCTGCCCAGAAAGCGACCACAACGCGGTCCGGCCCTTCTCCAGGAAATTCTGCAGTTAATAGCGTCGATGCCGCAGATGCAACCTCAGCCGGAGACTCTTCACCGAGCCTCACTTATCCGAAATTCGAATACATCGTTGGCCTCGCTTTTCTCACGACGTCGGGAGCCCTACGTCCAGCAACGTCCGCTGCAGGAACCAGCTCTGAACGTAATGAACGCACTAGCGGGGCTCAAGAACATAGCCAAGGGACACTATGGCGGCCAGATTGCAGTAACCGAGGAAAGTCGGCGGCAGGAACGCGGCTTTGAGGAATCGCTGCATTATGTGCTAACCTACGGCAGCCACGGCGACATACTCACCTTTCTAATGCGGCGAGACGAGTTGCGGGCAGCACTTCGCTACTGGCAGCACCAGCAACTGGACGCCGATCTCTTCATCCAGCACATATTCCAGCCTCAGCTGGCCAACGGAGGCCTGACCGTTTTGATGGACGAACTGCAGCAATTGGACGACGCTCAGCTGAGTGCCTGGCGCTTGCCGCTCCTGCAGACCTGCCGTCACTTGGAGCAGCAGCAACAACTGAGTTCGCTTTACCAATTGCAGCTCCTGCTGAAGGACCCCATCCGGGCCAGCATGACGTGTGTGAAGTTCTATCCCCTCCAGTGCGAGAACTTCCAGAAACTGCATGCCAATGCCCAGCACTTGATCTCGGCTCACATGCACTTGCAGGGTGAACTGGATCTTTCCGAGTGGGAACATTTGCAGCGCCAACAGGGCCGAAGGAGCAGCGTGAGCAGTGGAGCCAGCGTTCGAGGTGCCTGCTTCGCCATGCAGATGGACGCCAGGGCTCTTAACGGCCACATCAATACCATTCGACGTCAGTTGGAGGTGGCCAAGTTTTTGGCACAATGCGAAAAGGAACAGACGCCAGATGAGCCCCTAAAAACCATTCAAACTCTAAAGCAGGTATGGAAAACATTGCCAAGTATGGGTAACATCACATAACTTTGGTTTCCTTCAAGATCCGAATGGAGTCCAGCAGAGGAACTTTGCCAACATTGTTTGAAGGCGCCACAGATCGCATTCAGCTGTGCATCCTGATCCTACTATGCGGAAAAAACATAGACGAAGGCTTTGGCCTAGCTTACGGGTAAATAGATATGTATTTTATGAAAGAGGTGGTCGACAAAGTTATTGCCTTTTCTTTTTAATACCTACAAAATAATTAATTTTGTTTTGCTCACCTATATATTTGATATTTCCAGAATAATGCAGGACTATAAATTGGCTGCCATTAAAGTGTTTGGAGCAACGGCAAAGTACCTGGCACGGAATCAACGCCTGGCAGAGGTAGAACGTCTGGTGGACTGCATCGGTAGCAACAACGGCGGAAGCATATCGGCGGAGTGCGATGAGATCCTCTCAATCGCCGTAAATTCCGCCGTGCACAGCAGTTCTCCGGAGACCAAGCAGATGCTGGACAGACTGATCAAGCGCATGGGCAGCGTGGAGGTGCGGGTTACCTCCTACATATACATCGGGCAGCTCAAGTCCGCCTATTTGCTGGCCAACAAGCATGAGCGACTGGCGGACATCCGCCGAATTTTGAGGCAGGCGGAGCTCACCGGCCAAGTGCACATCAAGAAGCTTTGCGAGATGAAACTCCAGCTTAGCACCCCGCCAACGCCTCTGTGATATCGTAACCCCTCGGGCAATAACAATTTACTATGTACATCCAATTTTTTGGGGGTCTAGCTAGTAGCGAAAGATACCATTATGAACAATTTTTACATTGTCATCTCATGGTAAACCACATATTATCTATTTGCTATAGAGATGCAAATTTAAAAGTTATCATTTGCGTATTCTTACTTCACTAAAGCTAGTAAACACCCCAACTATTTTGTATCTGGTCTAGTATAGAAAAATTGTTTTTAGAAATTAACATTTACCTAGATCCATTTTAATCTTTCCAAAGGGCCAGCTAGTATTCTATCCCCGAGCTCAAAAAGACTCTTCCAACAATTAACCAAATTATATTATTGATTGTACTGTATTATCTCAATGTTATTTTTATATAAATTATACTGTTATATGTTTACTCAAAAGAAAAGCGCGCTTGTTTAAATTGTATGGAAGCCTGTGAACTCTGGTGGGGAGCTTTTTGCTAGTAGGCAACTCTAGAGGTTCTTAATATAAAAAATATAGACAAATAACAATGCGGGCGGTTATTCAAAGGGTTAAGGCAGCTAAAGTAACGGGTATGATTAAAAATAATAGTAACCATAATTTTTATACAGAACTATGGAATGATTTTCAGTACTAGATGAACTGGTGTCCTCCATTGGACCTGGTCTTTGCGTGCTGGTGGGAATTAAGGCCAGCGACACTGCCAAAGACGTTGAGTACCTGTAGGTAATTCTTGAATATAAAGGTATGCCTACCCAAAAATAACTTGTTGCTATCATTTTAGAGTCCGCAAGATCTTAGCCTTGCGTTTGTTCGAGGATAATGACAAAAGATGGCAAAAGTCTGTCAAGGATCTGAATTTGGAGCTGCTCTGTATCTCCCAGTTCACATTGTATCACCGGCTGAAAGGAAACAAGCCGGATTTTTCAGCGGCCATGAAGGAAGAGGAGGCGCAAAAATTGTACAATCACTTCCTGGAAAGACTAGTTCAATCCTACGATAGCAGCAAGATTAAAGGTGCGTCTTTAACAAGAAATTTCCCAGCTAACGAGTAGCTCCTTTCACCCTCAACAGATGGCAAATTCGGAGCCTACATGCAGGTACACATAGAAAACGATGGACCGGTGACCATTAACCTGGAGTCTCCAGATGAAAAGCCGGCAATCGAGGGAATCGACAAGTGATGTCTAATAAAGCAAACTTTTATGTACCACGGGGTTTTTATTTAGTGTATTTTTAGCAGCAACTTAAACCTAGAAAAATCAGCGTACTAGTCTTTAGGCTTCTAACATCTCCAGATCTTCGATTCCCATTCCCTCCTCCAGTTTCTTTTCGAGCTCGCGTGCATCCACGTAGGTGATCTTCTCTTCAGGTAGATCCTCCTCCATGAGGGCAGCCTCTTCTGCCGCCTCCTTGGCACGGCGCTCCTTTAGTCCGGCGGCTGGAGAGCGGATCAGGGACATGTTGCGCTGCACATCCTTGACGTCCATCTGGATTTCGATCTGGCGACCCTTACGGAGGCGCTCCATAACGAAGTGGCTGGTGCGTTTCTCCTTAATTTCAGTCACTCGCTTGATGGCCTCAAGAGCCTTCTGCCAGGTCTCGCGGCTGTATTTAATGGGCACATTGCGGCGCTTCTCAAACTCGAAACTGGGATCGATGGCCAGCTCCTTGCCTGCGGCCTTGCGATGTGCCTTTGTCCAGCCCACCTTGCGGGGGTTCTTCTTCCGCTTGAAGGCCTTGTGGCACTTGCCCCGACAAAATTTGAAGATCTACGCAGATAGAAAGGGAACCAAAATAAACATCGCAACCTACGTAAACAGTACATCAATCTGATCCTACCTTGCAGTCATTTCGCACGAAGTTCACCCCGTGGCCTGGATATATTTTGCTGGAGCAAAAATAGCAGGTTTCAATGCGCATTTTCGCAAATTACGACGAATAATTTACGAAAACAAAACGCAAGCAGCTAGCACGTGTGCTGCTGAAGAAGAAGAGGGATGAAAATATATCGATGTCGAGGAGTGTGACCATTTGTCGAACAGATTTGAAGAAAACCCCTTTAAAATATCATTTCATAGCATTTTGACCGATCCGTGTAAGGTCCTACATTATGTATAATGGCGGTCCAAAATTAAAATACCTTATAGTCTTCTTTTCACAAACTACAAAAATTAAACTCAATGTCAATTAAAAACATATTATGGCTTGTACTTACAGTACAATTGTGTTTGAGATTTGGTTGCTTTGCAACTATTCACAGACATGAGGACTACAACATCAATGATGACGGATCTGTAAATCACCAGAACTGGAAACGTACTGAAATGATGGACAACAATGGCTTCTATTGGCTCAAATGGTGGATATTGGTTAACGAAAGTACTGTTTATTTCGAAGTAACTGTAAATACTCGAGGATTTGCTGGCCTTGGATTTTCTAAGGATGGCAGTATGGATGCGGCAGACATTGTACTTTTGTGGGTTGATGATAACACCGGACAAGCGAATGCTCTGGATTGTCATGGAACGCAGTACTCACGGAGTGGACTTCTAGTAAAAGATGATACACAAAACTATTATGTCATAGATGGTTCCCAAAATACCACACATACAAACTTAAAGTTCAAACGTAAAATTAACACTTGTGACCCTTTTGATATTATATTTACGTCAGAGACTTTGAAAGTACTTTGGTCTATTGGAAAATCGGATCCCATACACGGAAACTTACAATGGCATGGATTGAAGACAAGCGTTAAAGCATTGAACCTATTTTTTCCAACGTTTACAAAAAAAAATGTTGACTTACAAACATGGGACGTAACAGTGAGTAATGTAACAATAACTGAATCAATGGATACACTATATTGGTGTAAAATAGTACGTCCACCTAAGTTAATTAACAAACAACACATTGTTGGTTATGAGGCTCTGTTTTCTGGTTTGAGTAAGTTCAATACTAACTATATTCACCATATGACACTCTTTGAGTGCCAGTCCAAATTGTATCTTGGATCTAATCCTTCATCGTGGGATGTTTGGGTTAAAAGTTCCGGTACAGTTTGCAATAACAACCTACTGACTCCACGGGATTGGGAATCTTGCTCCACACCAGTGGCCGTTTGGTCAAAGGGATCTAAAGGACAGTTTTTACCTCCCCATGTAGGTATACCGATTGGAGGAGCATCTGGAGCTAGATATTATATGCTAGAAATACATTATGATAATCCAAATGGAGAAAGATTTGTGGATCATTCTGGTTTTCGAATACAATACTCGAAAAGTCTGCGAGCTTTCGACGCAGGCGTATTAATAAGTGGTGTTTCAATTTCTGAGACTCTATTTATTCCACCTGGTCAATCAGTATATCGAAGCGTTGGGATTTGTGGACCTTCCTGCTCAAGCAGGATGTTTCCAAAGGATGGCATAAAAATAATTTCTGGAACGTTCCATTCGCATCAAGCTGGGCGCAAAATGATTCTTCGACATGTTCGTTCAGGGAAAGAGTTGAAGCGGATCATTGTAGACGAAAACTATGATAGCAGACACCAGCAAGTTCATCAACTAGCTCACGAAACAGTAGTATTACCTGGAGATTACCTTATTACAGACTGTTCATATGAAACACAGCACAGAAAGCAACCAACATTTGGAGGATATTCTACCAAAGAGGAAATGTGCCTAATCTTTATTACTTATTACCCAAAGATCGATCTTTCTGGATGCTACAGTATGACACCAGTGCGCGAATTTTTTGAAATGTTTGGAGTTAACCAATTCTATTTATTAAATATGACGGATGTTGAGAACTTATTCCTTTATAATGGAGATGATATACAGTATATAACCCATAAAATGAGTGCAAACGCAAAATCAAAGTACTGGAACAGTACTGAGGACATCACTTACCAAGGGTCTTTACTAAACAAACTTATTATATCTGAACCTTTTGAATTTAAAAATCGCACATTTTTATCACATTTAAAACAGCTGCCTTGGCATGACCCATTACTTACAAAAAGTGTTCAACACAAATTTATAACTGGTAAACATATGACTTTTTGTAGTGCTTCAAATGATTCCATATCAATTGCTTCAGAAATTATTCAGTTCCCTAGTTTTATTGAATTTGTTAAGCCAGCTTCGGCCTGTCCACACAACCTTTTTACAAAAAATGATCAACTGCTTTCGAGAGGCTCAAAACATTTTACTGATTTTAATTTAAGTATACTTTTAATTCAAATTGGTTTGGAAATTACTGTTATGAAAAAAAATAGCTTTTAATATTGTAAACAACAAAATAAAAGGGGAGATTTTGTGAAAAAACATAGCTAGAAATATCCAAAAAACAAACAACTCTTGAAAGTTTACAAATATACTTGAACTTAATAAAATTAATTGGAATTGATTTTTTATTGTTCGGTTTTTGTAGAAATAAGAACCCACAGGTGGTTGCCATATGATCCGATATCGATTACGATGAGCTATCATTTTAACGATTGTCAAACTCCCAACAATATTCATTTTCAATTTCCACTTTTTCTACTATATGTAAAATTTGTTGTTTTCTTTGTTGCTCAACAAGTGAAACATTTCAATTAAAATGGTTTTACCTGATATTCGATAACTTCTCTTCCCTTCAACGAACAGCTGTTGCTCCAGCTGCTCGTCCGCGGCCGCTCTGGTCACACCGCCAGCATCCAAACAATCCGCAGAGCAAACCCAGAAAATCGGACACATCACCGAGCCCGAGATCTTGCTGACGTGCGACCAGATGCAGATGCAGAGTCCCGCCTTCGCGTACCGGGAACTCGCAGAACACTCGCCGCGCGCCATGTACATGCGCGACTGGCGGTCGGCCCTGCGGACGCCCACCTACCGAATTGGGAATCGGACGGTGCGCTTCAATTACCACTTTGCTCTGCTCATCGCCTGCGCCCTCGGACTGGTGCTGCTTTTCTACTTTGCGCGCCAGGGCTCGCACTCCTCCTCCGACGGCTACTGGTTGCGCCGGAGCTTTGCAGACGCCCGAAGTCTGGACAACGGGGCGGTGACACATGTCTACAATGCCACATATCCACTGACACCACCAATGGTGCTGCGTGGCGGGGTTATCAACTACCGTATAGCCATGATCGCCGACCTGGACACGAACTCCAAGGTGACCAAGGCCGACGGCAGCACCACGTGGCGAAGTTATCTAAAGAAGGGGTACCTCACCTACACCGTGGCCAGGGCGGAGATCCAGATAAGTTGGGATGATGGAGCGCCTACGGTTCTGGAATCAGCATTTTCCCTTAAAGGACGCGGCATGGAACTCTCTGAGTTGGTCACCTTCAATGGACGCCTCCTGAGTTTCGACGATCGAACGGGGTTGATATACGAAATAGTAAACGACAAGCCCATTCCCTGGGTGATCCTCCTGGACGGCGATGGGCACAGCGCCAAGGGCTACAAGTCCGAGTGGGCCACAGTTAAGCAGCAAACGCTGTATGTAGGCTCCATGGGCAAGGAGTGGACGACGAGTGCGGGCGACTTTGAGAACAATAATCCCATGTACGTAAAGGCCATTTCGCCTTCTGGCGAAGTACGGTCGCTCAGTTGGGTGGACAACTATAAGCAGTTACGCCTGCAGTCGCAGCAGATTTCGTGGCCGGGCTACATGATCCACGAGAGTGGAACGTGGTCAGAGGACAAGCAACGGTGGTTCTTCCTGCCTAGACGCTGCTCTAAAGAAAAGTAGGTAGCCTTATCATTATTTGTATCCCTGTTTTATACTTATATTTGCTGCAGATACAACGAAACTAAAGACGAGCACATGGGCTGCAATGTCCTGGTCTCCGCTGACGAAAACTTCACCAACATCGAGACAGTGCGCCTCGATCCTGAAAATACAACGCCCACACATGGCTTCTCCAGCTTTAAGTTCCTGCCTGGCACCGATGACTCCATTATCGTGGCCCTGAAGTCGGAAGAACTGAATGGCAAGACGGCCACTTTTATCACAGCCTTCGATATTACGGGCAAAACTCTGCTGCCCGAGGTGCGGATCGAGACAGATTACAAGTACGAGGGATTCGAGTTTATTTAGCTGGCAACTCCGCGCCATCACACTCCACTTCGATCCAGGTGCTCCAGTTTTAAGCGTGTACATAATGTATTAATGTCCCATACAATAAGCTTTATATTTATAGTCAGCTAGGTTAGTCCAGAGATGCTCATCTGCCTCATGACCCGTGACTCCCTGTCCTGTCTTGTACCATAGCACAAATCAAACTTTAGTTTATTAATTTTATTGAAATTGAAATATAAAACGTACAAAGCCCGCGGCAAACTCAAAACGGCCTTGCATCATATGACTTTTACCTTTGTATCCAATCCGGCTACCAGAAGATCTGCTTCATCTACGCGTCCTTCGCTGGCGCGCACTTCTAATCGATCAGCATTGTGGTTAACGTTCCAAAGCTCGGGCAGGAATCGAGGTTGCATGACGTGCAGGAAGTGCTCCCGCCACAACCGCTCCAGCTCCACGAGGCCGCCGAATTTGTCGCGGAACTGTTGGACCACTCGTTCGCCATGCTGGCAATAGTCTTCGTTTTCCACGCGGTACTCCACGCTGGCTGCCTGTCGCAGCAGCTCTTCCGTGACCTCCGATTGGTCGGTGTAGAATTCGAGAAGGGTTCGCTGCATTTCAGCCACCTTAGCAGCGGGAATCTTTGCGCCATGGTAAAGCAGTGCCTTGCCAGCAGATTGAACACGCCTGTAAATAAAGGAAGCTTATTAAATGTACATAACAAAAAGTTTAAATTTTGTTTTATCAACTCTAGAAAAATATTTGGCGGAAATGAAGAGAAACGAGCTGATAAAAATTTACTACAAAGATAACAGAGGAGGCATTTCACTAGAGATATGCTGTTAGAAGAAATACTAACTTGAGTTCCGGATCATCACGGTACTTGACGGATCCATCTCCATGCTTAAAAGGTGCATCGCATTGCGTGGCCAGTTTGTTTCGTACTCTTAAATCCGAGATGTTGCTAAGTTGGTGGCAGGTGGGACATAGGAGCAGTACGTCATGGGAGGTGTGAGACTTCATGACCATAGGAAAATGCTTTCTGTACTCCCGTGGCACTACGTTCTTTCGGATATAAGCATCTCGGTCGCCGCATACCACGCATTGGTTTTCCTTAGGCGTCTGATAATAGCGACCCACATCTCCTACCGCTCGTCCCGCTGGCTCGAAATTAAGGCGCACGGTGAAAGGTTCCCCGTCAATCTGCGTGCCCAAATTTTGATTAAGATACCACGACGCTTTGCGCCGGTCAATGGTGCACAGGAGTTCACCGTCAGGCGCTTGCAGCAGGCAGTTGTCGTAGAAGTCTTTGGAACGAGTGCCCATGTGCCGACATGGTTGCTTCTTGGGCAGCCACTTCTTGCTTTTTGAAGTCCCAATCACTTTAGTGCGAGTGGCCCCACTTCCGGTCTGGCTGAGTGAGAAACCCTTGGTGAAGTCGACGTCCAGGAAAGGTTCGAATTTGTTACGCAGGCTGTGGTCGTCTAGTGTGCTCCTTTGCCAGAAGTGCTTGGGATTCAGATCCCTGCACAGCTTTTGGTATATAGCCACTGCAACAAGGGCATCATTGGCAGCATAGTTCAGTTGCTTTGGCTCCAGCTGCTTAGCCTCCCAATTAGAACAGGCCAGTCTCCAGCTTTTGTCTAGTGTATAGTTCAGATGTGTCTGGGAAAGCTTGCCCAAGCCCTCGGGTTTGTGACCAGCCATGACGCATAGGAATCGCAGGTCCAAGGTGCTGGCCACGCCCACTCCGTAGTCATGCGATAGCTTCATGGCATCCTCCTGTGGTGCCACGCCCACCTTGATCACGGCATCATCCTCTAAAAGTTCCCTAAGGTCTTTGGGTATTTGCTTCATGTGACAGAGGCGGAACAGGGCACACAAACCACGATGGGAACTTAACTGGAGTAGAGCCACTGGACGCCGACTGCCACCCACAGTGATCCATTCGCAATCGAATCCTAGGACTTTAAAAGTCTGGCAGTGACTGCAAGGATGTAGTGGAATATTAAAATACTGGTTGAAAACGGCTTTAGGTCAAGTCTTACTTCTTTAGTTCATTCAAAACCCATTGCGTGGCAGGATCCTGGACTGAGTTTATAACTTCTATGTGTCGGTGGGCCAGCAAACTATTGGAGGACCAAACACGACGCAGGGGACCCAGTAGGGACTTCCTGTGTCGCACTAGAACGTAGACCAAACCCACTCCTGCGGCCAAAACCGCCCACTTTTTGGCGCTGGCGACTCCAGATTCCTGGCTCATTGTTTCCCTGCTGGTGAAATTAACAGGTGATCGAACTGCCAACTTAGCTTCAAAATGAAAGAAGCCGGTTTAAAAAATAGCTAGAAATAACTGAAATTTGAAATTCAAATTGACAAAATATATCCAGTTAAGAAACAAGTAACGTGAGCATAAGCAATAAAAAGCAATTTTAAATTCCGCAGTATTTTTGTAAAAAATAATTCTTTTAATATTTAACTGATTTTAATAAAATAAATATAAGTGTAATTGGAAACAAAATAAGTGAATTAATAGCCGAAGGAATACCATTCTTTGTTTCACACATAATGACAGTCTGGCAGCATTGACGTTACGGTAAGTTCGTTGGCTGGCAGCACTGGTTGGTAGGCTTTTCCGAATCGCCGTTAGCGAAAAGTTTTCAAATGTTTAATTAAATGTAAACTTCGCGGTCAAATAATGAATAAAACTCTGTAAAACGGGTGGCGGGGAAACGATGTGTGTTTGAACACGGCGTAAAAATTGGAGGAAGACAGACACAGAGCGTAAATAAAGGAAGGTAGTCGAAAAAATCGATTTTTTTCGTGCAGGTGAGACACTGTTAGACACCCTCGCACACACACACTAATGCAAGGTATTTTTGCAGGATGCTGTTTTAAAAGGATCTATTAATAGGTTGTAGAGAAGAGCCCCGAAATGCCGGAAAACCTGGAGCTGCAACAGTTCCAGGAGGGCGCCCCGCCCCCAGATCCCGCCCCCCGTTGGTTGGAGCGCCTGCAGCGTCGATTGGGCGCCAATTGTCCATACTTGGGCATCCTGCTGGCCACGCTATCCTCGCTGTTTTTCTCCCTATGCTCGGTGATTGTCAAAGGACTGGTTGATGTGAACCCCATGGAGCTGGCATCGTTTCGATTTGTTGGTGTCCTACTGCCGGCTCTGCCCATCCTGATTTACACCCGACAACCGGTGTTTCCAGAGGGCAAGCGGGTAATCCTGATGCTGCGCTGCTTTATGGGCACCACAGGGCTTATGCTCAGTTTTTATGCCTTCCGGCACATGCCACTGGCGGATGCGAGTGTGATCATCTTCTCAACGCCTGTTTTTGTGGCCATATTTGCGAGGGCCTTCTTGAAGGAACCTTGCACGCTCTTTAATGTGTTAACCATAAATTTAACTTTGGTCGGAGTGGTCCTGATAACACGACCGCCCTTTCTCTTTGGAGGTTCTGGAGAGAGCGAGGATGTTTCTGGCAAGACTTACGACATTTGGGGACCCGTGGCCGCCATATCATCCACCCTTTTCGGTGCCAATGTGTACATTCTGCTACGTGCCCTGAAGAACCTGCACTTTTCCGTGATCATGACGAATTTCGGAACAGTTGCCCTGGTCTACACACTAATCGTTTGCGGATCCATTGGAGCGGTTTGCTGGCCCAGCTGCGGACGGGATCGATGGCTGGTCGTTGTGCTGGGCGTGTTCAGCTTCCTGGGACAGATCCTGCTCACCCTATCACTGCAGATCGAACAGGCTGGACCGGTTGCCATTGCTCGCTGCGCGGACATTGTATTCGCCTTCATCTGGCAGATGCTGTTCTTCGGGGAAACGCCCACCGCCTATTCCCTGGTGGGTGCCGTGATGGTAATTGGATCTGTGGTCCTGACGGCCCTCAAAAAGTGGGCAGGCACCCTGCCACGGGAGTCCTCGCTGAGGAAACGATTTAGGCTCATTCTCCTGGAATAGAGGTTCCACTTCAGTTAAAGATGTTCGCGGTTTCTCCCCGTCTTGTCATCGTTCTCACCTAATCCCCGCCAGCATTATCAGCAGGCACCACACCAGTTCATTCATCATAGACTTAACTTATATCAAGGCTCAGATCGTAGTTTAATCAAAAGAATTAAGAAGGTACGCGTGATAACCACTCCACTCATAAGAAAATACTCGTAGTACGTGTTTAGTTTAGCCAATTTCGCCGATTTGTTGTTTTGTACATTGTTATACATGCTTAACATACGATAATAAATACAACTTATGATTAAAACAGCAACATGTTATAATATAAATGTTGTTTTCGAGTGCATATTGCCAAACTTATCTTTTTAAGTTTTTGTTAGGGCTCGTTTTTTATTCAATAAATTGGCGCCATAAAAAGTGTGACCACAGTTTATGCAAATAAAAAAATACTGCTATAAACGGAGGTTCCGAAAATATACCACACATGTCCTTTTAATGTTTACTTTCCCCTTTCAGTTTGGTCACACATATTTTATGTTTACGTTTTTATTGTTTATATTCTCGAAGCACACACACTCGAAAAACAGAGCAAGGAACGGAAACAGAAACAGAAAACAGACTGTCAAGATTAGAAGCCCAGATCGGCGATAACCGCGTCCAGTTCGTCCTGCAGATTGGTGGCCCGCGATCGCACCTGTACAATTTGATCCTGCAAATTGTCGACGTTCGCCTGGAGCAGCACGTTGCACTTCTTCATCGCCGCGAACCGGCTTTCGTGCTTCTTCACCCGCGGCTCCACATTCGCCTTCTTCACGGAGTTTGGAGAGTCCTGCGGGATACATTCACAAAGTTCAGGTAAGTGGCTTAAGCCCAGAGCTATTCCTTTGTAAACTTACCTCCGGCTCGGACTCGCTGCCCGTCTCCGCCTCGCTGGCCTCCGAATCCGACTCCTCGGACTCGTCGTCAGACTCCTCCTCTTCCTCGCTGACATGCTCTTCCTCGGGCTCCTCCTCGTCCTCGTCCTTTTCTTCGCCGTCCACGTCGTCCTCGTCCAGTTTCATCGAGGCGGCCATCTTCTGCACCTCCTTTTCCAGCTTCTTGAACTTTTTGTTTTCCTCCCTGCGTTTAAAAAGGGATTTAATTAAAATCACTTTCATATAAACTTGGTTAACATTTATTGTCAATCACAGATTTTCTAAACCGCTTAAAGCCTAAGCTTTAAATTTCAGTAACTTGTTCACATCTAAAATTGTTGAATCTCCAAAACTCTTTACTTACTTCAGAATAACATGGTTCTTCTTCATGGCCTGCTTGAGGGCATCCTTCTCCTTCTTGGCCGCCTCCTCCTTGACCTTCAGTTTCGTTAGCTTGCTGCGCAGGATCTTCAACTCCTTGCCAGAGCGTCGTTCCCTGCGCTCCACCTTCTTCTCTTCCGGCTCGTCCGGATCGCTTTCACTGATCTCTGGCTCCAGTTCCGGCGAGCTGTCCCTTCCAAAGTTGGCATCGCTGGGCCGTCGTGATCCGTCCAGGGAGCCACCGCCCTGGGATTGCAATCAATCCAGAATGCATAACATTAAAGTGGGGATACAGAGTACGGATTAGTGGGGCGGCATCCTCTGCCAGGATCTGGTGTTACCTGGTGCCGTGCTGCATGGTAGTGGTCGTAGTGGAAGCAATCGTCGTAGTCGTCGTCGTCGTCGTAAGCAAAGCAATTACTAATGTGCGGTCTGTTAGTGCTTGGTGTCGCCTTTGCAAGAGAGCGTCAACGGGTTAATCGGTTAGTTGCTGCAGAGTCGTCTGCGGAGTGCAAGAGCAAAGCTTCCAGGGGCGGAGGATGGGCGGGCTGAGGTTGGGAGACCGGACGTGTCCTTGACGGGTCATATCTCCGCTTGGGTCTGGGTGGAATGGGGCCGAAGGACTTTTTCATGCAATATGGGGTCGCAGGTCGGAAATTGAGTTTTGTCTGCACATGAGATTCTTAGAGTTGCCTAAGATATGTTACCATATATATATGTTTAATAATTAATAAGAAAACTGATTTCTGTCTTCCAAGAATACACATATTTTGCATAAACTAAAGAACTTTGGTTCCTGCTCCATAATTTACAATAAACATCATTCAACTTAATGTACAGAAAATCAAATTTAGCTTAAGGCAATTTAAAACTAGTTTAAATCTTGATTTTTCTTTAATAATACAGCAACCTGAAGCCATAAAATTTGTAAATAAAACCCTAAGCATGTATTTTGGCATGTTCAACATTTATTTTACACCTCTACACTAAAGACTCACAACAACTTTTGCACCTCAGTTTGTTAATTTTTGTGAAAAGTTTATTTTGTTTGGTCAAAAATTGTGTTCAACAGTAAGCATATTTGCGGGCTGAAGGGTGTGTAACCGGACACCTACTGTTCCTTAACTTCTTAATAAATGGCTTACAAAATAGAAACAAAATAAAGTTTGCAAGTGAAGTTGCAAATAAATTTCAAAGTCCAGTTTCAAATTTCAATTTTCGTTTTGTTTTCTGTGATTTCTCTAATCTCAATTTGTATTTTTTTATTTCGGAAGCAGTGGCAAAAATTCAACCTTTTTTTTTTATTCTCTAAAGTTTCAAGACTCCTGTGCAGACCTTATATCAGCAGGTTCTTAAAGCATTTAAAGGAGTTTGTTGGTGTTAATAAAGGAGCCCCTGGGTAATCCACTCCCAGACCCATTCCCGATTTGTGTCAAGTGTTGTCAGCTGATCTGTTTCTCTGGCTACAATGGCTACTAAGGACAACTAAAGGGGGTCTAAGGTGGAGGCTACTGATTGCGGTGGCTTCGTTAGCTGCTCCCATCTATTTGCCGCCCTCAGCGGACGCAGCAAGCCGACGCCGGCGATTCTAAAAACAAGAAAGGAAGACTAGCTTCGGGGTGCGATGCTTGGTAAACCCTCCGCGACATTTTATTTTTAATATGGGTAATGATATAGGAGTAAAAAAGTATGAAATTATCTGAAAGAATTTTTCTTTTTCCGTTTTTCAATTAATTTTTGGTCATATGAATCTGATTTAATATAGATCAACCAATTTAAGAGATTATTTACAATTAATTATTTACAAAAGAGGAAATCCTGCTCTCCCAAATCCAAGTTCTATTCTCAACTGACAACACTTTGAGTGACATCCCATAACCACAATACTCGAACCCAAACCCCAACTAACCTGTAGAGCCGCGGCCAACTTGCGTTCGAGCAACTGAATCTGGCGGCGCTGCTCCTCGATCTCCGTCTTGGCCTCCACGAGCAGCTCGCTGGTGCTCTGGTAGTTCTGCTCCACCTCCTTGGACACCTTGCGTGCATCCTCCACTTCCCGCTTCAGGGAGTTCACGTAGGTCTGTTCGGCGGTGGGCGTGGGATCCATGGTGGCCACAATCACATTCGATCCGTATTCGAGATTCTTTTCGCGCGATTTCTCGCGCTCCAGTTCGGTTTCCAGGGTTCGGATCTTGGCCAGCAGCTTCTTGTTCTCGCGCTCCTGTGCCTCTCGGTTGCGCAGTTCCAAGGCGAGCATCTGCTTGGTGCTCTGCAGGTCGTCGCGGATCTTGTCGATGTCGTCCAGCTCGTCGGGACTCTCCTCGTCAATGGACATGGCCGACACGATGCTTGGACGAGATCCGCCGGCTCCCAATGCCGTGGCACTGGCCGGACCGAGGGCATGGCTGCTGGGCGCCTCGCTCAGCATGTTGATCTTCGACTGGGACTTCTGCAGCTGCTCCTCGATGGTCATCTGGCGACGGAACTTGCGCAGGCCATCCAGCACCGGCTTGCTGCGATCGTTGGTCTTGGTCGGCTTCAGCTTGATGCCGCCCTGGATCTGCTTGAGCAGCTTGTTGTGCGAGTTGCCCTTCTCCGTTTCGTAGATGAACTTGTCGTCCACCTTGGTCATCGACTTGCACGTCAGGATGGGCTGAGATCTGTGAAGAATGAATTGTTATTGATTGCCATTACAGAATGTTTTGACAAACAATTGAAGCAATTATAACTTGTTGTAACAGATGAATTATCTTGCTTAATTTATTTTCATTCAACTTTCTCTTAAACTTGAAAGTTATTCACATTTAATATTTGTTTGCTTACTTTAATCAATTAAAATTTGAATTGGATTTAAACCCTTATTTTAATACCTTTGTCTTCAAACATATTTCTCTACCCTAAGTTTTTCTGTGCGAGTATCTTTTATATCTATCCATTTATTTTGAAATCTCTTATTAACTAGCTGCTCGTTAAGTGGCGTGCTGGTAGTAAATTGTTTAAAGGTTCTCAAGCTGCCGTATTAAATTTCCCTGTCTTAATTCCCCTTCCAATTATTGAGAGTGTTGCAATCGGTAATTACTGCACAGCATGCGGATGGCACCCACCTATCGTTGCAGGCCACATGGCGCAGCTTCTTGCCGCTCTCCACCTCCTTCATCATCTCGGACCAGTCCGGACGCCTTCGGGGTCGTGTCCTGCGAATCGAAGCGAGTCGGAATTATGGTCATCGTGGGGCGGGGGGATACAGGGGGATCAGGGAGGGATTCAGGGGGATCAGGGGTCAGGAGGCAGCAGCAGTCAGGTTATCCACTCACCTGAGCTTCTCGAGAGTCTCCTTTTGGTTGGTGGAGAGCACTCTTTTCTCACCAGGAGCGAGGGGCGGGGGCGGCGGTGGCGGGGCCTTGGGAACCAACGAGGGCAGCGGCGGCGGGGCGGGAACTGCAACAACAATAAAACACGGAGTGTGCACCCAACCGGGTGGCGGTTATTGTCTGCCAGCGGAGAAGCGTAGAAGAAGAAGGCGGGCGGCGGTGGTTTCGGCGGTGCAAGTGGTGCAAGTGGGACCGAGGTTTGGTCGTTGGGCATTAGAGCAAATCGCCGGGCGCGCTGCGTGCACTCGCGGTTATTAAATATAATTTTAATTTAATGAGTTTGCAATTTGTGTCAGTTGTTTGTTGTTCTTTCGGCTCCCGCGGGGCTCTTTGCCTCCACCCACCGGAGAGTACGCCACCCCAGCATTTAGCTGTGCCTTGCGGGCAAAGTTCTTCCATACATATCAATACAGGGCGAAGGGACGAGAAAGGACTATGCACTCAAACTTTAAATTGGAATTTATATTTTGAATTTCTGTAGAGTTTTCAGTAGGTTACAACCTTTTTGATCAAACCAATTCAATTAAAACTGCATTCCATTTTAAAAACTTACAAGCTAAATATTTCTATATAAAATATGTGGTGATTTTTCGATTTATTTAATATCAATAATACTGCGACCTCTATTCAATTGTCCCACATTTATG